TGAAAAACATAACTTTTCCCTATCATCTTTTTTTTTGTGGCCTAGGATACTGAGTGTCTAATTTAAATGCATCCTATAAACTGTAACCTTTTTGCGCAACTGTTGGGTTCTGACTTTCCCAAGCAAGAGCGTTTATAATATTTCCGTGGAAAAAAAACGGTGGTTTAAGAGCAGTGTAAACAATCCATATGAAGTATGGGTAGCATATCACTTCTAAAAAAGCTGCAATGAAAAGAATACAATCGATCAATCAATATCCATTTTGTAGAAAAACATAAACGTACGTTTTGTCTATAAGCAACTGAATCACCGATACATTTTGATATCTAATCTAATGACGGAAAAGTTTGATAATATATTTGGTTTATTTTATATTCCAGTAACCAGTATCATTATAGAACGTAAAATACTAATATAACAAGTTCTAATAAAGATATTACCTAATTGCCCTTAAGCTACATACCCAATACCCATTCTGACTCGACGGTGTGTAAAGGGACCCAGCGGAAGTTTCCCTTCTTTTTCTTCCCCTACCCCTCAATGAGCGTGCAGCTCTACATAAATACAGCCTCCTAAAGGACATCTCTGCTCCAGTTCCAAGCTAGCAGCCGTCTCGAGTATACACTTGTGCGACTGCGACCCACCCGGACATATTGAGCAATCTTATTGCGATTTTCATTGCGATAGATTGGTTGTTTGCCATCTACGATGGCGAAAATTGAGAAGCTGGCTAACCAGCTGAAAGAAAAGAAAGATGCTTTCGCCATGCTGGGAGAGCAGATGCGAAACCTGCAAGAAGCCTTCTTGCAGGCTCAACAGGAGATCGAGGACCTGAACGTGAAGCTCCGCAGGCCAAGAAGAAGGCCGCAAAGAAGACCGAAGAAGAGGAGGAAGAGGACCACCAGGCTACGTCGGACGAGATGGACGCTCAAGAAGAGGGCACTCAACGGACCGAAGAAATAGAAGAAGAAGCCGAGAAGAGGACCGACGACACCGATTTCAGTGTCGCCACCAGACGGAAGAAACGGGTGCGAGTTTCCTCCTCCGAAGACGAGTCGCCAAGGCAGCCAAAGATGCCAGCTGCCGCCACCAAGAAGAGTCCTAGAGCAGCCAGGACCATCGTGGCCACCATGTCGGGAACAGGAGTTCCCCCCATCAGCATCGAGGGCACCGCTGACTGGTCATCCTTAAGTAGGATGATAAACAACAAGGGACTAGGACCAGGAACAACATATTGGTAAGAGGACTTGAAACTCTTGATTTTTCGAAAACAAGAGTTTCAAGAGAACCTAGCAGACCCTCTATCGATGATCGCTTAACGACATCGATAGAATGTGCGAGGTAAAGGGAACCAACCCGGCGTTCCCAGAGACTGAAACACATGAGGAGACGTTGTAGCAGACCGCAGGTCACGCACAACACATGGCCTACCGAGACGCTGATGAGTCGGGCCACGCGGAGGTTTAGGGTTTAGTGGGTATTAGGTGGACAACCTGGAGTCCCACACACGCCGTAGCTCGGGCTATGGTATGGTGCGTAAACGCATTCCCTGTCACCAAAAAAAAAAAAGACATCTCTGAAGTATAGTTATCGGGGATAAGCTTTGAACACACTATATATTTCATTCTTCAGTGATCTTGTCACATGATGGCTATCATTTACGCCCCAACAAAAGCATTGTCCTAGAGACGTGTGCGTCGTGTTTTGCTTGACGGGGACGGATCAATCGAACATATACGTTTAATTAGAATTTTTAAGTCAGAGTAAAGGCCGATACCAACATTTTGGAAAAAATAGATTGTAGTCAAGTAGTAACCGCAGAAAGCATTTGCTTAATAAAAATTGATTGCAACGTAACCGAATTCTGACATGTCATATATTGTATCACATGTACTTTTGCTCGAATAGTCGTTTTAGTCCAGCATTTGGCTCCGCATCCGCTCAGAAATACATTCTGCTTCGGTTTTTATTGCATAATCTGATTCAAATATGTCCTCTTTTAACGAAACTGCATGTTGCTTGGAACAAAATATCAGCAAAGATACGTTTAAACGAATTCAAAAAGTTGGTATTTTCTCTCCGGACAATATTTTACTTCCTACGCTACTGGGCAATACTATCACGAAACATTTCGAAATTGAGATATTATGTTTTTGGATGTTATATGACATGTGCATCAGGAAAAACCATGTCACTCATTTCCGTCGGTCTGTCTGTCTTCCTTGGCCCGTCTATATCTTGGAAAGTACTGTTTTCACATGGATGAAATGTTCAGATTGTGCCAAAGATTTCGCTTTATAGATTTTTAAAATCAGTCCAATAGAGGTGGAGAAAAAGGATAAAGACAAAAAAATAAAATTGCTCAAACTTCATTATTTGACGCTTCAGAGGCTGTTCATTTAGGAATGAAAAACTAGGGCGTGGGGGAGGCTATATCTAAATTTTTCATATTAGTAACTCATACGCTCCCAGAACGGTAATTCTACGTATCTATTAGCAATATTTCACACATCATAGGATTGCCCATACATTTGACGTTGAAACTTGATCGAGAAATGTTTTCGATATGCATCTCCATGTGCTATCTGGGTTCAGCGCCCGGCGTTACGTTGCCAGATGGACGGTAATTACCGGTAGGGCAGGGAAAGAATGTCTACGTACTAATTGTATGGGCCTGTTTGACGGACTTGATCGGTTTAATTTTCATATTGTACATGTCCGTAACTATTTTTCTTGTGCTGAAATTAATCTTACCTACTTGAATTCATTTTTTTAAGTATTTTGAGATATCCTGGACAAAAAAGGTTGTCATGAACTTTTCTCTTAAGTTGATAGTTTTCGAAATATAATCAATTTAATATTTGAAAAAGTGCAAAGTATGCCATTTTCGACCCCGAAAAAGATTATGAAAATAAAATTTTAAGAGATACTGCTATTATAAATTTTTTTTAACATTTTAGGGGGTATTGTTACTGTAAACCTATGTCTTTAGATTGTTAATCAATCACGAGATCTATATAGGTACGTGTATATTGTGCGTGAGTGCGAGAGATGTAACTGGCAGTCGCCCCTATGCTGGATCCTTGGCAACATTAAAGTTTCCGTTTTACTTCCCACGCCTATTGGCGGAGAACTATTGTAATCGCGAAAATTCTAGAAAATAGGATCTTGTTTTTTTGGTCTTATATGACATGTTCATCACAAAAACTACGTCACTCATCTCCGTCGGTCTATCTGTCGGTCTGTCCGCTAATCTTATAACCGGCTATACCTTGAGAAGTACCACTCGGATTTTCCTGAAATTTTTACACAATGTTACACTATACTAAGGACGCCAAAGCTTTTTAGTTTTTGAAAATTGTACAGTAGGGGCAGAGAAAAAGGCATAAGACGATAAAAGTTAAAATCGCTCAAACCTCGTTTTTTGACGTCTCAGGGGATCCTTATCATTTTTGAAAAAAATATTAGAGGTATAAAAACGTTGGCGATTATTGGGGAGTGGGGAGGGTTTGTCTTAATTTTTTGATGTTGGTATATTTATACGCTCTCAACATTGGTAAATCTAGGCACCTATTACACATAATATTTCATATGCATTAGCCCTGAAAAATATTCTCGGGAGACGGATCGCGTTCCTATCGGCTGCTGCTGGCGTCATGCGCCAACCTTGATGACCATTCTGTTATGCAATCATTTCTTGGTAACAGCATAGTGTTTTCGCTACCACGGTGCTACGTCTGACGAGTCCCAAGTTAGATATCGAGGAGAGGCCACGTTTCCAAATACACTACCGGTATGTCAGGGAAAGAATATCTATGGTCTACTTGTATGGACCTGTTTGACTGAACATATTCCTTTATGTACTGATAAGGGCATTGCGTAAGAAATGTAGAGGCAACCTGCTTGATGCTATTTTTTTCATATTATCTTTGGGGGTGGAAAAGTAACATATTTCGCACTTTCCAAACATAAAATCGCTTATATCTCGAGAACTGTCAACTTTATAAAAGATTTCATGAGAACCTTTTTTTAAAAATCACCTGATAAAGCTAAAAAACAATACTCTGGGCCAAAAAAACAATTTTAGGATTCCGGTTTGAAATATGTTCAATTGTTTACGCTAGTTTAGAAACATGCTGATTTGCTAAAAAGGATCCGAAAATACCTCCTGGACTATTCATCATGTCCTGCATATAAAATGTCACTTTTAAATTGGCAGATTAATCAAAAAGGCAACTCCAGTTTTAAATGAAACTCCAGAACAATTTTAAAACCCTTTTTATTTGTTCCTAATCATATGACAAGTCACATGATGAAATGGACATGACGTGGTTCTAATATTGAGGGAGCATACAAGAAAATATACAATAAAACGACTTATTCGTCCTCCAATATTTTACTTTGGTTTGGACCTATTTATCTGTTGACGAAATACATTTCCAAACTGCTTGTGGAAGAAAGGCTCTTGGGCGTCATAAGGCCTTCTAGACATTTCAGCTGTATACACCGCTACTTCATGCATGCTTTCGAACTTTATTGCTTCCGTTGCCATCACCAAATAAACAATCCATCATACGGGAGTTGTCAGATGTGAATATTTGTAGGTTACGACCGTCCACTCATCGTCCAGTTTGTCACCTTGTCAGTTTTCATATACAAATTTGATATAAAATTTCATCATAACAATCTCCAAGAATAAACAAAAAACCTTATTAAGAATGCAGAAGGTTTACGTTGCTCCAAGATGAAGAAGAGCTTGAACAAATTATGTTGGCATGTTGGGAAAATGAGACATGTGGAATGCAGCACATGGTAAACTCGTAGCGTAGTGGCAGCCGATCCTTTATAGGACTCAAATTGATTTCACAGATGCAACATCGCAAAATCAATCAAAAATGTTACTACCTGCATCCTTCTTTGTGCTTTTCCAAAATACAAACTTCCATACAACATCCGTTGTCGTGATATCTTGCTGGTACATCAGGTAACATTTCATCAAATCAGGTATTCTTATCATGATGGATTTTATCGTAATTTAGATCGGGTTTCGATTTTCTTATTATTTGGGCCACCTCCTCCAATATCGCGTTACCTTCTTCGCACACCAGAATATGCTCAATTGCGGTTACTACTTCGCCATCCCCTGCACTTGTGCTTAAAAAAACTCAGAAGTACATAATCAAATTACACCGCTCGCGCCTCACAAAAAAATAGAGGTCGAGATCCGTGAGGCAGACCATGATATTTTATGTAAATTTTGACGCTGAATCCGAATCCGGGATCAGAAAATTTACTAGACCTCTTAAATTCAGCCCTGAAGCTTGGGCCCAAAAACTACACTTAGGAAGCGTGAAAATTGTTTTGGGATACCAGATTCTGGATCATGATATGCCCATGTATTTTTCGAGGCTGAATCCGAATTTGGGGTCAACGAAATTTTTAAACTCCTGGGACCAAAATCTACTAATAAGGGGCGGAAACTTGAATTTCGAATGCCAGATGCTCAACCACGGTATTCCTATGTATTATTTAACACTGAATTAGAATTTGAGGCTAAGAAATCCACCTCCTTGAACTCACCTAGGCGTCAAAGTTGCCTGTAATGACAGGTGAAATAAATCGAATTTCGAGTGATGGGTGTTAAATTGTTGTATTGTTGATCGCGTATTTCGGCAGCCTGATGCGTTTTTCCTCGCTGAATCCTAGAGCCCGATCACCCCATGATCCTAACAAGAGTAGCGTGGGGCCATACTTACGTGAAATACCATACATTGTATGTCTCGAAACGGAACATGGATCAAGTTCACAGCACAGCATCTGGCATCAGTTTAAAAAATACTTGCATCCAAAACTCAATCTTCACTCCTCCCAGGGGTAGGTTTTGGGCCCAGGGGTAAACTCTAAGGGTGTAGCGGTCATATCGATCACTAATTCGCATTCAGTCTCGAAAAATACTCGATTTTCACGCCGCATCTTCGGGCCCGGAGATAAATTCTAGCTTGTCTGATTCCGGATTCGCCGTCGAAAAATACATAGATATATTATGGTTGGTTTGTCTCACGGATCTCGATCCTTTTTTGTGGAGTTGCGTTATATTCAACGTCTCGTTATCCTAGAGCTGGGGTCAAGGTAGTAATCCAGATCTCGGTTTACTCGATTCGATCAGAAGCATAAGGAGTCCGTCTAGCAAGCCTATAATGCGTCAGCTGAGAGCGCAGAGAGGCAGAATGGGAAAGTTGGATCACCAGCCTGCCATTGATGTTGAATAGTGTTTGAGGCTGTGACCGAGTTCTGATTCAGGTCAGGCTTAAAAATATGAAAAAAGTAATACCTTTTGTAGAAGAACTGACTGTATATGTACCTTTATTAATCCAAATTTCAATATAATTTTTGGTATCCTCTCCACACTTTTAGCGCTAATCCTGACTGTTCTGTCGCAGTTTGCTAAGATACATTGTGAGGTTCTTTGAGACATGGGGCTCGAAGATTTTGATAAATATGATGACTTAATAACAGTAATTTGATGAAAGGAAAATCTAAACACTACATCTTACTTGCTTTTTAGTCTTAGTCTGTTTTTTACGAGGGTCCATCATGGCTGATTTTTTTATCTGCATATTCTGGACCTGAGGAGTAGCACTTACAGTTCTGGATATAAAATTGCCATTCGGATCTTTTTATGGTGAACTATGAGTTGAACTGGTTGAACTTGCAGTTTTCTTGACTGGTAAACTCCGAGGTAGACTGTTCGATCTCCTTCTATCAGTCGTAGAGATATCATTTTTGGGCGAATTTTCAGAAGACTCTGTTGTTTTCGATCGATTCCGATTTTTAAGAGGTGGAATCTTTATCAACAAAGCTTTATTTTTCTTTGTTTCCCAGCAGCAAATTGTCGTCGTGGTACTTTTCTCATTTTGCTTTTTTCGCAGTTAGGGCATACGCATTTCCGGAACATTATCTACATTAGTGATTCACTTGTAATTTGAGTAGATGATGCAACAAAATAAGACCAAGAATGCTGAACAGTCAAAAAGATGCTAATCAAATGTGGAGATATCATTTTTGGGCGAATCTTCAGAATACTCTGATGGATTTTGTGTTGTTTTCGATCGAGTCCTATTTTTAAGAGGTGGAATCTTTATCATCAAAGGTTTATTTTTCTTTGTTTCACAGCAGCAAATGGTCGTCGTGGTACTTTTCTCCTCATTTTGCTTTTTTTCGCAGCTAGGGCAACTGCATTTCCTGGACATTATCTATGTTACATTAGTGATTCACTTGTGATTTGGGTAGATGATACAACAAAATTAGACCATGAATGCTGAAATGTCAAAAAGATGACAATCAAATGTAGGACAAACTGTGGAAAAAAGACTTGCGGCAAAGAACGATTTTTTCAAGAAGCGAGAAATGGATATACAGATTGACTTAAAACTGTGATTTTTTACTCCGCGAAATAGGTAACGCGTTAGCTTAGAGAAGATTTAGAACTTACAGATTAAATTATGAAAATATTTCACTGGTGAAAATGTTTCACGGCGGATATTTTTTCAACTTGATGATATTTATTGTATAGTATTGTAGTATATACCTTGCTCTTGGGGTATCCCACAGGTAGATCCTATGTTTGTTGTATTTGGTGATATCCAAAGCAATAATCGGACCATTTTTTTTGCAAATGCTAAAGGTTAAATGATGAATTCCGACAAATTATTCGCGGTTGCGGTCGTAGTCTAAGCAAGATGGAGTCACTAGTCACACAACAAGCTGACCTGTCTCCACAAAAGATGATGCCTCCTTTGGTGGTAGAGCATCGCCACCACGATTATAATAAGTAGCTCCTTTGATATTTTCCCGTTTGGATACCTCAAGAGTAAGGTTTACGTGAATACCAATGATCTAAAAAGGTCAAATAGACAAAATTGAATACGTCATGCCTCAGCGTGTTATACAGATTGCGAGTAGATGCGATAAGTGATGATTACTTAAAATTGTGCCCCGCTTTATTTCAAATAGTAAGTTACACTCTGTTACCACATATATTTGATAGCTGCCAATATATGACGCCACATTTTTAAAGGAAACAGTTGTGTTTTTATGTCTATTGCTCTATCGACACTGTTCGTTGCAAGTCAGGCGGGGGTATATAAACGGGGTTTTCCGTTGGCTATGATGTGAGGCGCGTAGTTTTATGCTGTGTGTACTCTGTTACCGGCGTTTTCAAGTAATTATTCCTATATTTCTATACACATTTACAACTTTAAAGTAGATATAGTGGAACAATTGCATGTGCATCCATTTTAACTTAATACAATCTTGCTTAAATAATAAGAGGCACGAAGTGTTAAATTTACTACTCTGTTACCACTATATAGTAACAGAGTTGTAGACTGGTAACAGAGTTGTTATCATACTTATTATTTTACTGTTTGAAGCTTTGGTCATGGTTAGTCTGTCTGTAACTCGAATAATAAATAAAATAATTTGTTCTAGATAATTATACCACATCATTATGGCTCTCACCGCTGCTGAAATATATTTTCAGATGGTCTCGCGAGTGAAGATATACCTTATACTTGATGAAGACTTTGAGAACATGGCGAGAGAGAGAAATTCTCCAACAGAAATAGTTCCTTAATATGGCACATTGAAAGTACATCAAGTTTTTTCAGAAGAAATGGGATCGCTGAAGTATCGAGAAATGAGCTGTTTTTGCCAGCGAGGTTTCTGTTCTTGCATGTGTCCAAAAACCTATTATCCGTCTAAAGAAACGATTGAACAATCAAATCCTGCTACGTTAGAAGATATTACTAATTTAATTGTTCAAAACAGGAAATCAATTTACAATGCTGTATACAGTTCGGACTCGGAATCTAGTGATGATCAAACTGCATTGTCAAAATAAAAAGATGATAACAAGTTAATTGAGAAGAAGAATATTCATCCCAGTAAAATCAAAGAAGGAGTCGACGTTCTAGTGAAAATATGCTCTTCTAAAAATGAATACATTTACCTTGGAACAGCGTTAATTGGAATAGACCTTGATGATGAAGAAATAGTATTCTTGAAGTCAGTTGACCATACCGGAAAAACATTTAAATTGGTCGAAAATGAAATGAATACGAACAATATGAAAGTTTGATAAGAATTGTTTCTGAACCTAAAAAGATGATGAAGGGCAAAAGGGTATATAACCATTTCCCCACTCATTTAGAAATATTTGAAAAATAAGATATTGGTTAACTAATTTTAATTAAATCTCAGCTAGAGCATACTTGTTTTTTAAAGTTTTAACGTCTAATAATTACGAAAAGAAAGTGTTGTGATTATATTCATAAATTAGTTATAACGGTACAACTATGTTACGATTCCTACAACTCTGTTACCTTTATGTCCCTATTTTTAAAGTTAGATTTTTTATAAAAAGTGGGTACTTTGTTGTATATTTTATATGTCAGATTTATATACTACTTTTATTTACGAACAATAACTTAGTTAAATTCTTGTATTTCATTCAATTTAAGCAATTTGAGAAAAAAATTAGTTTCATATAAAACATACAGAGTAACATAGTATCCATAATTTTAAGTATTATTCATAAGTAAGAAACAATACTGTGATTTTCCATGTCAAACATGAGAGTAAAGACTTAATTCATGTTAATTTCAAAGAAGAATATAAAAAGATATTTTTGTTGTTTAACTAATCAATAAATAAATGATAGTAACAGAGTTGTTATTTTCTTCTATCCTGACCAAGTAAATCTTCTAAAAATCAAAAAATACAGACCAATGATCGCGCCTAGCTTTGAAATTGAATTTTATAAAGTTATGTGGATAACATGGATATCTTACACCTAAATTAAACAAGATTTTATTTTTTTAGAATTCAGATCTATTGCCACGTTATTGCTACGTATACTACCATTTGAGGCACTCCTATGGTATAGATGAAACCTTGTGCTGCCTTATGTTCCAGGATATTGAGTCCGTTGTGGAGAACGAAAAATGTTCCGTCGCTTAGGGCACACGATTTGCGGACCAACTAGTTGCTTACCTCACGGTGTGAGGAGTGGCTAGTTGTCAATGGAGCAGCAGCTTGGTATGTCGGAGCCCAGGTTGCCTATTTTACTTTTTTTGCCTATAATAATAATAATCGTTTTTATTTATAATGAGTACATTATAAAAGGGCGAAGTTTAGCTCACGTAGCTATTCCTCCACTTGACCCAAATATCAGAAATAAAGTATAATAGTAAAATTATGTGAATACATCTAAATTTGAAATTAAATCTTCAAGCACATACATATAAAAAACACTGATTTGTCCAGGAGGTGATCTTTCAAGTAATATTTAAACCTTTTTAAAGACAATGGTTTTAGTTTTTCTGGAATCGAGTTGTACAGTGTAACTGCGTTAAATGTGAAAGATCGGTTGAATAACATAACTTTTAAATGTCTATTTACATTACTTTAAATATTGCATTTATTTCTCCGGAACCTATCTTGTACAGAGTAATGCAAAATCGACGAGCTATACTTTATACTCCTTCAACGCGGGCGCGGGAAGAAATAAAACCACTTGAATATAAAAATGTTTTATTTTAATGATCAAAATTTTAAGCGTCCATCATAGTATACAAAAGTTGCATGATAAATAAATAAAAATAAATACGAAAACATAACTTTTTCTATCGGACTCGATTGTACGGCTGAATCAAACCACATAAATGTTTAAATTTCGGCCACCACTGTGGCAAAACATAAAATAAACAGAAATTCAAACATGAGTTACAATAACCTTTCCCATGTCGACTCTAATCATATAAATTAAAATGCAGTTATTTATAATCGAACTCCAACTTTCTCGGCATCATATACTCTTTCAACACCTCATCTGTCACTTCAGCTCTCCTCTCTTGGTGTTGCACAATTATAGGTGTGATTGTATCTATAAGAATTTTTTTCAATTCACCAGTTAGCAGAGCACCACTCGTATAGTCCTTTCGAATTTGTTCTAGCTTGTCATCATCCTCCAGGAAAAATCGCAAATACTGATATGAAATGTCAACATCACAATTCCCACCGATTTTCCGATGCTCCTCTACAGTAACCTGTCCCCCTGAGAACGCGTGCTTGTTGATCTTATTTTTCAACTGTTTTGGTGTATCACAGCAGAATATTGTACTGTTCGGATCAGAAGCAGACATTTTTGTCTGAGCACCTTGTAAAGCTGGAAAAAATTTAGAGTGCAAGAGAGCTGGTTTTTGGAATCCAAGTCGTGGACAAACATCTCTAGTCATCCTGAAGTATGGGTCCTGGTCTATAGCGCAAGGGATGAGACATGGAAACTTCTTGCCATTGAATATGTGAGGGAATGAAGTTGATAAGGCTGGCGTGGCTTGGGCCGCTGGAAATGCTATTTTTCCTATGACGGTGCTGTCGTCGAAGCCGAAAATGCCCTTGACTTGGTTGAAGGTGACACATTTCTGGATGCGGATCATGTTGCGGTAGAAATCTGGGCACTGCCTGAAATCAGATAAAGATTGTCATAGTTAGTTTCACGCAGTGCCAGTAGAATGAGTATTATAAAACAGAATGAAGTTCCAACATTATTTCGTTTAGAAATTGAAACCTCAAGACTGACAAAATCAAAATCTATTCAGACCTCATAAACTCCGTACATGCGCACTCGATCTCCGTTTCTAATCGCTTGCTGGTGCCTGGCGCTAGGCATCTATAGCCCGCTGGCCAATAGGCGCTAGCGAATTCGAAGTTCATACGCTGGAGTTTATTTTGACAGGAGGTAAATGAGATTTGACTACACTTTAGTCGCCCATGATACTATTACTCGAGAAGGTAACCCCACGCGCATGCGATCAGTCTGTTTCGCAAGTGCGGCGTCATTCGGCGACAAAAATCCCCAGAGGTGGTTTAAAACTCACAGTTTTATATGGCGCTTTAGAGCGTAATTTTTAATTAGTTTCGTTAGTCTGCTATCTGGTGTGTTTCAAATAATTCTCCGTGTCAAATACAATTTAAAAAACATTGAATTAAATATTTAAATTGGCGTTTCATTAGTCTTCCAAATAACAAACAAGTTTGCGAACAATGGGTTCTAAAGTGTTATCAGCAACACAAATTTAATGTACAAACCTCAAGGATATGTTCAGAGCATTTTGTGGAAAGTGACTACTATTTAAAAGAAAAAACTTTACTTATTACCTCAAAATAAATTGAAGTTGAAAAGTGATGCAATACCTTCCCGCCATTTGATGAAATCACCAAAGGCGCACACTTCACGTAGTATAGAATGGAAAAAACGCTAGATATGGAAGTCATAAAATCAATCAATCAACCACTAAATGTTGGAATAGAACTAGATCTTAAAATCATTAATCGATTAAGCCACGCCAGTTAGTGTAAGTGCAGACGCCGTGACTTTTTTTAGATAAATAAATCATAAATAAATAGCATTTATTGCCCAACAGGTAAGGAAACCATTTACAGGACAATCCTAAGAAAAGATTAATAAAACTAACAAAAATAGAAAACACAAAAAAGCAGTTGATTCTATCTAAAGGAAAAAACAAACAAGAAAAAACGCAAAAAAGTCACTCAAGTGAGAAACATATAACTTGTTTAATTTCTAGCTAGATACTGTATGTCACAATAATTAGATATGGCATTAAAAGTTTCACACATTACATATATGGGTACTTTCAAAAATAAATGTGTGTGAGCCCTGTCACAATAAAATGTTTCAACGGTAGGAGTCCAAATAGAAGTGACATTAAAGTTTACTTAGACCACAATCTCATTAGCATCAATTTGGTTGTGCAGCAATTTATGCAAGAAAATAATTAGCACACATTTCCTTCTCAGCTCCAAAGACTGCATTTGAAACCTATACAACAATAAACTTTCAGATATATCCTGCTCAGGATATGCACCGTCAACCTTGAAATATAAAAAATTGAGAAACTTTCTCTGAATGTAGCAGTTGTAAATTCCAAATTAACGATGTATATTCCAGTTTCGAACTAATATATGGAGAATACAAAACCAACCGTGACTCTGGGCGGCTGAAGTTTCCGCAGTTTCTCACAGTACAACCCGTGAAGCTTCACTCACCTTTTGAGCTATATGGAGTGAAAACTTAAGTTTGTGGTCAAAAACTATACCCAATGTATTTAAAATCAGGATGGTCAATAGAGATATAAAAGTAAAAATCCACAATTGGGAAGAGAAAAGTGATGAAAATTGTACAATACTCAATGAAACTGTTTATCAACACACTCTTTTAAGACCTCCCACAAAAAAGAAAACCATTTCCATTCAACATTTCATACAAAATTATAAAGAAGGCATATATACTGTATCGTGTTCTCCAACCTAAAGTTTTTGGTCACTTGATGAGAGTGGCTACGGATCTCAGGTGTGGGTGCAGGGTAGAAGAAGAGTCCTCGGCTCATGTTCCGATGTTCCGTGTCGCTGCGAGACTCTGAGCTACTGCAGGCAGAATACATTTTGATTCCCCAAAATGTTAAGGAGCTATACTCAACTTCGCTAGACGGGCGGAGCTTGAGGCTTAGAGAATGTAGTGGTGCATAAGGGTCTGTTATGTGGCCTATGCGCCTCGTGGTGGTCATACCGCCTCTAATTCCGTTTATTCATTCTCAAAATTACCATATAAAATCGATCACAAAAAAGTTAGATAACATATATTCCAGATATTCAAATAAAAAGCTCTGATACAAGGCATTTCACACCGACGAGCGGAACAGTTGTCACCAAGTGACACCATGCGCAAAGGGATACGAAATTCGAACGCGAAGTGAGCATATCATCTCAAGTTATAGCATCATGATACTATGTACATATCTTACTTCTTATGACAATAAGCGAGAAGTATTGTCATGATCAAAAATTTTGAATCTGAAACATTATTATCTTGATGTTTCAATATCTATACTCTGGTACCGAAAGGGAAGAGGCCAGGAAAACACATTAACAAAGTCGGGGCGTGAGTTTCCGGCCATATTCAAGGAGATTTAGAGCTGGCCAGTGACGTGTGATGCGTTCCACTGATCCCTTCCTGTTCGGTACCCGAGTATACATAAAAAAATGCCATGTGCCTCATTTCAATTTTCTGCCTGTCATTAATCATCTATCTTGTTTCAATTTGTCTGCTAGGGATATCTCTTTTAATCCCGCTGGGGGGGCGCTTGTGTTGTTGTTGATCAGCTCTACCTGTTTATAACCTTAGATTTGACATCCAACCTACCTAACCATCTACTTCTAACATTCCAGATTACCCCCATATTTGGGCACCTTTCGAGTTGAATTTTACACTAGTATGAACTATCATCCGTCATTATTCATCATAGAATCGAATACTGATTGAATGTGTAGCCTAGACAACAGTAATTCTTGATGTATGTCAAAATCCATTGACACTGACAGACTGATGAGTAAATACTGATAGTACGGACAACATTAAATACTCATCTGATGTCATAATTGGCTATCTCTGAAAGTACCACATGGAATGTTATAAAATTATCACACTGGGTTGCTATCACAGTAGGACTAAAAGTTATGAACTCAAAATAAAAAAGAATGACAAAAACAGTGGAACATTTTTGGAGGATTGAAAAATGTAGTTAGAATAGTGGGGATATGTGAGGTTGGTTGCAGTTTTTAATTTTTTAGCATTTGAAAATTTACAATGTTCTATTTACAAATGCACACTATACTTATTTAAACTATTTTTGACCAAATCTGCTGAACTATCAGCCATCAGTGTCAAGTAGAGTGATTGTACCTACATAATCTTACATGCAAACTGAATACATTTGTTATGTGTTTTGAATTTTCTGAATATTCTTCCATTCCAATATTGCAGAAATGAAAATTGAAAGCTAGGAGGTCCTGGCAAATTTCAAGCTGTATGTAAACTGTTCACAATATTTTATGGAAGGTATGCATCAATGTACTAGAGAATATTGATTTATAGTGGTTGATGAAAACAATCAATTTTATTGGTTTATCTGTTATAATTCACGCACAGAAGCATTCAGTTTTTGAGGATTATTTCTTTGAAATGACAGGTGTTACTGCAGTCAATCTGGTTTATTCTCGAATTCCAGTTTTCGACGACGCGTCCGAAAATGTGGTACTTGACAACCACTATCAGGCCATAATTTTGCACTATTTGCTGTATGTATGAAAACCCATAAACTTCAGACCATTTAGATTCAACAAGATGGCGGGGCACTGCTGCAAGACTCATGAAGACATGGCTCTACTGCAGCAAAAATTCAGCATGCAGTTAATTTCTTGTTCTGAACCAATAAAATGACCGCCTAGAATGTGAGATGTCATGTCTCTAGACTTTTTCTTAGAGGCTATGGCTACATGGACATAGAGGAATTATTGAAGAATTAGAAATTATCATTACTTGAGTAATTTGTGAAATGTCACTAAAAATGCACTGATATGTCTTTGAAAATTGGGATTCCAAAATGGCCCATCTTAATGGCAGTGATGGTCAATATTTGAAAAAAAGATAGATGTTTTTATATTTTTTACATACTTTTGAAAAAGTACATGATTCACCCATTACTTATCACCATGCATTAACCTGTTGCTCAATGACATGTATTGCATTGAAACAGATAACTTGCTCACATTGACAAAACAAATTCTTGATTGTTTGGATGGTAAAAAATAAAGAATATTTGTAAATATTTGTTTGACATTCTGAAAAAGTACTATAGATAACCACCAATTATCTAAATCATTACAAATCCTTGGCTGGGAAGTTTACACTAGTGATGTTAGAAGGTTTATGACTGTCCATTTTTTCTATAAATTATGTTCTTTGAAATGGTATATATGTTCCAATCTATAAAATGTTCTTTATTTCCCATAAGGTATTATCTAAATGTGGCATATTATACTTACCCAATGTAATCCAAGTTTGAGAATATGAATGTCTTCTTTGGATCAAATCCTACTGCAATGATATCCTTAGCATTTTCATAAGCCATCTCATGTGCTTCTTCTAGTTTTATATCTTTCCACAATGTTTTTTCATCATCAGTTAACTGTATAACTAGAGGAACATTGAATACATCTTGCAACCATTTGCACAAAGTAAAAGGAATCAAGTGGCCTAGATGCATAGATTTTGAGGAAGGTCCTCGCCCCGTGTATAAATAAAACGGTTTTCCTGATTCATATAAGTTCAAAATGGTGTGCATGTCACGATGTGAGAAAAATACACCTCTTCGTAGAAGATGATGCACCTTTTTGCCTGTGATCTTTTCGAAGCGGTCCAGTAGTTCTTGATCTATCTTGGAGCTGCCAAACCTTTCTGTAATTTATATTACGTCCAAATACATTTAAAATAAAAGATAAACTGAATACTTACGAATGAGTTTATCATAATCGACACCCGTGTCTGACTTGCTGACTACGTTCCATGGATCGACAAAGTCCTCGTCATTGTTTAGAGCTATGTTGTTAATACTGTTCACAATTTCACTAGACATTTTAAGATACTGATGCTAGTTTTTAACAAAATTTCTTTAGGATCACAGCTGGGAACTGCAACTGCAGTTTCAGAATTTTAAGGTTAATTTTGTCACGTTGTCTTATGTCAGATTACGTCAGTCAAACGACTGCTTACCTCACACTTACGACAATAGAGATGGGTAAGGTCTATTCACACTCAGCCGTGACGTGACAGTGCTGTGACGTGCCAGTGATTCTCGCTGACGTGAGATCACAGTGTTTTCAATTCACACCGGTCAGTATTTTTCTCCATGCTCTGATAGTGCAGTTGTGACCACGTGAAGTCGAGATGGCAAAATTTTCAGACGACGAACTTGCAATTTTTGCATTAATTCTGGATTTTTTTATACTCCAACTACCACGAAGGCCTAAGGTACCATGCTGCTATAGAGGGAAACACAGGGGAAATGGGGGTCGCCACACGGACGCTGGCGAGGGAACACGTGTGCATGCAACATGCACACATTCTGGTGCCGCCTACGAGATCCACCGGGCGGTACTTCCGCGTTGGACAGAGACCGTCTACCACCTACGAAAGATGAAGAAGAAACGAGAAGAAAACGGAAGTCCTCGTATTTTGAATTTGACTGGTTCTACAGCACGGGATGTATGCATACAAATTCAATTAGTTTTTCATCATTCATGGTTTTGACCACTTACATCAAAATATTCACGAAATTGCAAAAAACACGGCCGTGAAAATCGAAAAATATCGTTCCAAAACAATGCGATGGTCACGGTACGGCGTGGTTGAGGGCATTGAGAACACAGCCACTTCCACGTGCTGGTCTAGTGTGAATCAGTTCATATAAATTCCAGGAAGAATGTTTTTAGTTTCGCCGGGCGGATCACGTGCCGGTCACAGCACTGTCACGTCACGGCTGAGTATGAATAGGCCTTTAAACGGACATGGGTCAAGATTCATTAGGCTTGCACATACATACAGGGTCGGCACGAAAAGAACCCAATATACCGCTTCAAAATTTCAGAATAGCCAAAATTTGTGTTTTGAGAATCATGTAGGTATTTTCCGCTTTTTGCGGTTAACAGGAGCAAATTAGAGCCCAGAATTTCGCTTGTCCTAACTCTTTTTCAGTTGTATTCACGGGACGGCTAACATTGATGAATGTATATGTTTGTATCACAGCTAGATAACAATCAGCTATAAAACTCTGCTGTCAGAGTCAAAAACGGCCGCCATTTCGGCGGAGAAAATCGCATGTAAAATCTCATAGTACAATGATGAAAGAGGTTTTTGTGTTTCATATTAGGCAGTCCTAGGCGGAACTGCTGCTTACCATGCCAGCAACCGCAGATATTCTTTGCTATCATAAAAATTATAATATTTCGATATGATCTAGTGTAGTTTGCACCAGAATCGAACCATTGTAAATCGCGTACCGCTGCTATTAGTTGGAACCGTTGCAGTTCCCGTTCAATAGCAGTGCCGCTAAATGGCTGATGATTCTGACAGAATGCAGAGGGGTCTGCTAGCCTCATTGAACAGGTCAAAACAAAATGAGATGCCTTCGTCTGTCAGTGTTTTCATTGAAAATGCAATCAATTGATAATATGGCGGCAGCGAAGAATAAATACATAGCAAAAGTAAACATTTTCCGTTTATTGTAAATACTGATAGTTATCTACAATTACAAATTTATTCTAGAGCTTTTCCATAAATAAATGTTCATCAATAACTCCGTCTTTTGGGACAGATTTCTCATTATTATTGGTTCACACAAACTACACAAGATCATATCAGAATATTATAATTTTTACGATTGTACGCGGCAGCACCGCCTACAATTGCTGAATATGGAACACTAAAACCGCTTTCATCGTTGTACTATCAGAATTTAGATGTAATTATTTCCGCCGAAATGTCAGCCGTTTTGACACTGACAGGAGAATTTCATAGCCGATTGTGATCTAGTTTACATTCCACCTTCAAATCGAAACGGACGCATATAGAGGGTATTTTTCCTTAACGTTTAACACAGCGTACCCTTCCAACAGAAAACGGATCTGATTCCATAACTGGCAGTGTTCTGTTCCAACAGTTTTCGAACTGATTCCGAACCAGTTCTGAACTGGTACTAATAGTTCTGGTACTGAGAGAGAAGTAGAATTTCGAATTTGATAGCACATTGGTGCCGGTGAAGGTTATTTGGAACAAATTCAAGTGGGGGTGAAGTTCTTGAGCTGATTATAGGAGTCCCAAGAATCAAAAATGAAAGGTACATATTCAAGTGCTGATCATTTGAATAAATTTGTCTTAATCATGTTATTAATAATAGTGATATGAGTATATCAAATGCTCCTTCTAAACAGGCAGTACTCCGCACTATTTTTTTACAAATAAGTCACCATCTAGCTACTTATCTGAGTATATCAAATGCTCCTTCTAAACAGGCAGTACTCCGTAATTTTTTTAAAAATGATTCACCATCTAGCTACTTATCTCTTGTTAAATCTGCCATCTCATTTTTCCTATTTTTTCAAAAGTCAAAAAACAATAAATTATCTCAAACTCTACGTCTAGTGAACGAAAACTTGAAGTTTTTAAATTTTGCTTCAATTAAGTTTATGTCACAGAGTTTATGTTTTCACCAACAAGCCATGTAATTCCCTGTTCCATCAGAATAGTTCGGAATTCGTCCTTATCTCGGTCATGCGCCGGAAAATAAATCGGAATTAATTCTGAACTTGTTTGGAACTGATTGTTGGAATAAAAACCTACATACACCAATGTCTCAAGATAACAAAGGTATATGCGTCGGGGGTTTCTTAAATGAACAGACATCTCTTTTCTTTGCTTATACTTTTTTGCTGCTGTCTTACCTCACATTAGCTCTGTTATTGCAAACGTGACTGATTCTAAATGGTATGTCCAAACTATGAAAGCATCCTGATGATGTATTTTAACGTTATAGATTCGCTGTAGTATTTGATTCTTTTTAAAGCGGCACCTAAATCAACGATGCAAATTTGCGCAACATTTTTTTTTCTGAAGGTGTATTCTCTCCATAATAATGAGATCCTACAACCTCATACAAGTTCAATATACAGGGTGACTTCGAAGTTGAGTCATTTATTTTAACAGTGAGTAGATCTGATCAAAACAAATGTTTTTTTCCTTTAACATTTTTCTGGTAGGATTAAATTAACAAAGTTATATATAGCCCTTTGGAAGTTTGAGTACCGCCCTGTCTCAATAATAATATGATGTGCTCGTGTTTGGCAACAACGGATATAATCCGCTTTATCGGTTCATCGCATCGGAAACAAAAAAGCGAAAGAATTTGAAACGTATATCACGATGTTAGTCAATGTGTCAGTCGGTAACGGGTGAGTTAATAGTAGTGTTTGTTGAGTGGCTCAAACGAAATAAAAAATGGCACATGTTTACAAAATGCTGCCACGGCATCACGGATTTATGCGAATCGGTTTCCCAATCGGGTGCAACCAACCCCTCGTGCCTTTGTTAATGTAGTACAGAGGGCTCGTGAATCAGGTGACTTAAGACCTCACAGGGGAGGGCATGCCGGTGCTCCAAATACAGGTCCGCACTGAAATACTTGTCGGGAGGATACTTTATAAAACAAGGTAACATTTTTTTTTTATTTTTTTTTTATTTTTACACACATATTTTGGTTTATCTTCCTTCTACAATCATTATCTGAAAATTAATGACTCAACTTCAAAGTCACCCTGTATGTAAGCATTTTTTCCACTAAGTACAGCCCTGTTCTCCAGGTCATTCAAACTGCCCATCTCTAGGCAAGATCCGTTCCAGTTCCAGCTTAACTGCGCAGGTCCGGATACACAGCTGTTCGTCGCAAAATGTCAGTAGACATCAACCAAAACAAAGAAGTGCGTGATACAAATCTACAACAGATTCCAATGTGTTTTTCCTGATTTTCAACATGCCTTGGTACCATAATATTGTACCAGAAAGTATAAAAAAGAACGTGTGTGCATGTTTGTTGCAAAGATACTTCGGACAATTTGTGGAAGAGAAAATACGAAGAGAACAGTTAAATGTTGATTTGTACAATGGCACAGGGACCGTCGAAAAAATCAACCTTGATATACAGGTAAGGATAACATTATTTTTGTAATGACATTGAATTTATGTTTGTTTATACAACAGTCCGTTTATTTTGATTCTTAAGGCTCAGCTTTCTTAAATTAAGGAGCTCTAATAATTCGGAAATACATTAATTTGCGTCTTTATATTAGAGCATTTTCATGTACAGTTCAAGCAACTTTGTAACGCCAATGTTTATAAATATTGATAAGACTATCTAGCTAAATGTTGCAAATATTCAGTGCGTATTAGCGTGAAGAAGAGATATATTTTCAAAATTTTTGCTTCACAAAATGCTATACAATATACAGAAATCTGAGTATTATGGTTTTGAAAGGTACCCACTATGTAAACATAAATCACCATTTTTTTTTTTGAGATATACCTATCCAACAAATTTGGGCTTATAGAAGATAAGGGCTTAATGGAGGCAAATATGTTGAAAGAAATAATTATTATAGGAAAACATTCTTAATGGCGAAATAACTGATTTGTTTTTTGAGATATAAGCAAGAGAAATACAATTCAGAAGGAATTAGTATATAAGCATTGAATTTTCAAAATAAATAGATTAGTATAGCAATATTCACTGATCTGAGAAAATTTAACAAAAACTTGTTTTGTAGGAAATTAAAAACTTTTCATGAAAAATGAAAACAAATTAACTTTGTACTAATCCCTTCTCTATAATTTTTCCAAATTTCTGATTAATGGTTCAAAACAACAAATAAATTATCTTGTAACTAAATTTTGTTTTTTTAATTAGAGTACTTGTTCAAGTGCCCAAATTTCTGGTTAATATATCAAGATGTATGTGATTACAAAGGAATAGGTAGCTAGAAACAGCCATTGGTCTATGTTATATTATCTGGAAAATTCCAGGTTCTCAATGAGCTTAGTGAAAAACAAAATTGGCCCATGGAATTTGTTGATGGGTACATAGAGAAATTGTATTTATCAGTACCATGGACATCTATACTAAAGGATCCAAGTTATGTTGAAGTTAGGGGATTGAAGATAACATTACAACCTAAACAAAGACATGAATGTGGTAAGTATTTATTTTCCATTGTTTACTTGTCCTATAAATATTATAGTTCATCATTTGTAATTCTAAATAGGCAGGACATTGTTTATGTTCAAATGAGCCAGCTGTTGTTGTGAACTTTAATGTAGAATTGTAGGTATTCAGTATTATATAAACATTCATTTTGAAATTTTTGATATTGGTTATTTTATTAGCATTTGAAACTATGTATTAGTAATTAGTGACTTTTTGAACATTTAGCGGCTCTTATCTTTCCCTTTGTGAACATAAGTATAAGTTAGATATAAACAAGAAATTGGTCATATGAAAGGGCTAAATGGAGACAAATACTCTGCATGTTCTTGAGGGGGGAGTTCTGTTGATAAGACTAACTATGCTGGTTGCAATTTGAGGTTAGAAAAAAGCTGTTAACTTTTAGGATCTGATTGAAAATTAGTGCAAATGACTATAACTTCCCACACCACTGATGAGGAAGTATTGTAATAACAAAAACTTTGAAAAGTGAGAAATTATTTTTGTTTGTTTGTTAGATGTTACATGACATGTACATCATGAAAAACTATGTCACTCATTTCTGTCTGTCTGCTTGACTACTGGATTTTATCAATTTTTGCCACATAGATATCACTATGATAAGGACAGCAAAGCATTGGAGATTTTTAAAATTGATTCAATTTTTTGCCAATATTATATTAAAATGCTACTAACTCTAATAACTCAACACACCTCACAGTGGGCTATAAAATCTGAAAAGTGGCCTTAAATCTAGGCCTGGGATTTAAAATGCCAAATTTTTTATAGAAAAAAAATCAGTAAAAAAATTGAATCTGTTAGGGGGCATTGAGTAGACTTTTTGGTCATTTTGCAATATCAAATATATTTGTATCAAAAAATATATATTAGCACAAATCATAATTATATCAAATATCACCAAATGCAGGATACTTATTCATGGAGAATATGGTTTTACTCATTCTATTGAAAGTGCATTCTACAAGGAAGTAACTTTCGAACATGTGAATTTTTTCGAGGAGGGCAAGATGAAATTACCGAATAGGAAGTTATAAGGAACCTGTTGAGTAAACCTTAATTTTGTTGATATCTTTCGAGTGTGTTTTTCTCTGAAATTTTTAGGATCTTAATTTCTTTACTCTTGGGCTCCTTCTGATATTTAAATGATAGGTAAAATCGCTTCTATGATTATGATGGCTCCATGGAGTAATATTTTATGCACTCTAAGCAAGCATATAGTACCACGGATATTTAGTGACATATAGTTTCACGGTTTCTAAACAATATACCTCAAATATTGTCACATCAATTACATAACCACAGAATAAGTCTATGTCCGTAATTTCGCTGGAAAGTTAGGGGTTAGCAAAAAATCTCAGAGATGTGTTGCCATCATTAATTGTTCCACTACCTCTACTTATAGGTATATCCACAACCAGATCTTTGAAGTTCTCCTGTATGGTTCGTTTTTGTTTCCAAAAACTGCTTTATTTCCTACTTCTTGAATTTGCCAAACTTTGAGTTCCATTCTGTATGAAATATGCAGCCAACCGTCCGAAAAGCTTTATAACCCAAATTTCAAATTTTTCTGGACAACTATTTTCTTCAATACCTGTTCAATATCATTCGTGTCTTTGGTAGTTGCTTTGCATATATGAGGTCTGTAAATTGAGTAATGTGTTTTTTTTTTAATTTTTTTCAAATATAATTACAATTTTATATTGTCATCCTCACAATGACTTCCTTCTGAAGCCACACTGTGCTGGAGATGGTTCTTCCACTACTCATAGCATTGCTGGAACGCCGATACTGGAATAGCCTTCAGCTGGTCGGCTACAGCCGTTTGAACGTTTTCGACTGTCCCAAAATGAGTTTTGGGCCTGTTTAGCAAGAGTTTCTGTTGTACTGTGCCCCAGTATGAAGCACACCGTTGCTCGAAATTCATGTCACTCGTTTTTAGAACACAATAGAAAAAACGCTTCCACAAAAAAGATCGCTACGGACAACCAAATGACTCGAGCGAGTTCAAACTTGTACTGAAGGCGGATAACATGTACCCCTGTCTCTCCTCGATCGTTACGTTGCCAGTCTCAGCACTTAATTTACAAACCTTGTATAACTTGATTGTGGCTCAGCATTCGGAGCGATTTCTTCTTGAGTGTATTCAAAAACAAATTGACCATCCAACCATTCTTTATGTCTCTCCGTTTTTTTCCATAAGCCTTCTTCTATACATGGCGCAGCAAAACTTTGAATTGTTGTTTTTCAATTTTTTAACATGGCATATTCATCACTTTTGATTTCATAGTCTCCCACCTGGTAATTGTAAAGATATTTCATCTGAACGTTCTAAAGGCTCACGCAAGACGTCAAAGAGCTGTCTTCTTGTCGCCATTTCCAATACAACTGAAATAATGAAATAAAATGTGTAGTAATGATTTCCGAATACATATTCATGAACATTACTTAACCCTCCTATACCAGCGCAAATTTTTGTAACACCTATACCCGCGCGCGGTGTCACAGATCAATTTGGAACTCTGTTTTATATTTTCATACATCAAAAACTGTATAAATAACAGCAACACAAGCGTCTTGCACGGTTTACGTACACTAAAGCGAAAAGTCAGCAACAAATCAGGCAGCTAGCTTAAATCTCGATTCGCTAGCGTTTCCAGGAAAATAATAATACTTGAGAGTTTCGTCGGTCTCAGAGACCAATGCGCGGGTATAGGAAGGTTAAGCAAGCAAAATCAAAATATGTTATAAGGAAATATTGAAGATATGTTATAAAAATTGTTTAAAAGCGGGATCTAGCATGGACATTTTTGTAACTCTACACAAACTCAGAAAATATGTCTATATAATTATTTTAAAGCCAGATGTATATATGCAGCATGAAAATGCATACTTTGAGAAAGCTTCCTGTATAGCCAAACACTGGATTCAAGAACCTTATGACACATAAAGTCCTGCAAGTTCCTATTACAATTAAGGAAGGCTTGTGTCTGTACCCTTGTTTGGCACCAGGTAGATATAGATAATGATCTTTTAAGACCTCGAGATTCCGGGAAAACACCCCTTGTTAATTTTTCTAAGTAGCTACCTGGAAATTCTGATGATAATAGTAATACTTTTATAAATATGGATTTATGGCGGCTTTTCGGATTATCTGACCCTCTGGGCACCTCACCTCTTAGACATATTTCACACCTAGATTTCTCCAAATATTTGCCTTTGAGACTTGAGTGGTAGAAATGTTTTCGATACCTGGGCCTGTGATGCAGAGGAGACATTTCTAGATGCAGAACTTCAAAAGAGCAGAGGCTAAGAATTAATTGTATTGGCCTATCCGAATGACCTGAACCATCTGATTTCTGTGTTACATACATTTTTGTAGTTGACTTTTTTAAGATGAGTTAACGTGTGTCAAATGGCTGATAGCATTGCATGGGAAAACGTCAGTATACTTGCCGCCTTTTTTTTCTATAATGTAAATCGGATATGTTTCGTCATAAAATTTCTATATTCCTTGTTTATATCTCCGAAAAAAATACTTTTTACAAGGATTTTTTTTAAATGTAACGCATCTATTGAGCCCCAATTTTTCATATGCCCAAAAGTTTTGAGGATACCTCATAAAATTAATGATTTATGATGGAACAATGGATGTATGTCTGTAAAAAAAATAGTTAACTATGTTGCTGTTAATGTTAAGAAAATATACTTTTTGTATAGAACACTCCATATTGTTGCTGGGCGTCAACTTGTATCAAGAAAAAGCTAGGCTATTTGTTTAGGGCTAAGAAGTACTTTTCTCCGCATGACCTTCTCACTCTATATACAAGGCCCAGATAAGGCCAAGCCTTGAATATTGCTCACACGTTTGGGGTGCTGCCGCCCCGACTACATTATTTATGCTTGATGCTGTCCAGAGGAGGGCTGTCCGACTCTCTTCTCTAACAGACAGTCTCGGGATGCTTTCGGAGCGGCGAACCGTGCCGTCGGCGCTCTAGCTCTCTTCTACCGCTACACCAACGGGCTTTGCTCCTCAGAGCTCTCTTTAATGATGCTTCCGCGCGATGTGCCTGCCAGATAGACCCGCCTGACTTTAGTCTCCCATCCTAACCGTGTCGAACTTCGTACATCCACAACTGCTCCGTTGTCCCGAGGGTCTCGAGATTGTGGAACAATCTACAAGAGGAAGCTTTACCTAGTTCTACTAACCTTGGTTCAAAAATCGTACTAACAAAATTTCTTTGGGATCATCATAGCAGTCTCTGCATTTAGGCTTCTGCCTGCGCGGCTTCTTTGTAGCTGGAATCGCTCCTAACTCAACAACTAATCATCAAAATGCTATAGTATGTAATATATCTTCTTCTTTTAGAAGGATCTATCTAAATGCCTAATAAAATATGAGACATTCTGTTTAAAAAAAATACAGATTGTGACATTTTTCTTTTACGGGAATGATCCATATTTTATTACGTATTCAGATAGACCCTTCCAGGAGAAGAAGATTTATAGAACATACAATAGTGCTTTGATTATTGGTGTTGAGTTATAAGCGATTCAATGTACAAAAACGCTCAACTTTGACAGCCTGCCAGATCTCCACTCTGAAAGATAGTGATTATATATCCTAGAGTTATGAAGTACTCATGAGGAGCTTCAAGATGAGGTGTCACATGACCCTCCATTCCATGTAAAAAGTTGGCTCTCAGCTCAAATGCAAAAGGCAAAGTACCAGTTGTTAACCTCCTGTATTTCATTGCGAGTTAGAGTATAGTCAGTTCCATAGAGGTTGTAGAAGAAATATACTTGGTAAAATTCAAATAGTTAATAACTAGTGAATATGTTTCAGCCACATCAATGTTTGAGTCCATGTGGAACTCGATGACAAGCTCAATGCAACTAGCTGAAGAGTATGCCAAGCAAGAAGCTGCCAATGCCACAAACAGTTCACAACCATATGAGGGTATTGAACTGTTTGCACAAACTATTGAATCAAGCAAGTATTATTTGACTTATTCTCTAGAGCAATTTTACAGTTTTGTTTTTTCCAGTTCTTAGTCGTGTCAAGGTTAAATTTATTGATACAGTGATCCAGATTGAACATGTCCCAAAAGATAGCAGTACAGGAGTTGGAATTGTTATCAATGTGGACCTGTAAGTATATACCAATGAATGTGGTCTATACATTCTGACCTCTATTTATCTGTCCCTTGAATTAATTTTGTTCTTTTGGCAATAATAATTCAGTTGTGATAAGTACCATTTTCACTAAATATTGATCAAAATTTATTTAATTCTCAGCTGACTTGAAATGAAGCCATGATCATTGATTAGTTTTTTTAAAAACATGAAACAGCGTTGTTTATGGTTTGATATGGTCGTGGAGACGGAGAGGAAACAGATCCTATTCAGTCTTGTTTAGCTTATTCAACTTTTGCATAGTGTGTCAATGATATATCATGATTTATCAATGATAATTGTTTTCTAATGTGTGAATAAATGATTTTTTAGTATTGAATATTCCGACGAATCTGGCAACGACCCAACCCCTGAGGAAGCGACAGATCTGACAAACCAAGACAGCAAGAAAGCATACATAGTCCAATCTGTCACAACAAAGAAATTCAATATCCAAGGCGTGACATTATCCACAGTTGAGTTTTCTAGTAAAGCTCGAACATTCTCAAGATCTGTACTGCTTTCACAGTCTACATGCCAGCAATTGGATAAAGAGACTGAAGAATCTGTAGCGACTATGTTAAATAGAAGTACAATTGAAGAACAAACAGAAGAAGAGGAGACACAGGTGTTCCCACCTGTAGATGAAAAAGAAAAGACGCCCGATCCAAATCTGAATGGGCATAGACATGTTATAGTTTTTGGAAAGATGAACGGTGGACAAGAGGTGGGTGTATCGAAAAAGATTCATATAGAAAAACCAGCTAAAGGTCTTGACTCTTCTGTTTATCACATCAAAGAAACGTCAAAAAATTGAAAATCAACTGGCGATTTTGCATTACTCTTGGGGATCGAATCTTTTACATGCTCATTAATTTCCCATCTTATAAAAATGAGATTATTGTTTTTGGCCCATCAATAACCCGGACCGACCACTTGAAATTTGATACAAAGTAACTACTCCGCCAAGGTCAAAAACCAGAAAAAATTGCTCAAACATCTTTTTTGACATTTTCGAAACAAATCCTGTGGTTTTTATGGCCAATCAACCCACATGTGTTTAAAATGCTTTATTGCAGTATATGTTTTAGTTACAACAGTGACCTTGTTCCGTACTTGACATTTCTTGACAATATTTTATTTGTCTTCCAGGTGACACCTTGTTTGTTTTTTTTTCATTTTCACATTGGTATACAGTCTGTTACGACAATAGTCTGAAAGGTCCTGTATGCTGATTTTGCGTGGTGCCATCTTGAAATTTTGACATTGACTCCGCGCAATCTCAGCATTTTTACGGACCTTTCAGACTATTGCAGTAACACGCTGTACAGGAATATGAAAATGACAAGGAAAAGCAAACAAAGCGGCACATGGAGCCTATATACCGAGAGAAACTACGGCAACGATGGTCGTGCTGAAAACGACCCCGAAACTTAACGCTTGGAGTACCAGTGGTGCTTTGACAGGGTTGTCATGCTGGGGAATTTCTCCCAAATTTGGGGATGTTTAATTGGGGAATTTTTTGGGGATATAATGTTTTTGGGGAAATAACACGTTTCGCGGATTGAAAGCTCCCTCGCTTTTTGAACCAAACCTACTTGTGATTTTTTTCTGGGAACAGCAGTTCTGAGGGATTCTTGTGCTTGTTCTGTGAAAATTCTGTCCGACCCCTCTGTGTGTGTGCTTTTACAGATCCGCCATAACACTTTCCTAATAGTCTAAATTGCGGCCGTTCGCTTCTTCGGATGTTTTTTTATAAAACTTGTTTTTATGAATGATAAATAATCGTATAATAGATTTCAGCAGGGTTGCGTTTGCCACGCAACAGGCACATTTTTGGGTCGTTTTTTTGCTCATTTTGCGGGTTCTACTGGTATATAGGCCCACAAAAGTTTCACCTGGAAGACCGATAAATAAAATATTGTCATTTACTGAAAAAGGTCACCATTGTGACCAAAACATACCTCACGAAAGAAGAATTTTAAACTGTTTAGGTTTGAAAATTAGTTTGGAAATAATCCTTTACATATGTGAATATAGTTAGTCAAGTTACAATTCCATTTGTGTGTCTTTTGAATAGACTTGCCCATTCTTATTTATTATAAATGTGCGCAGTTAATTTTTTAAAGCGGTTTATCTGTCTCACTTTGCAGCTAAACAACAGATTACTTCACGTGATATAAAAAATCATGCAAATTAGAGATGTGTTCCAAGCAGGTGGACTCTATATCCACCATGTAATTGTTTTGGTCGAACCATCGTTCATATGGCGTTAGGTTTGGAGATAACAGAATTGCGAGTCAGTCTACTTGACGCGATCTTTTTATTTCAGATCAGGATAAAGCTGAAACACAAACAAAATCTGATTGGCCCAAAAGTATCCTTGGACATGAATTTCGGATCTCTCGTGATCTTTCTGTCTCCAAGGCAGTTCCATGTGCTGTTAGAATTAGCTAATGGGCTGGCCAGACCAGATACAGAGGATACCAGCAATATTCCTCCAAGGGCAAGATGTAACACAAAACCAATGACAACAATGGATTATCAACGAGTTGAGCAGGAGTTACAACATCAGTTGCAACCATTTTCTCTGCCCTCATCTGGGTTGCAGGCTGGACGTGGGTGGTCCACGGCAGTCTTGGGTAAGTCAGTAACTCTTGATAATTGAGTATAGTAAGTGGGTCTAAGTAAAAAGCGAGCAATATGTATGTACTTCGAAATTTGAATTTGGTGCCATTTTTCAACGAGATTTTATATTGCGCATGGGTCATATAAGGATCGGAGAATGGATCGTTTTCAAGAAAATTACGATAGTGGAACGGTAGTGTTTACGGCGAGCGTTACCGAAAAAAATGGAAGTATCGTGCCTCCGATTTGATTATAGACGAGTTTTTAGTGCGACAAAAATAGCGGATCGTTAAGCCCTCCGTTACGTTATTTTTGACAGCGATAGCAAATAAGAATAGAAACAAGATTTTATATTTATGACCACTGAAGTGAACCATGGTAATTTGGAAGAACGGACTGATTATCTTCTTCGATTTTGACGTGAAGCTAACACCAAAATGTCAAAACTTTGTTAATTTTTTTCATAGAATATTTTCGTTGATATTTGTATCCAAGAGACCATGAAAAAGTAGAATAATTACAATAAAATGCTACCTTGCCACATTGCATATACAACGTAGAATTGTCGTATCTGGGCATTCGAGAACCCTCGTGTCAAGCATCAACGACCAGCACATTCTCGAGTCACAGTTTGGTGCGGCGTTTGGTATGGAGGTGTCATTGGACCTTACTTCTTTGAAGACGCTGCTTACTGTCACTGGCGGGCCCTACCATGATATGGTGCAAAACTTTCTAGCTTCTCAAATCCAACAATTTAACCTACAAAACATGTGGTTCCGGAACGTTTAATTTCTCGATTTGGTGATGTCAACTGGCCACCAAGGTCACCGGGTTTAAGGGCTCCTGACTTTTTTATGGTGATTTTTGAAAAATACGGCTTATGCCCACAAACCAAATATTGTAGAGCAGCTGAAGGACAATATTACGGAAGTGATTGAAAATATTCCTCCCGAAACCTGCCAAAAAGTGATGGAAAATGTAATCAAGAGCGCTCAGGTTTTCGTGGCTTCCATAGGCGGATATTTGATATTATTTTGCATACATAATTTCTAAGCTTCAATAAAAGATTAAGATGAAAAAAATGGACGAGCCTTATTTGATTTCACAAATATTCAAGATACAAACCAGTCAGTTACATATCGGCCACCCTGTATGACAAAACTCAAGACAATTCAATTTATTCAGAATACTGCCAATTTCTTGCACACTCGATATCTGGAAATACTCCATTAAATTTAACACAAATTGTAGTTGTATCTTTAGGCATGTTTTATGTGAGAGATCAAGCATAAGATATTGGTGTAGTTTTACTGTGACCCACCAAAAACCGTGAAAAGTCCTATAGTGTAAAACGTTTAGTGAAAATTGATGATAATGTAACGTGTGAGTTATGTCGCAATTTTTTTTAGATGACAGTGACAGTGAAGAAAACTTCCTACCTCTACGGAACAACATACATGGAATGTATGATAGTACATTGTCAGGAATTAGCAGTAGTATGGAATCTAGTTTGAACTCTAGCATAGCTAGTTCCGCTACCGAGCAGACCAGTCGTACCAAACGAAGACGTAAGTAATATATCGACGATTTGTGCATTTATGTATTATCATGGTAATCTAGTAATATAGCTTTCATTCGTTCGACCACAAACGCCTAACATTGGACAGCTGTTCCGTGCTTTTTGCCAACTCATCATGGTATAAGGTCTATCGAAATAAGACAGCACAAAGTGCCATCTATTACCAGAATCGATCACTCCGAGAGAGAAAACAGTAATCCGTCTATTGGAACTGTATCCTAGTTCGCATTGTCAGCTGGTATTACGTATCTCGAAAAGTGACATTATGTTGTTTTTTTTATGGAATTATGAATGTTTTCCTAAAATACGTCAACTTGGACCTAGCTGTCGTTTATTTCATGCTCACTTGTAGCAAGTGTGGAATGAACTATCTGCACACGAGCCTACATAATCAACAAGTTGACATTTCATCGGTTTTTTTACATTATATAGATTTTTTAAATAATAACCCTGCCGGACACGAAAGTGCCCGCTAGATCCTGCCGATTCTGGTGCTATAGTAAATATGGTCTACTACCACTATGTGGCTTCAGAAGAAAGTTATTTTGAGGGAGACTATATAAAATTGTAATTATATATTTGTAAAAAAATCAGTCTCATTACTTAATTTACAGACCTCTGATTGTTTTTGGGTGCCATCTAGCAAAATAAAAATGATGCGCTGCTGACGCGAGCGGTTTCGTTATTTTGTTGCCAGCACTGACGATTGGCTGTTGGAAAAAATCGTTCCTTCTTTCTTCTAGTGAATAATATTGAGTCGGACCCCACCGCCGAAATATCCCATTTTCAAATACGAATGGCATCCTTGGCGTTGATATTATTACACGAAGATCTGTTGGTACAACCTGTAGAGAGAGATCAAATCCTTGCCCTCTCTAGCGTTCAACAGATGCAACAAACTGCTGACGAGTTTTTCACGAAACTTGGACATTGTGTACCAACTGCGTATGGCCACAATGATTTTGAGAATGTTAAGGACGTGTTTGATAAGGCGTGTTCTCTAAATCATTTGAGGTAAGTGTTGCATTTTATTTGTAATTAAAGTAAGAGGTGAAACATATGTTAAATCCGCAGGAATTCTTGCTAAATTCAGTTAGTATGACAGAAGTATTCCAAACGAATTTAAGAAGAATGCAGTATGTATCTAGGTCTCTTATTTATTTGGAGAATACATATTGTATAGGAATAGTAAAAAAATCACATTCACATTCCTAAAGCTAAAAACTCTATCTAATAGAAAATAGTCAAATAATGGAGAATAGATCAAATCTAGTCTTGCCGACTACAGGCCTACACAGTCTTTGAATGAAACCGCATATGTAGGTTTGAGTTTGCGGCAGGAGTGTCTTGTCGTTGAATTCTTCCCTAATTCTTTTTGGCTGCTTCTCGCAGTCTGATTTAACAATCATAAGGTGAAAAAAGTTAATATAGAGATGAGTCCTAAAATGCGTTCTTGACAAAATTCATGGTGGTGAAGTTAAATTTATAAATCTAGAAAGTGGACAAAGACATCAACTCATAATTTTCCACATTCAGTGATAACACCATAACTGCTATATATAAAAATTCTCGAAGCTGAAACTGCACCAGTAGTGCAGAAATTGGGATATTTGACCATTATAAATAGTAAAATAAAAATGTTTCCCACATCTCTAATTTGTTTGGAGTCTCTTCTGCAATTTACGATGAATTTTCTCTCGTTGATAAGTTTTTGTCAAACCACTTTTTTGAGAAAAATGTGTTTGAAGATTTGAGGTGAAATGAATATAACAAACGGTTCTATTTTGAAAATATCCTGAAGCTAGTGGAGTTTAACATTATTGTATAGATGAATTTCTACAGTACACATTATAAAATTTGATTTTTGTTGTTGTCTATTCTATGTATCTACTGTTTAGTGTGTTTTAATTTTGAGGTTTGATATTTATATTGTGGGCTTGTAAAAGCACAATTGTATAATTATTGTCACCAATAAATGCAAATTGAATGATAATAAAGCTACATGTAGTGTATTCCAAGAGTTATAGTGTTATTTAAATAATCTTCATGTGTTGCCTTTAATGAATCCCATCATTAGTGTAGAATTTTACAGTACCCCCCTTGGTAATGCGACATTTTAGGCAATATGTGATTATACATGCAGTAAAACTCATCTACTTTTTAGGCACACCATGCAACACGTACAGTAATGAACAAAAGTATATAGACAAATCAATATTGTGCTGTATTTCTTTTTTAACTTGTTTTATTAATACACCAACCTGTATACATAAGTCGTTATAGCATAATACTCACTTATACATAAATCAATTCATTAGACTCCCTTCAATAAAAATTTAATTGAAAAAACTGGAACTATGAAGGACAAAAATATACAAAAACAATTATAGAAAAAGGAGCAAAGTTCATTGAATTATAGAAAACCAACCATGTTTGTGTTAATATTTTGTAGCATAACCATTATTATCAATCACCGTCTGACATCTTCTCGGCATAGATTGTAGAAGTTACTTGATGTAAGATTCATCAATCTGTCTCCACTTTTGCTCTAAAGCGGCAGAGAGTTCATCCTTGTTTGAATAATTTTTATCTCGTAGTTGCTTATCTAAGTATTCCCATAGATTTTCAATGGGGTTTATATCGGGGGAAGGCCATTTGAGAACTGGTACATTTTCATCCAGGAAGAATTTCTTTGCGAGATTTGAAGTGTGCTTCGGGTCATTATCTTGCTGGAAGATTGATCTTAAGGGCATATTGTCTTCCTTATAGGATAACATGACATGCTTTAGTATGTCTGTGTATGCAAACTTATCCATAATGCCATTTATTCTATGTAAAGGTCCCATCCCAAACCCCGAAAAGCACCCCTAAACCATAACAGACCCGCCTCCATGTTTGACAGTGGGCAAAGTGTACTTGGGGTTCAATCTTTGTACACTAGGACGTCTAACGTAATGAACACCATCTGATCCAAACATATTGAACTTGGATTAGTCACTGAAACATACCCTCTTCCAGTCACAGATGCTCCAATCAAGATGCAACCGTGCAAATTGTAATCGGTCATTACGGTTTTTCCTCGAGATTAACGGCTTCTTACTCGAGCGTCGTGCAAATAACTTCAAATTATTTAATCTTCTACTTATAGTTTTCGTAGAAACACTGACAATTCCTTTTGTCTCGATTTCGGCTTTTATTTGTCTTGGGGTTTCAACGGATCTTAGGACGAAATTACTTTTATTAGTCTAACTGATCTAGCATTTAGTTTTCTAGGCCGACCACTTCTCTTAGAGCATTCCAAGATACCTTTTTGTTTATATTTGTTCAATATTGCCCAAATTGCTTTACGCTTCAGCTTCAAATTTTTGGCAATGTCGACTTGACGTTGACCATCTTTGTATAACTCAGAGATCTTAGTTTTCACATCGAAAGAAATTTCTGAACCACACGGCGTGGTCTTAAAACCACTCAACTTATTCCACAATACTTGATGAACACAAACTAATCCTCTTCTGACACGAAACTGTACTAAACTAATGTTGAAAGGAATTTGTCTACATATTTTTGTCCCTCATAAAAAGGTGCTTATATTCAGACTTGTATTGTGTTCATTGCAGATAATGTAAAATCAGGGGATTTAGTTTGTTTACTAATAACGCATTTGTTTATGGAGCAATGAAGTATGAATTCGTTTTCTAAAGGTATTTAGGTAAATATTCATATTTGTCTATATACTTTTGTCCATTACTGTATGTTAGAAAGAATGCGCCCCATAAGCTTGCGACAGTGGGGGAGGGGCGGAGTGTGGCTGTAATTTGCCGCGTTGCCAAACATTGCACCATTTTCTTGAATTATGATGCATGATGGAAATAAGTTTAGTTTGTTTTCTACATCCAAATAATGATTTTATTTTGAGCGTGCACATTTCTTAATCGCAAATTGTATCGAATCGATTCCAGATCAGTTTTAACACTTCTCCGATTTTAAGTGGAACTGAAAGTTCAGGATCGCCACAAACTTTGCAACATTGCGTTCAATGCTATTAGCGTTTTCCCAACAAGTAATCAGTTGAACACCGCACAGGTATCACGAAACTTGAAAAGTGACATCGATTTTTTATGACATCATATAGGTTTTTTGACATTATGTAGGATTTCCGAAAAGATGTCAACTTGGAACTAGCTGTCATTTGTCATTCACTTCATGTTCACTTGTAGTAGATGTGCGTGTTGCTAAAATTTGATGTCCTTGAATCCGTGCGTTTGTGCGAACCCACGGTGGACACTCATGTCATATTCCATTCAAATTCCCAATATAATTTCAAATTGAAAGAAATCTCATTAATATAATGTAATGTTAAAACAACTTGTTTTATGACATTTCAAAATAAACACAGCCTTATTGGAAAACCCTTCACTTTGGGAGGCATGTATGAAAATATCAAATACAGCCTTGTTGTGAAGTAGTTAACAGCTATTCAAATGAATACTTTTTGAAATGAATGAATGAATCTATGGAGGTTGAAATCTTGCTTCAGAATGTACCAAGATGCGTTGTTGTCAAACGGATGTTGCAATGTTGCAGAATTTATGTAGATCCTGAAGTTTCAGTAACACCTACAATCGGAGAACCATTAATTCGACACAGTTCGCGATTCAGAAATATGTACGCTCAAAATAACCCTTATTTAAGCGTAGAAATCAAACAAAACCTTATTTCTACCATGCATCATAACTGCATGCTTATAGGGCGCACTCTTTCTAACCTACGTATTCGTATTGCATGGTGTTGCACGCTTCTCTCCCTCTCTCTCTTTCTCTCCCTCATTAAAAGCGACGCCCAAAAACGTAAATGACTTTCAGTGTATATTGCTATTGGTTTATGAATCACAGTGTATCTATTTTATACTTCCCTTTTCTAGATTGTTGGCCGCTCCAGTTCAAGCGGAAGGTGACGAAAAGACTACCCTCTCCGCCTTTGCTATCACGGGTCAGGTATCGATAGCAAAACTCCAACTTTTAGAATGTCTGTACAATACTGACGATGACGGCACAATTTTAGCTGTTCCTCTTTTGAGTTTCGGGGAAAACCCCACTTTCACGCCTTCTAGTCCAAGCGCTAAACCTAGTTTGAGGTTAAGCTTCAAACATATTGAGAAGTCATCTAAATGCGGGGCATTGAACAGAAATTATGGTCCTAGGAGTGACATTTCGTAAGTATTTTTCAGTTTGAAGAGCTGTGTATCACATCATTTCACAATAAAAGAATGTAATGGTACCATAGCCTGAAGTAAGTATAGTTGGGGTTTATAAAAATGTTTAGTCATCATCTGACGGGAGCAAAGCAGTCGCATTGGGGTATACTACATTATGGCTTGAATCATAAGCGTACCCAGGGGAGGGGCAAGGGAGGACAGTCGCCTCCCCTCTTCGTTCTAGCTCTAAAAATATCAAATGAAGAGAACATTTTTTTATGAAAATTAAATTGTTCATCTACAGGGTTCTCAACAAGCTGAATCAACATAGATAGGAAATTATTAGGATTAGTTGAAATCCGTGACATGTTATCATCTTTGATATTTTATGGAATAAATGACGATATGATAATTTCAAGGCTTACTCAGGAAAATTCGTTTTTTAAGTAATTATAGTTTTACAATATTAATGTATGACAAGCTATAATATTCGTATCTGTTACCATTTCGGAGATCACAATGGTGAAAATATGACAAATGTGTCTTTCAAATCACTCCAGAAGAAACTATGTAAATATTATATATAATTATATTAATTATATAATATTATTAATATACATATTCTATAAAACTTTTTCTATATATGACGAAATTTCAACTAATAGTGGGAAAACAAGAATAAATATCAACAAAGAGAAACTATTTTCGGAACTAGTATAATATGCTATCCCCCGTTACATCAAAACTTCTTCCTTTGAACCGGCATAGTAGAATATACTAAAAAATGCATGTTTCTGTTGCCATGCCGTTATGAATCACCCTGTAGGAAGCACATAGTTATCCATCATTTTTGTTAATAACTTTTTGAATTACCTTTTGTGGTACTGGAGATATAGACCAATTACATACTAGAAACTTGCCCTGAATATCTAATATGTTACAAAAGTTACGTCGCTGGATAGTTTGGAATTTTTTTTTTTTTGATGTTAATAACAACAAAGGCTTTAACTTTTGGCTACTATTTCATATTTACTATTATGCACTTTTCGACAAGAAATAAACGAGTTTTTTCAGTAACCAGTTAAATGTTGTAGTGAAGCAGACATATCTATTTGTTCTCATTTTGAAGGTCTAACGTATGTATGCCCTAGAATTCTTCTATAGACATATAACTTTGAAGTTTGATAAAAAAGTTATCTAGAATTTTTCACTTTGAGATGAGAGGTTTTTGTATTCACTTTAAATAATATATAATTCCTTTTTAAAATCCTTATATACAATTTATTCTGCAACGGGCTTTGGCTAGTTAGTCTGATCAAATAAGTATTGTGACGATTCTAGATAACATATTGCAACAACGGTTTCCCAATCTTTCAACTCAGATTCCACTCCACAAATTTTCGATTAGGACATCTCTTGTTGGGTTTGGAGTTACACAAAAGTGACTGGAATCTTTGCATGAGTATCTCAAAAAAATAATCCTAGTAGTTTTCCATATCCTTATAAATTCTCAAATTCTCGTGAAAGACTGCATCAATGAATAAGACATTGAAATCCAAACAGAAAAAATATTAAGCACTGTACATGATTTGTGGAACACCAAAATTTTTTTGAAACTGTCCCCCCTTCGTTTTGAGCTGGGTACGGCCTTGGCTTGAACTGTTTACTTTTTGGTCACCGTGTGATGTCTGTTATTATTTTTTAAAATAATCCCATGGAGTCAGCTGTGATTTGTTCAGTGATGATTATACTGTAAGAAGGAAATCCATATCACTTATGATAAAAACTTAAACATCGGTAATGAGAACTATACCGAGATCTTTAAGAGATTCTGGCTGCACGGCTGCCTAATATTGATGGCTCGAAAAACTTTTATAAATTCCAAATTTATTTTTGTCAGGTTTTTTATATTTACATATATCATCTCTTATAGATTAGCCCTGAATAAATGTACCGTGGAATTTGATATAACGATAATAGACAGACTGAATGCTCTACTACACCGTCCAACGATATGTTTTATAGAAAAAACAAAATATAATCCTTGGACTGGTGGTATAATTCCTGCCCCTCTGGAACCTCTCGACACCATTGAATCTCGTCTAGATGTGAAGATTAGTTCATCATGTATCAATTTGAAACTAAGGTCAGTATTATTTTAGATATCGTGAAGGAATGGGAACCGTATAAATGGTAGTACATCCACTGTATCCGTATCCACTGTATTTTCAGTGTAGCATTCGGTTTTCGTCCAAGATCTGCATAGCTCTCTGTTCGAAAATGAACGACATATTATAATATCATTAGGAACAGTTTCTCCATTGCGAAATCCTATCCTATGCAGATCAGTGGATGACGTTATATTTAGAGACATGGAAGGAATCCTAAAATCCGCTTAGTGTGAACAGTCCTAATTGTGTGATGCGGCCTTGTGGATGCATAGCCTTAAGGTATCCATTCTACCTACTTTTACTTACTCGTGGCCTCTGGAAACTGAACTGTAGGGATGTGACATTGAGTGAAAAAAAAATCGATTATTTAGAAATCTATTTTCCCGTTCTAATATAAATCGATTTATCGAGAATCGATTTTAGAAGAAAAAAGAATCGATTTTTGTGGCAAATTCAGTTTTTCTAATGTTTCCAAGAACAACGTGTTTTTATATACAAGACCGTCTAATGGTGAGTGGGTGAAAATTTTACAGAAAAAAACTGTGTCTATGTTGTATTTAGGACACATTTTAAAAATATTCAGCCTTATGCAAGGTATCCCCATTTTTCACCACATGTCAAAGTTGTATTTCTAAATATTGAATATTCGGACAGACACCTTTTTAAAAGAAGAAGACTGACATAACAGGTCATAGGGTTTTGATTATTAGCTGTTTAACTAATCATTGTACAAAAACGCTAGTCGGCCACATTGAGAGATATTGAAATGCATTATGTCAAAACATTTTCTTAGTTCTCGTTTAATTTTTCATGGAGCTTTTAGACGGGTAATATTTTTGTTGCTATATGTGGCTGTAACTTTATTATGGCAGCTATAGTCCATCCCTCGTAAACCTTTAGTGTATGTCCTGGCTATATATCTCGTCTATACGAGGTCTGTGAATTGACTGATGGAGACTGGCATCGTAGAGTTCGAGCGGAAACACTGGATGCGCCGGCCTTGGAGGGGAGTCAGGGAACATATGATCCGCCTTCAGTACAAGTTTGAACTCGCTCGAGTCATTTGGTTATCCTGTAGCGATTTTTTTCTTGTGTGTGTTGTGTTCTAAAATGACTGACATGAATTTCGAGCAACGGTGTGCTATCAGGTTTTGCCTCAGACTTGGGTTCAGTGCAACGAAAATTCTTGCTAAACGGGCCCACGGAGATAGTGTTTTGTCAGGCGCCCAGGTTTTTCGGTGGATTGAGGCATTTTCAGAAGGTCGAGAGTCGATTGAAGATGACCCACCCATCTTGAAGAACCTATGAAAGTATTGACAGAATCCGGGATCTTGTGCATTCAGATCGTGGGTTGACAGTCAGAATGATTGAGGAAGAGATAAATTTGACTCATACCGCCGTTCACCAGATCAAGAACAACTGGGTGCTACATCATGATAATGCTCTTTGTCACGCAGCAATGCCAATAAACGAGTTGTTTGCCAATAAAAATATTTCTGTCGCTTCTCAGCCTTCTTTTTCGCCCGACTTGAGTCCTTGTGACTTTTTTCTCTTCCTGAAGTTGAAAAATCACCTCAGGGGTAAGGAAAAATCAGTCTCATCACTTAATTTACAGACCTCGTATATCGTATGCACTATATCGGCAATATTGTCTGCAATGTGTAGATCCATATACTTTTCAGAATTTCTCACCAGAGGTGCTACAAAATCATGTAAGAATAACTTACGAAATTGTACGAGTCGCGGCAGCTTACATTACTTGCATCGCATTAGATTAAGTAGAATTCCGATAGTTCAGCAATCTGACAGCAATATATGAAAATAGGTCGGAAATGCCAAACATTGTAGCGGTATATCCGAGCCATATTATCAATATTGCCTTATGTTTCTGGCTACTCTATTGCAGCTGGATCATTTGTTCTCCATGGTGATCGAAAACAAAAAACCTACTGTTCCCAAAATTTCAAATGGAACACCGCGAGCTTGGCTAGTTTTTCATCCCTCGCACAAATAGCGCAGTTTACAAAATCGACCGACATGCGTAAATTGTATAATCGATCATTTAAAATCAATAAATTACTATTATCATTATTATTATTATTCATAAAATCGATTATTAAAAATCTATTACAAAAAGATATTCGACAAAATGAAAATCGGTTATTTTTCAACATCTAATGAACTGTCGTTATTTTCAGGTTTCCTATCCCAGACTTTAGACCAACCCATGACATGAGCAGAACTCCATGGTGGAAAAGAAACGTCCGACCAGATTATGTGTCGTTTATTATGACAGAAGCCGTGTTTTTCACTACCTTCCAAACCAATCAGGCACTGAAAGAATACACGATACAGAGCAGAGGATTGGACATTTTTTACTATGAGACTGAAAATAGTATTCCACTTCACATAGCCAAGGCTGGATTCGATGACAAGTACGCATCGTCGATGCAGGATATTTTGTTACATACTAGGTATATATACAGGGTGTTTTAACTTCGACCCTCACCATTAGGATCTCGGAAACGATAAGAGATACGAAATCGCTTAAATGGAGGCAAAGTTGCGTATTTTGGTAACTAACAATGTCGCTTAGAAGGTTTGGAAAAAGTTGGAAAAAACCGAATTTACCCAAAATCGTTTTAATTTTTTCCTGACTTTATTTGTAGTAGATTATTGAAATAAATTTAAATCTGATAATTTCAATGCTCACCTTGGAAATTCTGTTTTTCTGGAATAACTAAGGCTTGGCAATGTCAATGTATGACTTATTATATATTTTTAAAATCAGAATTAAAAACCATTCATCTGTGCAAAAATCCGAAAGAAAAAATAAAGTTGTTGCTGGAGGACAAGAGGCGAAACGTCATATTGGAATTCTAATTATGCCTTCTTGTAGAGGAAAAAATGTGCAATTCATTTTGAAATCCCATTACAATTAAGGTCATGAAAATATTAAAACAATTCTGTCTCTCTCCGGAAGTACTTTGAACTTTCTAAGCGGCATTTTGTTGTTTCCTAAATTCGCAAACTTTGTCCCCATTTAAGCGACCTCGTATCTCTTACAGTTTCCGAGATGCCAATGGTGAGGGTCCAATTTGAAACACCATGTAGAGTGGAAATAGTGAAGCAGCGACTACATACACATCAGCCTATATCTCCAGATCCTACCCTAACAAACCTATGATCGTTGATTAACATGTTCTTCCTGAAGATAGCCAACCTAATGCTATATTCCCACGTCTAAAAATGTATCCGAGATAAAATGAGAATTTGTCACAGCTGCATCCTGTATTTACAGTCCCACTCCTCAAAGTTTGGACTTTCTTTTCCGGAAACAAGTACATTTGATGTGTCAGATTTCTCACCTACTTCTGCACAGTATTTTGAGTTTTTCAAAAGGCCATACCCACTTGTTTGCTTTCTGTTCATCTGTCTCCAGGACTACTAGTCATATATCGCACTGATGAGTTGCTAAGGAGCATGAAACAGCGCTGTCTGCGAATTGATTGACGATTCTTAAATATATCGTTGCCACATTAGCAGGGAGCTGCCTTACAGATTTCACTTTTCCAAAAACTCAAAGCATACGTAAGAAGTGTTCTGTCTAGATTTTATTTATATTATGTTTCTAGGTTAAATATAAAAGTGTTTCCCAAACGATCGACAGAGTTAGAGGAAGTTACAGAACCAGAACAGGACCCCATGACAACGTCTTGTTATGGTGCGTTTGAGAATCAGGATAATAAAGAGCCAGGTCCATTCAGTGCTAAAAAAGTGGTACATGAAAGTGATACTCCACACTCAAAGCGTCAAAAGGGTAAGAGATACAAGGGTAACGATGATATGAAAAAAACCATATAAGCATACGTCTGAAAGTAGTTTGTTTCCAAAATATGCGATGTGTAACTTCTTCAGAACAGGTTGACATGTTGAATAAAGCACTCACATCAGCAACACTCGTGCCGAGAAGTCACGGTTAGCGAAAAACAGTACGCCACTGTTTTTTTCTAAAAAATAGTATCTGTTTCTTAATCAATCCGTTTACGGCTATTAAAAAATAATAATCGGACTGGCACTTTTTACTTTTTACGCAACTGGGCAAGGAAGTATTGTAATCGCAAGAGAAGTACCACTCAGATTTTGATAAAATTTTCACACAAGGTTCCAACTATGTCGAGGATGAAAACACTTTGTTGTTTATGAAAATCGGCCTGGTGTCGGCGGAGAAAAATGCCAAAAAACTAAAAATAAAAATCGTCCTAACTTCATTTTTTCACGTTTCACAAACATGATCCTGACCATTTTTGAAAGAAATTTTAGGGATTTTGGGGTGGGGGTTGTTGGGGGCGTAGGATGGTGTATCGTAATTTTTTGATGTCAGTACACTTACAACCCCGATAATTCTACGCACCTATTAGACATATATTTCCCCGTACATTTGCCCTTAAAACTTAAAAAAAAATTGTTTTTACCTCATAAATTGGGACAACACTCTTACAGAACAAGTTTATTTGTGAGTTGTTCTTTTCGGAAATTGTTCCCGTGTACGAGGGGATTTATAGATATACCGGGAGTAATCTAGTAGTACAGGGTGTTCTGCGGGAAAGTTCACTTTTTGAATTACGAAAAACAAGATACAAATTCAATGAAAAGAATATATTTGTTACTATAAAGTATTCGTAAATTCGGCGGGTTTTATTTCTTAAATATCATTCCGTCCTCGGACATACTCCGAATGATGTTGTTTATTCCTCGTCGAATATTGTCTTCAAGCTCATCCAGTGTTAGTGGATTATTGGAAACACTTTTGGATACCTCACAAAAAATAATCGCATGGCGTGAGGTCGGGTGACCTAGGAGGCCAGTGAATGTCTCCAAACTACGATATAACTTTTTGAGGAAAAAGTGCTTTCACCGTGTCCATCGATTCTCTGGAAGTATGGGCAGTGGCCCCATTCAGTTGAAACCATGTGTTTCTCTTAAATCGACGTTCTGTTCTTACAGTACAAGCGAAAAAAGTGTCAATCGTGTCCTTGAATAGCTCGGAATTGACTGTCAATGCATTACCGTTTTCATCTTCAAAGAAATATACGGCCAAATAATACCGCTAGAGGATATGGCGCACCAAACAGTCACCTTTGCAGTATGTAGCTGTTGTTGATGTTTCTCTTTTGTTGTTCGTTGGTGCCCAATATAGGCAATTTTGCTTGTTCACATAACCGTCTAAGTGAAAATGGGGCTCGTCACTGAAAACATCGTTCTCGAGTCTGCGCTGCAAAAGAAAAAGATTCAACATCTGTTCAGCACAAGATGTCCGTAATACGTAATCACTTTCCTTTAAAGCATGGACTGATTGGATTTTATAAGGATGAAAACCCATTTTTTTCTTCATTATGCCCTGCAGTGTTAACCTAGGGATGCCCAAAGCAGCGGAATGCTTCCGTACAGAACGCCGAGGATTTGCAATGACGCACATTTTCTTCGGTAGATACAGTAGGTGTGAGGCCAAGAATGGGATGACCCTGAACCTGTTTCACGGAACCTATTAATCCACTTTTAAATAGGTTTTTACTTGGGGCATCTCTTGGTTGGCGAATGTTGTATCGTGTACAAAATTCCAGAAGGGCAGCTATGAATCACCACTCTTAAAGTAAGCCTCGATACCAAAAGCTGTGCTCCGGTCCAACGTTCCATTGTGACTATTTAACCCGCACGCCGAACACGCCGATTAAAACGTCTCTCCACTTTCTCGCGTATGCGGTTGCTGCGTAATTCAAATTTGAAATGTGAACTTTCCCACTCGACACCCTGTAGTTGCTTCTTGTGTATGGTGCAGATTAGAATTCTTCCGTCCTACTGGGTGACTACTGCAGTTTTGTTGCAAGGGCAGCTAAAAAATATCTGTGGACTAATTGTATGGACCTGTTTGACTGACTTGATGCGTTTATTAATTTTTCTTTTGTTCATGCTCTCCACACATTTTTTTCTTAGCGGATTCAGCTTGTTCTGAACTTCCTTTATGAACTGATGACGGCATTGCAAAGAAAGTGCAGTCAACTTACTTACTGTATGGTCATAAGCTCTAAGAGACTTTTCATACAGAAACTTTTAGGAAAACAACTCTTATTTTTGAAAAGAACAGTTTCATATAATTGTATACTAAACGTAAAGTCGGGTAAGCTTAACATCCCGTACTATGAAAACGAGGAAATACCGGACCGATGCTTATATGGACTTTTTTATATTTTATTTTCATACTCCACATCATCTTTTGAATCATCGTAAAATACATTCCACAAGCTAGCGCCAAGATGTGTGGAACCATCCTGAAAATGTCATCCCTGTCCTTCTATTTCCAGATGATGTTGAAGAATTGATCATGCCCGGCGACAAAGCGGAAATCAACGAATTCATCCGTCAGTCATCAGCTTGCACAAAGATCCAAGTGGAAATGTTTCTTCCCACAGTTTCACTGCAGTTCAAGTCGAAACACATCTACGAACTGATATACAATCGGATCAGCAACGATTTGCTGCTGTGGTCTCCAAGCGCTCCCAAGCCTAAGAGCGTTTATGATACTGGAAACCATGCCATGTATAGTGGGTTCGTGAGGAATGTGGTGGCGGAACCTGATACGTTTACGATGTGCAAGAGTGGAATTCAGTATGGTAAATACCTTAACATTCTACCTCCATGATCTCAAGATTCGAATTTAGTGTTTTTTTTGTTTAAGATTTGTTTAGCATGATTGCTACAATTACAGTCAATAAAAAAACTACAACATCTACATAACGTACAAATATTCAGAAAAACCAAACTTGCATCGCTAAGAATTTTCACTGTTCATGAAATGTTTCTTTAATTTGCTTTTAAACATCTTTAAAGATTTCATATCTTTATTTAGTTTATTAAATTCAAGTAATCCGTTCAGAAATATTGTTTTGCTAGTTATATTACTATTGCAGCTTTATAAATGGAAATCTATTTTTCCTCATGTACGAGGGATGTCTTTTAAGTTTTGCATATAGAAATAAAACATTACGGTAGGTAGTTTTAAATGACTTTATTGTTTTTCGAAGTATTCTCCACGAAGATTAATACACATCTGCATGCGCTCGAACCAATGTTCGAAGCACTTATTCCACCCGTTTGCTGGCAGATCCAAACCGGCATTTTTGAATGCGTCAACTGCTTCCTCTGGTGACTGGAACCTTTGACCACACAGTCTTAACTTAGATCGGGACTATATGGAGGATGGTCCAATAATTCCACGTTTTCTTCCGTTAAATACTGCCTTGTTTGTTGGGCTGTGTGCGAGCTTGGATTGTCTTGGTGGAGGATGATTCTTCTTTTGGGGATGACTTTTGGCTAACAAATGGTGGTATACCAATCCGTAAAAACAGTACTTTGCTCGTTAAGAGGAATTGTTGCAATATGACCCGCTTTTGACGCAAATGTCGCGACCATCTTTTCCGAAACACTTCGAGAACAATGACTTTTGTTGGCTTTTCTTCACCTTGGAACACCCAAACTGTCATTTATTTTCTGGTTCATAACAGTAAATCCACGATTCATCACCACTAACAATGCTGTACACATTTTTTGAGTTTCTGGAATTGAAACGGACAAGCGTTTTTTGACACCAATTAACCCTGGCTGCTTTTTGCTCTTCAGTCAACAGGTGGGGTATCCAACGAGAAACTAATTTTCTTACTCCTAATCCTTCATGTAAAATTTTTTGAATTTAGGTCTTTGAGATCTTCAAGGACGCCTCAATCTCGCGATATGTCACATGTCTATCTTCAATGATGAGTTTGCGCACAGCATCGACGTTTTCCTGGGTGACTGCCGTTTTTGGTCCACCCACCCTGGAATCGTCGCTGCGACTCACCCGTCCACGTTTGAATTCACCATACCAACGGGAAATTGTCGACTGATGTGGCGCTTCGTTGCCGAAAACAGACAGTAACTCAGCAAGGCATTCTTGTTGCTATAATTGTCTCTGAAAGTTGTAATAAATTATGGCGCGAAAATGTTCTCGGTTGAGTTCCATTTGCTCAATAAGTTTCAATCCAGTAGTGGTCGACTACTCGGTGCAGGCTTTGGCGCGGTTATCTGGAGCGTTGTCATGGTGGAGGTACCAAGTGTTCATTCTTGACTTTGGCCGCAGGATTTTCATAGACTTTATGACTTTATTCAGTCACTGTTCCGCGTACCACTTAACTGTGACTGTCTTATGTGTGTCCAAATCTACATGGTCCACAATCCCGCTTGATTTGAAAAATGCAGCTGTCATTTTTTTTCTTAACAGATCGGGATTTTCTAACAGCTACGGCTGTGTCCTCATCATCATCAAAGAGCCAAACTTTGTTTTGAGCCTTCGTAATAATAGAGCCAAGTGTCGTCACCTGTCATGATGCTGTTCTCGTACAGAAATTGCCCCTTATTAAACATTTTCATCATCTTTCGGCACCAAGTCGTACAACGAGTCTTCTGCTCTTCCGTCAGGCTATGCAGTACCCAGAGAGAACAAAGTTTCCTTACGTGTGAATGGTCATGCAGAATTGAATGAATTACTGCTGCATGAAGGTGTAAGGTCTCCTCTATCTATCTGTTGGTATGTCACTCTCCGGTCTTCATCAAGCATTTTTTCTTACAGCGGTCATGGTTTCCTCTGTTACTGACGTTCGCGGCCTTCCTTCCCTCTCAACGACCTTCAAAGTGAATTGTCCCTTTGGAAATCCCTGTATCACTTGAATATAGTCGTACGATGAGGACAATCATTCTTTAATACAACCGTCATTTCTTCTAAGCGCTGGTCTATGGTTTAACCACGCGTAAAGTTATACCGTAAAACTGCGCTTGTCTCACTACGTGCCACGACGCAATAGTCCGCACTTTACACTGTCAATACGAATGTACAACTAAATCAACAGACGTGCCGCAGGCGGCTACTATGCACTCTTGGACATGTCCCAACATACAGTAACATGCAGCCTCCTGCGTCCGTTTGTTAAGTCATATTGCAAAACTTTTATATTACCCTGTGTATAATAACTGTGGTAATGATTAATCAATTCTATGTAGTGTTCTAAATGTTGTGGCAAAAGATGATTTTTTATTTTCAATGTGAAAATAACCAAATATAATATGAATTTTTTTAAATTCAGCCGCTGCAATTCTTATAACATGAATATTATCTTGGTGTACTTATTTTTATTCAATTATTACTCTTATAGCTGTATTTTGTAGGACGTGAATACAGCTGCATGGGCAGTGAACAAGATAGTAGACAATATAGTAAATGCTGTAGAATAATACGAGCCCCTTCCCACCTCAGTTGGCCCAACTATTGAAATCTTAGTTTTTTCTTATCAAACACAATAAAAATGTAGCAGGATGTTATAGGTTTAAAATATTAACAATGAATATTTTGATAATATATAGTAGAAAACACCAACTTTATCACTCCCTAATCAAATTTAAAAATAACACATGTTGCAAATACAGCATATCAACCTATTTTTATTTCAATGCAAAATAAGTCTATAACACATAGGTGGCTGTGAAAAATAAAAGCCATAGCAATTGTTTTTATTAATCACAGCTGTCAGAATACGTTTAAAATAGTTTTGGGTAGTTAAGGTTTTCAAAATGGGTAGAGGAAAGGTTATTAGTGAGAAAATTCGGTTACTGATAATTAAATTTTTTAATTCTGGGAAATCAAACTCAGAAATTGCAACTTTATTAGACTTATCGCGGTACAGTGTGAGAAATATTGTTAGAAGATATAACGTAACTGGTTCAGTTAATATTAAGCCACGATATGTGAAAAAAGTAATATCACAGATGCTGACCGAAGAGCATTAATAAGAATAATCGTGAAAAACAGGCGTGCCAATTATTTACATTTATGTGCTCTGTGGAGTGACGCTGTTGGAAGTAGAATTTCGAGGTCCACAACTCATAGAGAGGCCCACAAACTGGGATTTAGCACTTGCAAGGTAAGTTTTCTTATAAAAAAAAAGTGAAGTAAAAACCCTAAAGTTGCACAACTTGTTTATAGGCCAAAGAAAAGCCACTATTAACTCCACTGCAAAAGAAAAATCGGCTTAGATGGGCTAAAGAACATAGACAATGGACACCTCATCAATGGTGTGCAATACAATGGAGTGATGAGGCCCTATTCGAAGTTTGTGCTGGTGACAGTCGCAGTAGAGTTATTCGCAAAAAGATGAAGCATTCCATGTTGACTGTCTGAAGAGAAAAGTGAAATTTCCAGCATGCTTTATGGTCTGGGGCAGTATGTCATCAAAAGGAGTAGGAAAACTTCATTTTATTGATGGAAATGTGGATACAAACGAATATTTGGCAATTTTAGAAGAATCGCTTTTACCAGTGTTGGAAGAATGTTTGACATCCGGCCAAGATTTTGTGTTTCAACAAGATGGTGCAGCGTGGCATACCTCAAAAAAGGCTATAAAATGGATGGAAGAAAATAATGTACCACTTTTGAAATTTGTTTCTAACAGTTCCAGATCTGTCACCTATTGAAACTTTGTGGCACGAGATGAAAAAGGTTCTACGACAACATCCTGCTCGTACAATCACCGAACTGAGACAAAAGCTTCAAGAAATATGGGATTGTTTTACACCAAATTTTTGCCAAAACTTGGTTAACACTATGCCCCAAAGAATTTCAGCCGTAATAAAAAATAAAGGTGATGTTACCCAGTGGTAATCTTTCAATTGTTGCTTTGTTAACTTCGCGCATTTATTCGCACATTGTTTATTTGTTCAGATGTTCTATTAGTTATAGGTCTAAGTGATTCCAAATATGTATTTTTACGACTAGAGTGTATCTAAAATGTTTTTGAGAAAATAAATTATTTTAGAAGTAAATAGTTTCGTCATGTTTAGTTTATAAAGGCATATTTTGGTACAAATCTTGAAGTGGACCAACTGAAGTGGGAAGGGGCTCGTAGTGTGATACACTTGTTTTTGGAATATGTACTAAGACTGTAAAAGTAATTTGTTTTTTGTAAATTTTTGAAATAATGTAATGTTATAATGATGTTATATGTACGTGTATATTATTTACTCTGATTTTATAAAAGTGTTCTGAGTAATCAACACTTTTATGAGTATATAGTACGCAACGGAAAACTTTCGAGATGACGGATAAGAGGAGTGATATTATAACTGACTTGTTAGCAAGACCTTCGTCAGTCCGTACTATAGATTGCATAAATTCTGAAATAATACAGCACAAAGTGTCATCTATTTCCGGAATCGACCAATACGAAAGTGAAGTGATAACGGCAAGCTGTCTGTTGGAACCATATCCCAAATTGCATTGTCAGCCGGGTCACCTCTGTGGCTGCTAGATGCCGCCGATTCTGGTGTTATACTCGTAGTAGATACGGTCTTCTTGCCATTGAACAATTTATTTGGCAATTCGTCAGCATTGTGTAGCAACTATCATCTATTCAGAGTATAATGTCTATCGAAATAAGGCAGTACAAAGTGCTGAAAGTTTACGCCAAAATTACAAATGTATTTTCCGTCAGGAAGATCTAGATACACAGTGGTGTGACAATAGCTTTCATTTATTATTCATTTCTAACTGTAACGTTAGTTCGTATTTTGGAGAGAACAGCAGACGCTAAGGTTTTGATGTAACATGCTCCTACAGGTTGGATTTTTCTGTCCATGTGGCACGCATCACTTCCGCAGCGACGCGGATGCTAGGTTTTATAATGCGTAACTGCCACCACTAAAAACCCTTTTTATTTCGCTGGTGTGACCAAAACTTCGGTACGCTTCTTTGATATGGAACCTTTTCTATGCATATTTTATAAATATTTTGGAAAATATACAAAAAAATTCTTAAATATTATGCTTATAAAATTGTTGGCTTATATCCATGAGCTTTTGCGCGACAGAGTGGACGCACCCGAACTCCTCCAGAGCTTGTGTTTTTGTATACCACGTTTAAATTCGAGGAAGACCTTCTACTGCAGTACATCCAATACCAACATATTATTTTATTAACCGTTATATTCTATTATGCAATAATTATAATTCCATAGCAGCCAGTGCTGACATTAATTTCGATTGTATCAATACATTTTTTCAATCTTCTGAGAGTATTACAATAGCTAATTTTTTTGTTTCGTTTTATGTGGTTCTTGTATGCACACTATTATTAGTTAAGTTACCATTATATTGCCCTGTAATTGGATTAATCTGTTGGGCAATTATGTAAAAATAAAGATATAAAATGTGAAATCAAAAATCTCCATATTGTTTTTACAAGTTTAATAAAATTTACTCATTTCGCACAATTTTGATGTCTAATTCTCTTAACTATATCGACTTCCAGATTCTGAAAGTGACACTGACAGCGAATCCGACAACAGCAGCAACATCTTCTATTCGACCTACGACAACCGCATGAAATTCACATCGGTACGACCTCAAGTACTGTCAGCCCCTAAGACGGTAGGCCAAAGCTACCTCACGCTCAACATCCAGATAGGACAGGGTGTGATGTGCGTCAACCCTCCTGTAAGGGAAGCCAGCACCAAAAACGTCATACCTGGCCAACAAGGGGAGTTCATGCTGAATCTAGAGGATGCTAATGTGTTCGTGGTGAGCGGCTATAAGGGCGAGACGAATTTGGGATATGTGTGCGTGCAGGTGCATAATGCTCAGCTGTATCACTGTGGTAAGTTTGTCCTTGATTTTTTTCGTAACCTAAAAATGAAATTGGTGAAATTATGCAGGGTTTTCCGAAAAACTGTCACTTGAGCTATATATGGGCACTATCGAAGGTCATTTAGCTTCTATGGCTGAATCTGTAAATTCTATACTACAGGTCTTTGCGCCATTCCTGAAAGTAAAGTTGAGGTTGGAGGACAAGAGATATTGAAATTCCAATTATGTCATTTTGTACAGGAGTAAAAGTAACAAAGTTAAGGGCAATTTATTTTGAAATGCCACTACAACTAAAATCAGGAAAAAAACGATTTTGGGCAAATTCATTTTTTTCTGTCTCTCTCCGGAAGTTCGAATTTCGAAACTAACTAAGCGGCTTTTTCTTAGTTACCTAAATACGCAACTTTGCCCCCATTCAAGCGACTTCGTATCTCTTACAGTTTCCGAGATCCCAATGGCGAGGGTCGAATTTGAAACATCCTGTATATATACAGTAGCGGACAAAAGTTTGGAAATTAAGAACTTCATATATGTACCTGAATTAAAATTGTATATATATAATATAAATATTAAAGTCTACCTTTGGCTCCCGTACTAATTCAAGGTTTATCTTATCAATATTCAAATTCTCTGAAAATAAAAACACGCGTTTTTTTGAATACCACAGTTTTTGTAACCGCAAAAGTATGGAAATATTTCAGTTTTGCCGTATTTATTCGTTCTGCGATACTTTGATATTGCGTGCGGTAAATATTAACATCAGTGAGAACGGCAAAAGTAAAAGGATTTTCAAGAGATATAAGAGACAAAGGAATTGAATTACATATTTAGAAGTGGTGTCAGAAATGATGACATTTCTCAAAGATTAAAAATGCACAAAGGGACGATTTAGAAAATTATTAGTAAATATCAAGAATACGGATCAACTGCAACGCGGCCCAGGTAAAAAAAAAACGATTATGTTTTGGATCGCTACATTAAACGTTTGTCCCATGAATATCCTCGAATGCCAGCCACACAGATTTTCAAAACAGTCGTAGAAGAGGGTGCCGAGAATTTTTCTGTCAGAACAGTGCAGAGACGCTTGGTTGATTTTGGGCTTTTTGGTAGGCATACAGTGCAAAAGCCTCTCATTTAAAAAAGTTGTATTGCTCAGCTTGAATTTGCTAAAACTCATCTAACTTGGTCAGAACAACAATAGAATACAGTTTTATTGAGTGACCAAAGCAAATTTATTTTGTTTGGATCTGACGGTACGGCATATGTGAGACGTCCAATACGAAAGAGGTTCGACAAAGAGTATCAGTTGCCGACAGTCAAGCACGGAGGAGGCATCATGGTTTGGGGCTGTTTTTCTAGTTCTGGAAAGGGTCCAATTGTTAAAGTTGTTGGGAAAATGGATCAAAAACTTTACAAAGATATTCTTAGTGAACACTTGCTCCATTTTGCTGAAGAAGAAATGCCTATACGATGAACATTCCAAAAAGATAATGACCCCAGGCATACCTCGAAATTCGTAAAGGACTGGTTAAGACTAAAAAATATTAATTTTCTTACATGGCCTTCACAATCCCCGGACCTAAACTCTAAAGAACATTTCTGGGAGTATGTTAAAAGACAACTGACGAGAAAAACTTGAAAAGATAGGAACGATTTGATTATGAAAAAAATATTTGGCAAAATATCCCAAACATGTGTGAAAAATTGGTGTCATCTATGAACGGCAGATGTCAGGCAATGTTGAATGCTAAAGGCTACGCTACCAAATATTAGCTAAACAGTATTTTTTAAACCTTTTTGTAGAGCTAGTTGTATTTAATTTAGTAATAAAAAATACTTTTGTCGTCCCTTTTTGGGTCTTAACATAATATCAAGGTATATTTTAATGCTAGTCAGTAGTACCACAGCAAACACAAATTGTCATTTGTGTCCTCAAGACTGTAAGCAAATTATATGAGAAAAAAATGTCCTTAATAATAAAGAATAAAAAATTAGCGCACTTTTTAATAAATACTAAGAATGTTTCCAAACTTTTGTCCGCTACTGTATTGTACTATTTTATATTTCCCACCTTTAAGGAACACTTATTATGTAATTTCTTTTTGTAGATATGATATCAATACCTAGTCAAACTCCGCCATTGAAGGAATTTGGTTCAGCTCCAGGGAGACATTTGTTTCCTACTATTTACAAATCGGAACCAGGAATGCTGGTTTGTGGTAAAAACAGGGGAGGTAACAGAGAAATGTTCAGTGTAGCTGTTAAAATTCAAGGGAGGCATGAAACTCATCATGTTAAGGTAAGTGTTTTACTCGAAAATTTTGATATGGTTTGTTACATCTGGCATGGAATAATTTGTATAAAATGTTTTTTTTTATTATTTTTAGACTGTACAAATAGCAATTGGTCTGAACAAATCTACTTTGAGACATCGGGTGTGCAATGAACCAAACAGCTGGATTACTCACCTCATAGACTTTTTCAAAGTTCACGATTATCCTATAAAAAGTTATCATTCCAAAGACGTGCTAACCGAACTTCATGTAAACCTCTGGGATTGTGCTGTAGATTACAGGTAAGTAACTAGTGATGGTATGAAGCGATATTTTAAAATCAGCTGTAAAATTTTCATGTTCGTATGTGGAAAGACTGCCTAAAACAGAGCATAACTGTGTTTGGTAACAAAATAAGCTAAATGCTGACACGCCACCTAATATTATTAGGTCTACTGGAGAGTTCTCTCTTAGGTTACAACAAAACATTTTTTATATATATAATGTAAAATAATATAACATTCATTATTAAGGATACACCGAGTACACAACATTTGTTTGTACAAAGTCTGAGCTAATATGCCTTCCCCAAACCTTCCTGATATGCTCTGCAAGAAATTAACGCACCTTAAAAAAATACAACAAATTTTGGCCGCAATGAGTTGCCTGACTTGGATGATTTTTTTAATGCACAATACCGTTTACTTCAGTGAGATGATAGTGTATTGACGTAGCTTATTATTTATATACAAGGTGTTACTACTAAGTGCTGTTTTTTTCACAAAACAAAATAATGTCAATAATGCAACAAAAGTTGAAAAGTGTCGAGAATAACAAGTACACCGCGTTTCTGCAAAGAAAATTGGTCGGATTGCCTTCGTCTGAACGAGGTTTAGTGAGTTTGCCCGTGACATCATCCGACAAATCGGTATAAAACACTTTTGTTTTTCAGGCGTGGACACGCCAGTCGAGGGCTAGGCAGATCGTAATCTGCCTTTGAATTAAGTGCTGTAACGCGTTCCAGAAGGAAATCATGCTGAACTCAAAAAATTAATTTAATTTTTTTTTTAATTTTCCGCGCGTTCAGTTTTTAGTTCAGCGTCTGCCCAATTGTGTTACCACAAATTCCATCATAGTATTATCCGCTTTCTTACCCATCAAGGCTTTTTCGTTTATGTTTTTATCTGTGCACGTGACTCAATCTTTTCGCTAACATACCACTAAAATCATTTCAAGAGGGCTCAGCTATCAATCAAAAGTTCCTTTGACAGTCGGCTTCAAGGAAAAAACTGAATCGTGATTGTGTGAACTGTCCACGAGCCTCGCTGGTTCACTTTTCGCTCCCCACTCAAGGCAAGAGTCACGAGAGATCAAAATAAATAAGATTTGACTAGTTTTTAATATCCCATGCTAGTACGGGATGTGATTAAAACTTTGCGATCGGCTCTTGGACTGTTACTGGTTTACAAATTAACAAAAACAGTGATCCATATGCGCCTTGGCTTGGCGACTCGCTTATTGGTGGCTCTGCATGTACCGAGGCGGTGCTGGCAGACTGCCATAAAATGTTAAGAAAACGCTTCATTTATTCTGAGTTCAGTAATTTTTAGGGTTTACGTCAAAAAGTCTTACGAAATAAGTAAACATATCGTCTTAGGGCCAGGCTGTCTAGATGACTGACAAGCATGTCAAATAGACCATCAATTGGTCAAATAAGCAATCTGAAGTTAAACAACTTTTCAATTTCAAGCTGACCTGCTTCTTTTGTTACTAAACTAAATTGTGTAATATTCCACTTAAGGCTCTAAAAATAGAATAGCTATATGATAACATACAGGCTTTGACACTAACCTCTCTTCGAAAAGTGTGATTTCTAACTTTATTGAATAAAAAATGTATTTCACGGGCTGCAAGCGGATGATAAATATCTCGACCATGGCTGAATATCTAAACAAAAATGCGTTCACTGCAAGGTATCATCAATGAAATCATCAAAAAAGAAAAAATAACAGCACGAGTTTAGGCAGTCCTATGATGGCGTGTGTTTTGCGTGTCATTTCATTATTTGAGTTTATAAAATCAATGAAGCATTTAAATGTTATAAATAGACATTGAAACCTGAGTAATTGTTATCACACCATTGTGGATTGATTGTCTTAATTTCACTTATATCTGTGTGTTACCAAAGTATTCTGGTACTGTCAGCAAAAACTATGAATTTACTATTTATGTTTAAATTTATTAAGTTGTTCATAAGTCATTCAAAAATCGGTGGCAGAAAAACGTGGCAATAGATCTAAATTCTAAAAAAATAAAATCTTGTTTAATTTAGATGTAAGATATCCATATAACTTTATAAAATTCAATTCAAAGCTAGGCGCGATTATTCGTCTGTATTTGTTGATTTTTAGAAGATTTACTTGGTCAGGATAGAAGAACATAACAACTCTGTTACTATCATTTATTTATTGATTAGTTAAACAACAAAAATATATTTTTATATTCTTCTTTGTAATTAACATGAATTAAGTCTTTACTCTCATGTTTGACATGGAAAATCACAGTATTGTTTCTTACTTATGAATAATACTTAAAGTTATGGATACTATGTTACTCTGTATGTTTTAAATGAAAACTAATTTTTTTCTCAAATTGCTTAAATTGAATGAAATACAAGAATTTAACTAAGTTATTGTTCGTAAATAAAAGTAGTATATATATATATATCATTTGCAGACGATACGCAATTGCTCCATTATTTTAACCCTGATAATGTCAATAATACTGCTCAAATTTTACAAAACGATGTTAGTAAATTAATTAAATACTCTTTAGATCACAATCTACTTATATTAATCCACAAAAATCTAAAATGTTATTATTTTGCGCACAAAGAAAAACATACAATGTAAAACAGCTCTTGAACATTCAGATAAATAACCAAATCTTGCAATTTTCTGATTCTGCAAAAATTCCTGGTGTTGTTTTTGATACAAAATTAAGGTTTATTGAACATGTTAAAAGTCTATCCCAGAAAACCTACTTACGGCTGCGTACTCTTATAGCAAACAGGTATTTACTAAATTTTAAGTTGCGTAAAAAACTATGCGAAGCATTGGTCATATCTATACTAAATTATTGTAATATCGTATACTATACTTGTTTAGACAATTTCACTAAAAACGTTATTCAAGTTATTCAAAACAATTGTATACGTTTCATCTTTGGCTTACGTAAATTTGATCATGTATCAGCGAAATATCCCGTTCTAAACTGGTTAAATTTAATGACATGGTCAAGTATCACTATTCAGTTTTTGTTCACAAGTTGCTACTCACGTCTAAACCTTATTATTTGAGGGAAAAAAATTCATTTAATAATGATGTTCACTGTAGAGAAAATAATATTAGAATGCCCCTGCATACGACTACACTTTTTAAACGTTTTTCTTACAATGTAGCTATTATTTATAATGACCTTCCTAAAGTATATAAAGAATTTTCATTACCTGTCTTTCGACAAAAAGTTAAAACATTATTACTCAACCCTCCAAACACATAATTTACGTAATCATTCATTTCTTTTTTATTCCATCTTTAATTCAGATTAATAAATTTTCGTGTACTTGGGTTTGGAAAGTATGCCTTTTTCTCTTTTTTTGAATTTTACTTTCGATGTAATGAACCAAATCTGTTTGTGGATAGTGTATTCTTTTGAACATCTGCTAGAGACTATATGGTTAAGTGTTAGAGTAGCAGCATGCTAAACTTCGCCATGTAAGTCTGACATTTGGCTATACTACAATGTAATTGTGCATAAATAAAGACGTCTATTATTATTATTATTATTATATAAAATATACAACAAAGTACCAACTTTTTATAAAAAATCTAACTTTACTCTTTCAAAAATAGGGACATAAAGGTAACAGAGTTGTAGGAATCGTAACATAGTTGTACTTTTATAACTAATTTATGAATATAATCACAAAACTTTCTTTTTGTAATTATTAGCCGTTAAAACTTTAAAAAACAGGTATACTCTAGCTGAGATTAAATTAAAATTAGTTAACTGATATCTTATCCCTTACCCCTTTTGCCCTTCATTATCTTTTTAGGTTCAGAAACAATTCTTATCAAACTTTCATATTGTTCATATGATATATCATTTTCGACCAATTTAAATGTTTTTCCGGTATGGTCAACAGACTTCAGGAATACTATTTTTACTTCTTCATCAACGTCTACTCCATTTAACGCTTTTCCAAGGTAAATGTATTCGTTTTTAAAAGAGCAAATTTTTATTAGAACGTCGACTCCTTCTTTGATTTTACTGGGATGAATATTCTTCTTCTCAATTAACTTGTTATTATCATCTTTTTCTTTTGACAATCCAGGGTGATCATCACTAGATTCTGAGTCCGAACTGTATACAGCATTGTAAATTGATTTCCTGTTTTGAACAATTAAATTAGAATATCTTCTAACGTAGCAGGATTTGATTGTTCAATCGTTTCTTTAGGAGGATAATAGGTTTTTGGACACATGCAAGAACAGAAACCTCGCTGGCAAAAACAGCTCATTTCTCGATACTTCTTCTGTAAAAACTTGATGTACTTTCAATGTGCCATATAAAGGAACTATTTCTGTTGGAATTTCTCTCGCCATGTTCTCAAAGTCTTCATCAAGTATAAGGTGCATCTTCGCTTTGCTAATTTTGTGAATATTAGGTAGAAATTTTGTTTTTGGCGATACTTGGTCGCGGGTCCATCTGAAAATATATTTCAGCAGCCATGAGAGACATAATGATGTCTTATAATTATCTAGAACAAATTATTTTATTTATTATACAAGATACAGACAGACTAACCACGACCTAAGCTTCAAACAGTAAAATAATAAGTATGATAACATCTCTGTTACCAGTCTACAACTCTGTTACTATATAGTGGTAACAGAGTAGTAAATTTAACACTTTGTGCCTCTTATTATTTAAACAAGATTGTATTAAGTTAAAATGGATGCACATAAGATAATTGTTCCTCTATATCTACTTTAAAGTTGTAAATTTGTATAGAAATATATGAATACTTACTTGAAAATGCCGGTAACAGAGTACACACAGCATAAAACTACGCGCCTCACATCAAACCCAAAGGAAAACGCCGTTTGTATACCCCCGCCTGACTTGCAACGAACAGTGTCGCTAGAGCAATAGACATAAAAACATAACTGTTTCCTTTGAAAATGTGGCGTCATATATTGGCAGCTATCAAATATATGTGGTAACAGAGTGTAAGCTTACTATTTGAAATAAGGCGGGGCAACATTTTAAGTAATCATAAGTAGATCAATAAATTATATTTACTAGATATGAAACACGTTGTTGAAAATGTTGAAATTGCTTAATTACTATAGCATTTAAACAAAAAGATCCATATGGTTTGATAAAATGGTATCACGATTACTGTATAATGGTCTGCGGTCTGGGACGCATCTTTGTTGTATGAAAAACAACACTGTTACCATGAATGACATCTCTGGCTTCGTTCCAACAAAGCCGTGTACCGTACAGTGAACCGTCGTGAGCGTGCGCAGTACGTTTTTAGTGTCACTTACGGTTCACTGTACGGTACACGGCTTTGTTGGAACGAAGCCTATGTTACATGGCAAAATGGATGATTAATCAATATTGAAGGCGTTAGATGTTTAAAAAGTTATTAAATAAGTGCCCTTTAACGAATGATCCCATAATGATATGAAATGTTTCTAATATCTCAGCGAAAAGAAAGTATTTTAGTTTCGGGACATCATTTTCTACAAGGGATTTTAGAATGACCCTTAAATCAACTAAAAATAATCGGACCAAGATGCGCTTAAATTTAATTTATTTGAAATACAATACCTTGAAACTTTCAAAATTTGGAATCGATTATTCTGATATGACCAGTCAAGCACCAGTACAACCATGTTTGTTTGATTTTTTAAATAGTATATCATGACTTGCACAGTCAAAAGCTTTGAAAAAGTTACAAAAAAGAACATTTGAAATTTGTTACCGTTTTGAGTGCACCTGTAATGCCAAAATATTTCAATAGTTTATTTTGGCTACGGATGTCGGTGCGTAGCCGTAGTGCCCGGTGAGGAAGGGATAAGTGAAAAATGTTAACGAGGTCCCCGATTTTCAGGCCTTTGAACATACCCGTGCGATGTGCCATCACAGTGGGTAACTTCAGCTTGTCCTCTCACATATCTGCCCATGCGAACTCATCCACGTTGAGGTTCATCTTCGAAGACTGCAACCTGTTTCTCAGCGAGAGGGCGCCACCTAGGAACGGAGTTGCTTCCAGCGCTCCAGTAGATTTGAAACGGGACTACGTCAACGTCATTGAAGTGGGGCTGTTCGAACTGAGTCTCAAAACAAGTGATAAGGTAAAGTGCGCTATGTACAAAGAATCACTAAGATATTCCTTGCAGACTAGCTGGTTCCTGTAACGTTCAGGGTATTATGTGAGGCCAAATATGTGGTGGATAGTTCATTTTTGACTGTTTTCTGGAGTAATGGAAATACTTTAGAATAGAAAATCAAATTAATCTAGGTTCGCTACCCCCAGCCTGTAGAAAATGCGTTAAATTTCGAAAATTATAGAGTTTTTTGATTGACATCTTAATAGAGACTTTGAATTATGGAGCATGAAAAATTGATCCGACCGTGGTGGGGGTCGTGTCTCATCATCAAAATTTATCTTTACTAAGTGCGCAAAGAGATCACAACTCGCATCTACAGGGTTTGTCTGGAAAGTAATAGGACTGAGTCGATTTAAAAAAAATTTTTGAGCCAATCGTTACAATTCTTTAAAAACTTTCAAAATAGGCTCCTTCTGCGTCGATGCAGCGCTGCCAGCATTGAAGGCGTCACGGAAGGCATTCTCCGGAATAGCCTTGAGAGCCGCGGTGCTTGGATCCCCTCTGTCGTCTCAAAATGCTTGCCTTTCATCGGCCTTTTCAGACGAGGAAACAAAAAAAAGTCCGGGGGGGGGGGGCACATCTGGGCTGTAGGGCGGCTGCGGAAGCGTTGGGATGCCGGCCTTGATCAGGTAGCTATTCACAAGAAAGGCGGTGTGAGCCAGGGCGTTGTCGTGGTGCAACTTCCAGTTGGCTGCGATGTCTTGTCGGACCCGACTGACCCTTCGTTTGAGTCTCCTGAGCAGTTTCACGTAAAACTTGGCGTTGACGGTTTGTCCAGGAGGAACAAATTCATGGTGGACGATGCCTTTGATGTCAAAAAAGACAATGAGCATCGTTTTCACTTTGGATTTGCTCATTCTTTACTTTTTTGGGCGAGGAGACGCCGTCGTGTGCCACACGGAAGATTGCCTCTTTGTCTCGGGATCATACTCGAAGATCCACGACTCGTCACCTGTGATTACGTTATTCAAAAATTGGGGGTCACTTTCACACATGTTCAAATTTTCTTGGCACACTTCCACTCGCCCCAATTTCTGGTCGTCAGTGAGCACTTTTGGGACCATCTTCGCGCACACCTTGCGCATGTTCAAATGCTGTGTCACAATGTCATGAACCACAGATTTTGCTAAACTCAACACCTGAGCAATTAAACTTAGTCGACGGTCTGAGTTCAAAACTTTGCGCACACGAGTCACATTATCGGTGTTTGTCGAAGTCGAAGGTCTTCCAGCACGGTCTTCATCAGTACCTCTTCCGGGCCCTCCAAAAAGGCCTGGGGCCACCGAAACACACCACTTCTTGCTAAAGCAACACCTGGGTAAGCCTGCTTGATCATATCAAACGTCTCTATCGCAGATTTACCGAGTTTCACACAGAATTTAATCGCGTACCTCTGCTCTAACGAACGCTGCATTTTTGGCTTGCACCACTCACAGAAACACGTCGCGCGAAAATGCCTGTCCTGACTCTCCAAGTGCTCGGAGACATCTGACCAGCCGCTCATTCGTTAGCTAGGAACGCCCTCTACCGAATCCAGTCAGTGCGCGCATGCTCCGAAGTACAGTCATGGCGGAAGAAAATGACTCCTATTACTTTCTGTCAAACCCTGTACAAATAGTTCGCCAAAGCTTGATACATCTTCGTCCTATACGCTGATAATAGCAGAAGCCTCTACGCATCTAGTCTACACTGAATGACAGTAGCCGATCTATGAACGGATAGATGTCGCTCACCATCATTAGGACTCAGGACTCAGCTGGAATACAGGGTGTTATCAAATCTACTAGCAATGATATGCTATGCAAGATTGCATAAATAGATGCATGCTGAACTGATTCTCTTTGCTTTCCGTCTGTGTGACCAGAGCCAACCGCATACAACGTTGTTTCTTGCTTCTGAGCAATGATCAGTATTGGTATAGGTCTAATGAGGGATTTGAATATTACCCTGTGGCTTTCATGTCAATCATCTCCCATGTTGTCCGTGTGGAGGGGGTATGCCTATTCCAGACAGTTCTGAGCTATACTGGTTTTGCATGGTGCTATATTAAAATTTAGAATGATGGCTTCGTGCAATCTCAGCATGTTACAGGACCTTTCAAACTAATGCAGTAACATACTGTATAGGAATGTGAAAATGAAAAAGAAGCGTCACCTGTAAGACAGATAAATAAAATATATTGTCAATTGGGACCAACGAATTCGAAGAGATGATGAGCCAATCCTATATGCTTAAATTGTATAGTTTTAATGCATACTTTTGTCTCATTTGTTTACCAATGCCGGTCAAAGTGACAGCATTGTAATAACATAATAATAATACCGGTGGAAATATCCATCTTCATTAGGCTTTTTCTTCAAATCATCTAACACCACAATTATCTGCAAACACTATGACAAAATTACACTAAATATACCAATTTAATGGCAGAACCATCGAAAAATTAACATATCAAGTCCACTTTGATCCTCACTTGGTTGGTACCGAAACGGATTCAATAAAGAAAAACATGTAATTTGATTGGCCAGACAAACATGAGAGGCTATCGATATAGGTCTAGTCGTGTAGAGAGACAAAAAGCAAATAAGCGTAAATCATATCCACATGTTTGCTTTTCGTTTGTCTCCACACGGCTACACCTATGGATAGATAAATATGCGTGATTGTAATGAATAGCATGCTGATGATTGCTAAAAAGCATGCATCGACGTTCTATGTGACTGATTATTGTGACAGAGGCAGAGAGTAAACAGATGCAGTTCAGTCTTTGCCTTTACTGGATATGACCTACTTTTAAAATTTAGTTGACGAGAAAAACATGTCTCTGACTTAACTGTGTTGGGATTTAAAAAAATTTAAATACTCTCTTCCTCGTTTTACATTGACAATAAATCCATGGATTTCTTCATGAATTGAGTTAATGGCCAAATTTCAAAAGTGTAAAAAAGGGAATTTGACGTCTAATAAATTCATGAAGTTCTTCGTGGATTTCTTCACGAAATTACAACTTGTTCTAATTTTTGCCAAATTGGACGTCAAATTCCATGCCTTGTTTTTCTTTCCATTATATTGTACAACATCCATGTATAGAACTCTGATAGAACTACAAGATTCCGCAATATGGTTTCTGTTTGTGAGATTCGCCTCAAAATCAGAACCACAAGAGACATCAAAGGTCAAAATGTTCCTAGCAAGAATTGTTTATATGGTTAGCAGCACTGAGTGCTGACAGATAATCCATAAATTTAAAACGACTATCAAAATATCATCTGGTAACCATAAAATTGAAATAACTCTTATCAAATTTTGTGTCCTCAGAAAAGTGGCGTTAATCCACATATCGACCTGCGGGCCTCCAACAACATCGTCCACATCCATACGTGCGCCGACAGCGCCCGCATGCTCATGCAACTCATCAAGTACTTTGCCTCTGATGGAGACCTGACAAAGCCGCAGCCATCAGAGGACGTGAGCGGCAGCCCCAGGAAGCAGTCCAACGAGCAGGAGTTGATCACGGTCGAACCGCAGGGATTCAGCAAACTATCGGACAGTCAGCACGAACATGTTAATGAGATGATAGGGGAGGCTATGAAGGAGAGCACGATTGTAGAAGGTAAGAAGAAAAGCCAGGCTGCCTAGGTAACAAGCAGCCATGTCAAATACACCGACCATTGGTCGAATAAGCAATTTGTGTGTATAAAAATAATATAGGGTGTCTCAACAAAAGCGCCGGATTTGAATTTGCCGCCATTTTTTTGTACAAATGGTATGTTGTTTACTTGATGACAGCTGTCATGTCCAGACCAAAACTCACTACAAAAATTACGCAAATTACGTACAATTTTCGGTCGCAATGTTGCGTCAAACGAGTCCACAGTTCGCCGTTTAATTACAAAATTTGAGACAAAATTCACGTTGCTGAATGTGAAGACCACTGTATGTCGCCGTCTTGGTCGGTCCCTCAAAAATATAGTCGCAGTGCGGAAAAGTGTGGCCGAGAATCCAGGCACTTCTTTTCGGCACCGTGGCCAAGAATTGAACCTTACCAGACCCACTCTGTAACGAATTTATCTGTGCTTGCATGCGTACAAGGTTCAACTGACGCAAGAACTCAAGCCAACGGACCATCGTTGATTGGGCGCTGGAGCACCACCATATTGATGCGGTACGGGTTCGTCGATAAGCAGAACTGACAAATTTGGGGTTCTGATAACCCTCGTAATAATCGAACAACCAACCTTCTGACGATCTCTTGTTTCACATGCCAGCAGCATTGCGATACTATGCAAAACCTTTTGATTCGTGGTGAAGGGCAACCTACAAACCTGATTTTGAAAAAATATAGTTGGAAAATATATGCAATAGAAAAAATAATCTTTCGGGGGTCAACAAAGTAATCAGTTGCGGATTCCTAGTTTGCGCCCAGGCGTCTGATTTGTTTTTCTTCTTCCAGAGTATTTTTTCTCAGACGACGACCTACCACCAACTGGTACTAAACTGTTCTTCTTTCCCGACGAACATCACATACCTCCACGTCCAGAGCCCAAAGTAAAGCCCCTGCCTCAAGTTACCAGCGAACTGGGTGACCTGTCCAAGCGTCCCGTTCAAGGTAGCGATACTGACGATGAGTTCTGCTTTGTAGGTGGGTAGAATATCAGACACGACAAAGCAAAATGTCATTTACAATTAGAGTAATTGACAATATTGCGAATGTGTTCAAGATTTTTAAAAACGTTTAATATTCTTGTAGCTGAAGTCAGTTAGTTGCTTAATGCTCAATTGATCTCTTATAGGTTGCATTAGTAATAATTTGCTAAACATGGGGCAAAAATGCAGGGCAGCTAGAATGCATCTTCCATCTTTTTCTTATATACTACCGGATCTTTTCAAATATGCCAGTGTCATCTCTTATTGGGTATATCTAGAAATTGTTCCATTCCCGTTTTAAATGTATCCTATATTTTGATCGATAAATTTTGAAAAAACTACCGATACCGATATATTAGAGGCCGTATTGGCGTTATTGGACCATCGGCCGTTCATTCTTTCCATCCACAATCGTGATCCTGTTAGTTCATACAGTTGACAAGTAGGCTTGTGTAAGTTGTTCTATTAGTCAACGTATTAAGTCTGAAGATAGCTATATTCGCACGTCCAAAAAATTATCTGAGATAAAATGAGATAACGTACCATCATCTATGAGAATTTGTCACAACTATTTCTCTATGTGTCTCATAGAGGGCGGTGTCTACATGAACATATGCAAGCATACAGGGTGTTCATTTGAAACCACGGATTTATCGAAAACTACTGATTAAAAGGAAAAACGCCGAGACACGTCAAAAGGTTTGTCAAGGGGGACAACTTTTTAACTAAAAACTACTTCACCTTCTTTCACCCTCGGCCCTCCATGGTCATTCCCTTAAAAATTTTAAATGCGAAGAGAGATGCAGTAATAGCTCGTTTGAAAGGTCTTTCGAAGTCCTTCATTTTGATGTATGATTTTTCAAAATCGATTCGTTTTCGAGAAAATTAGAAAAATCTTTATTTATCTAAATTTGTTCAGATAGAAAACAAAAACACACGAAAATATCACTTTTTATTTCAATAAGTGTTCAAAATGTTGCCCGTTAGGGTTTGCCAAGTCTACAATTATTATTTATAATTTAAAACGGAAACTACCAACATAAACAGCAATCCGGAAGATTAGACGTGGCAACAAGCAAATAACAGCCCGAATTTTTTTCCGCATGCTTTTCATCAACAGAGATATCCTGGGCGAACTGTATTTATTGTTATACCTGTTTAGTTATTTGTTGCTAAGGGAAATAATTTAATTTGCTGTCACTTACCTTTGTGACAATCTTGGGATAGTGAAAATTAATTTATTGATTTAGATTTTACTTCAAAAATGGTTTACACACTAGCCGAAAGAGAGAAAATGATTCTAATTTATGGTGCCCAAAATCAATGTGCTCTGCAAACTGCCGTCAGGTTTAACATCAGACATTCAGGGAAGATAACTTTGCATAGGTATGTTTTGGACCTTGTTACTAAATTTACTTAAACTGGATCTGTTGCAAATAAAAAACGTGATCATCGGAGAGTTTTGGATGAAGCCGCTCAAGTTGAAGTTTCAGGTCATTTTGGAATAAACCCTAATACTTCATTACGCAAAATTGTTGCTGCGACTGGTATTACATTATTCTCTGTACACACAGTTACGAAACTCTATAAATTTCATCCATTCAATATGAGAATATTTTTGAAAAAATATCTGCAGCGAATAATGATAATACCGTTCATGTAAAGAATATCTGCTTCTGTGATGAATGCACATTTTATCTAAATGGATATGTTAATAAGCATAACTGCAGGTATTGGAGCAATGAAAATCCTGCTTTTGTACAAGGGCATATCCAGTACCCCAAAAAGTTAATGTATGGGCGGGCATTTTAGGAAACAAAACCATTGGGCCATTGTTTATTAATAAAAATTTGAATGGAGGCATTTATTTGGATATGTTAGAAAATACCATCAATCCGCTTATCACTGAAACCATTGAAAACCAAATTGAAGATGGAAACCCTATACTTGATGAGGCTGAAATATATTTCCAGCAAGACGGCGCTCCTCCTCACTATGTTCTTCCGGTTCGGCAATGTCTAGACGACGAGTTTCCAGATAAATGGATACGGCGAAGAGGGACTATAGAATGGTCTGCTAGATCTCCTGATTTGACGCCATTAGACTTTTTTCTATGGGGCCATTTGAAATCGATGAGTATTATGTTTACTCCCCAACCTAAAAGTTTGGATGAACTTCGTCAACGCATAATCAAAAGCTGCCATGATATCCCACAACATGTTTTCTAAAATGTCCTTCAGGAATTTGAACATCGCCTATATCATTGTTTGGTCAATAACGGACAACATTTTGAATACCTATTGAAATAAAAAATGATATTTTCGTGTGTTTTTGTTTTCTATCTGAGCAAATTAAGATAAATAAAGATTTTTCTAATTTTCTTAAGAACGAATCGACCGATTTATAAAATTAAACGTCAAAATAAGGCACTTCGAAGGACCTTCCAAACAAGCTATTACTCGATACCCCTTGCGATTTGAAATTTTTAAGGTGATGACCATGGGAGGCAGATGGTGAAAGGGGGTGAAGTAGTTTTTGGTTAAAAAGTTGTCCCCCTTGACAAACCTTTTGACATGTCTCGGCATTTTTCCTTTTAATCAGTGGTTTTCGATAAATTCGTGGTGGAAGTTTTCAAATGAACAACCTGTATAAGTGACTTCTATGAGAAACATAACCTCTTCAAAGTATATATATATAGTAGATAGAAAACAGCTGTGGCAAATACTCCTAGTTTTTTTTGTTTTATTAACTTTTTGGACGCGCGAATATAGCTTTAGGTTAGCTATCTTCAGGTAGAATAGGTTAATCAACGGTTTTTCGTACATACTGAAATTGCTGGATGTAACTAAAGAAATGAACTGTTGTATTCGAAGGGGTCTGGCAGTCTATTATGAAGAAAAAAGTAATCCTAAAATAAACTATTTTCTATTACAGGTCACGAATCATGTCTTGGAATGTTCCCCAAAGGAGGCATTCCAGAGATAAAATGGCTAAGTGGTGACTCCCTAAGGGTAGTAGAAGGCCACTTTTCCATCCCTATAGGCAAATCTGACCTCTTAAAACCTCCAAAAAACTGCCCAACGCCGGTATTGCGATATACGTTGTACGATATGTCAGTCGTGTGGCACATGTACGGAGGGAACGATTTCAAACTGCCTGAAGGGAATGGTAGTAAAAAGAAGACTGTTAATTTTTCTGATACTAATTTAAACGATAATGTTAGTTTTTCCAATGTAAGTAAGGGTGAAGTAACCATAGCATCAATGGCTGACAAGAAAAAGGCTTCGATGTCCTGGCTGCAAAAAGGTGGTGTGAATAGGGACCATAGCGTTCATATGGAATTACAGTTAAATAAGGTACGAAATTGGTGCTTTTCAACGGATATTTCATCGAACTTTGTCCTAGTAGTACACTATTTTCCACCATAATTAACATGCCAAAATAACAACATATAACAGCTGATTATTTAATAACTGCGATGTGGGGCGTTAGTGACATCATACCACATACTGCTTCAAATATCGTAGAGACGTCTATGCTTTTGTGTTTAAGTTGTTTTGCATAAAGTAATTGAGCAAGTTTTAGTAAGATCAGAACGATTCAATCGATATACAGGAGCTGCTAATGATCATGACTGAATTTCAGGTCAGCTAAGAATTAAATAAATTTTAATCAGTAATTGGTGGAAATATTCCCTATACGTTACTGAATGTAAACATTCTCTATTACCAACATTATAAAATTAACGCAATGGCAGCACTGAAATAGAGGTCAGTTATGAGTTGAAACATGGTGGTAAATAGTGTTGTCAATCTGATAGCTAAATATACGAGGTTTTTGTTTATTTTTAGGTTAGATTTCAGCATGACGTGTACCCTGATACGACCAGGGAGGCATCAAGGCAGGTCCTAATAGTTTCCGAAGTCGAAATCAGGGATAGGTTAGAATCAAGTCAAATAAACAAATTTTTATATCAATATACTAGTCAGGCGATGCCAAAGCAGTCACATGCTCATATGGTAAGTATGCCTCAAAAATTTAAAAAAATCAAAATATCTACTTGTTTTATTTCAATTTCCATGTTTTTCTCTCTGCCAAATTAAATGCCATACAGAGTGAGTTTTTAGTCTGGGCTCGGTCAATAACTCCGTTATTACTCATGGTACATAAAAAAATTGTAGCCAGCAATAAACTTCTTACTTTGAAAATATTTTTATTTTTACAGGTTGATTCATAATTGTGTAGTGACCCAAAAATACATTTTTTAGGTGGAAAGATTTACAGTTTATTGCAGATTCGGATAGACCCTTCCAAACGAAGCAATTTGATATAACATACTGTGGGGTTCTATTTTCAAATTGTTGAAATATTGGGCAATATATCGAAAAAACACTCTACTTTGACAACTCGCCCCTCCGCATCTGTTATTGCTGGAGAACTGAATTTTTCGTCAGAAAACTTTTATGATCCCATATTTTCTTCCTATCGACTTACATTTTCATTTTTTTGGCTAGTTATACAGTGAGGTCAAGAACGCAAAATAAACGATTTCTCAAAATGTTTAAATAGAACATCCTGTATATTTCACACCTTTTGTTTCCCCTTTTTCACAGGCTTTTTTCTGATATAAGGTTTATGGGGGCTTGTACAACTGGTTTGTGAGTTGCTAAAAAGTCTTTCCGACTGTATTGCATAAGGTTAGGTAGAACTGATTTATAATGAAAATACATTTATTTTAACCATACACTATTATTAACTGAATGCTATTTTTACTGTGAATGGCATTGTAATATTTTTCATTTACCTCGATAGCTGATTTACAAAAAGGTTAACTGTAACTCAAAAACCATCCAACAAGCTCCCACAAACCTTACATCAAAAAAAAATTATGGAAAGGGGAATAAAAGAATATGTGAAAATATACAGCGTGTTCCCTTTGAAAATTGTGAGAAATCGTTCATTTTGCGTTTATCGAAAAGAGGGTGTGAAAAAACTTTGGGATTATAAAATTATTGTAACGAAAAGTTCAGTAGTCTACCTACAACAGTTGCAGAGGTGCGAGTTGTCAAAGTTGTTTTTCTCGCTAGATTGTGCAATATCTCAACAATTTAGAAATAAAATTCTATAGTATTTTACATAAAATTGCTTCTTTTGAAAGGATCCATCCGAATCTGCAATAAAATGTAGGTCTTTCCATTTCAAAAAATCTACAAGCATGGACAAAAGTACTGAAAAATGAACATCCACTACTTCTTAGTAACATTTTAGAAATAAATGAAAACACAAAATAAAAACAAGTCTCATATAAAATAAATAAAGAAAATCCTTGGACAAAAGTATGGAAAGACTACTTTTATTAAGAAAAAAAGTTAAACATATACAAATTAAACAAGCAATGTTCAGTATTTTGTTGAAAATCCGAAAGGCATGACTTCCTACATCTTCTTGGCAAGATTTCGACACACATCAACTGGAATCTTCCGCCATTCTCACTATGAATAATTCTTTGCCGAATTTTCCGCTCTAAGTGCTCCCAAAGATGCTCCATTGGATTGAGATCAGGGGATTGCGAAGGCCATTCCAATAAATCAACGCTTTTCTCTAAAAAACAATTTTTTACTAAATATGATGAATGTTTCTGATCGTTTTCTTGTTGATATCTCCCCAACAGCGGAATTTCTTCGGCATAAGATAACATAATATTCTGTAATATGTCGCGGCACATAAAGCGATCCATTTTCCCAGTTATTTTCAGAATCGGCCCCGTTCCAGACCTGGAAAAACACCCCCAGATCATAACGCAGCCACAACCATGCTTTACTGAAGGCTTTTGATACTTGATATCAATTTTTTCCCTACAGGACTGCTTACAATCTTCCATCAGCACCAAATATTTTAAATTTGCTTTCGCCGCTCCAAAGCACCGTACCCCAGTTTTTCGGTGTCCAATTTCGATTCTTTTTAGACAGTAATGGTTTTTTGACAGCAACTCTTACAAACAACCCAACTTTACATAAACGTTTTCTCACAGTACGGGCCGTCCTGTCTGTGTTGAAACACGCACTACTTTCTTTTAATGCCCTTATAAACATAGGGGGCAGTTTTTCTAGGACCGCCTGACTTTGGCCGATTAGTACCTTTTCCTAGTAACCGACACTTTTTTAGAATTTTTGAAAGGACACCCTCGCTTAAGTCTAAATTTGTTACTATAGTAAATTACTTTTCAACTCGACAACTTTGTCGCAACTCTCCCGTCAAACACTTATTCTTGCCCATTCTCCATAGGGTGCTCGTTATAGCAGTGATACAACAAAACAAATCCAATGTGATGTTAAATACGTAACAATGCTGATATGAAAAAACTCTCCATACATTTGTCCAAGACATGAACAGCAAAAAAACGCAAAGAAGGTACTAATGTCTATGGCACAAAAAGTAAACATGTGAAAATATGTGATACCTAAGCAGGCATATCAAATGAACAGCCCAATGTATTGTGGTATACGAGGCGAGCTGGAAAAATGTTTGAAATAAAAATCTTTCCATACTTTTATCCATGACTGTATGTTTGGTTCACCACGTAGTTATAGTATTTTCTTTAAATAACTTTTTTAGATAGCATGTGTAATAACAGGGCTATCTAAGGAGCCCACACTATAAACTCACCCTGCATATTGGGTTGACGTTTTAGCCACCTCGGTGGCCATTTTCAAAATAAAAAAACCATGACAATTCGAGTGCAGCGATCTTTTGTAATAAAACAATTTTCTGAAAGACATATTTTGGCGCATTATGATTCAGTCATCTGTTATCTTTTAGGTTATAGTGAAAGCGATGCATATAAGACCAGATCCGAAACTAAAGACTCAAGAATGCTGCCTTAAAATCTCTCTGTTGCCACTTAGGTTAAATATAGATCAAGATGCTTTGTTATTCTTAATAACGTTTTTTAATGAGCTTAGCTGCGGAGGACCGTCAAAAATCGGTAGGTATCCATTTTTCATTTATAAAAGAAAGTCGGTACTTTTCAATTTAGATTTATCTTTTACTCATTACACTCAAGTCGTGTTCACACGTATTTCTGTACGAAACGCCCCGATTTTAGAGAATTGTGTTGCTAGACCTATAAGTCTTTATTGCAACTTGAGCTGGTGAGGATATTTTTCAATTGTTTATCCGAACCGCACCCTTATGCCCATTTGCTCCTCCTCGCGAAGATCAACTTTAAGCTAAACTGAATCTTATATTCTGTTTGTTGCACCAGGTACACTTAAAATGGTAGAAGTAGTAGTAGTAAGTAGTGACCACGAAACCAGCAGAACTAGAGTAAAAGGCTGCCTTGCCACATTGCATATATATCAAAAACACTGCCTATTTCTTGCCTTATCTGTGATCGAAACCTCATATTTCGATTATATTTTATTATGTATTTTTATAACTTGAGATTATAATAAAATTAAGCTTATCCAGCTTTACAACAGCTCTGAATAAGGAAAATACAAAATTAGGGAATAAGCTTTCACTTATTCTCTGTAACTAACGGAGCTTTTTTATTTGCGCAAAATCGAAATAAGAAAGAACATAACGAAACAGCCAAACAAGAACACCAAAAACTCTGTAATATTAGTTATTATTGAACGTTGTCCTGTAACGTTGCCATGCAACATAAATCGCATTGTCGCGCGCGAAAAACTGCTTGCGTAAATGAGCGCTTAATGGCGTGAATGAGATGGAGAGTTTTATTTGTATATCTAGTTTTATACTTATATGTTTTTATTGGATATTTTTTTAAGATGAAGAGCAACAACCTTCATCGAAACACAGCACCCCCACTCATCAACCCCCTGTGATGACAATAAATGATGAAGCTGTAAAGAGACAGGCTCACAAAGTTGTCAACGACAATCTTATTATACTGATAGAAGAAAACAAGCACCAACAGGAGATGGAATCATCTGTTAGTAGTACCACGAGTAGTGTTTCGGATTGTTCGCCGGTATATTTCAGGTATGTTTAAAAACACATTCGACACGCAAGCAGTTGCAAGACGGCATTGGGCATTGTCCGCAAGACAATTGCATCCAGTCACTTGCAGTTGCAAGGCGACCCTGTTTCCGCGATTCAAACGAGCAATGTTAGCCTAAAAAAGTGAAAGTCACATTGCTAACCTACAATTTTGGTTATTGTTTTTTACCCTTCAGAAGTCATGGTTTTAATATCTAGATTTATACCTGATTAATTATTGCCAACGTTACAGACTAATACAAAGATGTCCCTTGCTGATCAGCTGTTCACCTCAGTAGACGTCAAACGTAATGGATACTCGTGAAATAGGGTTTATCTGTAAACAATTAAACATAATCACACAAACCAGTCGACCGGCCTAGGGACTTTTGCAGAAATTGGTAACTTGTAAGTTACTATTTCACAAGAATTGCAGACAAACTTGTATGAAAAATCCAACTGATTGATTTTCATGCGCAATGTTTTCATGAAAGCCCCGGCAGTTGCAAGGAAATCACAGGGAGAATCAGCTGTTTTGTGAGTGCGTATGCATTTGATCAACATTTATTTTGCCCTAGCTGACTGTAAAGCTGGAATAATATTAAAACATGATTGACACAATGATTTAGCCAACAGACTATCAAATCTGATAGCCATGTGATGACTGCAATCAAATTAATAATCTACATGACTCTGTAATAATTTAGGCGTTCTAAAAATAAAGTTACTCAAAATTCCACCGTAATACCAATTGCATAGGTTGTTTAGTAAATCTAAAACTGCTTATGACTGTCTATACTCAAACAAGAGATTTTTTAAATGATGGGACAACCCAAATTAAAGGATTCACTGCTCCGCCGTTATGGTTAGCACCTTTGGCTGCAGCAGAAGTATTACGTAACTTGAAAAGTGAAATTGTCGTTTTTTGACATTATGCTGGTTTTTTGATATTATGTAGGATTTCCTACAAGACTTCAACTTGAAACTCGCTGTCGTTGACCTCATCCTCACTTTAACAAGTAGACGTTTTATCGTTTTTTTTTCTACATTATATAATAATAATAACAACGTTTATTGAGATACAACTCAAAAGTAAAGGGTATTGTATAGACATTTTTCAGCCCTTCCGTAAACATTACTATAAATAGATAAATTGCAAAAGAATAGATTGATAATAGACATCAGACAAATATAGTTAAATAACATAGTTAACACATTGCAATCAGTATATAAGAGTACATTCTGCATTTAAACTGTATTAATGAACAAGTAAATAACTACAGAAAAAAATGTATAAATAGATAGAGATAAGGTCATAACGCCAAATAATAGATGGAATTTGCGATTACAGCACATGCAACTGATACAATAAGATCGTATTAGTACACACATTTTTGTTTGTTAAGAAGATATAGCCTGCAGTATTTTTTAAACCGTTGTATGGTATTTTCTTCAAATAGTTCAACCTCTTCGTTGAAAATGGTTGAAGCTATGTAGCTAAAACTACTTTTAAACTTGCTTGAAGAGTGCCTAGGAATACATATAAATTTGAGTTTCTCGTATCTAAATTATGAACATCAGAAAGCCGCGTTAAATTGTTATAAATGTATGATGGTTTTTTATATTTGATCAGCTTATACAACATAGTACTGTATTGCAATTCAGCCTTTGAATCGTATTTCAGGTAACCCAAATTATTGTAATGTGGAGATATATGTTCAAACCTATTGATAGTGTTGTAACTGTACCGTAAACAACAGTTTTGTAGAACCTTAACCTTGTGTTTCAAGTTTTCAGTTGAATATGTATAAACAACAGTTAAATCATAGTCCATGTTAGATAGTATAACAGCATTGACTATTCGCCATTTCAAATCGGCAGATAGAATATATTTGAGTCTCCAAAGGCTCCTAAACTTAAAATAACAGCTACTAATTTTACTAGCTATCTGAGATTCAAATGTTAGATTGCTGTCTATTAATATCGCTAAGTTTTTGACATTGTCCGCTATATCAATATATACAGGGTGTCCGCAAAGTTGGGATTTTCCTTTACACGACGTGTAGATCTTGAAAACATAAACAGTTTTTCTTAGTACCATATACACCAATGTCTTAAGGGAACCGAGATAAAGGGCTCTGCAACATCAAAAATATCTGAATACCGTCCTGTAGCCGCGATATCCTCCAGTGGTACTAGGACACTAGCTCAACCCGACGACAGAACTGGGTCGGGGTCAGTGTGTCAGGTCAGTATGCAACCTTCAACCGAGGGTTACGGTCACGCGTGTAGAGGTAAACGAACCCGTATAATCGATTGCGTTTCAAAAAACAACAAGCATTAGAGACGTGGCTAGAGAAGTGAAAGTATCAAAAACTAAAGTGTGGCAAACGCTGCGTGAAGAGGGGCTGTATCCGTTTCACGTCCAACGTGTACAAGCCCTTCAACCTGACGATTTTCCAGCAAGAGTGCGGTTTTGTGAGTGGTTGTTGCATCAACATGACAATAATCCGGACTTTTTGAAGTGCATATTGGTGACAGACGACTCTACGTTCACGCGTAATGGGGTGAATAACTTTCGCAACACTCATGTTTGGTCAGTAGAAAATCCGCACGCTGTCCGTCGGGCACATTTTCAACAAACATTTTCGGTGAATGTTTGGGCTGGCATGGTGAACGGTATGCTCATTGGACCATTTATTCTCCCAAATCGATTGGACGGGATGCAAGACCTAGACTTTTTACGCAACATTTTGCCTTCCTTGTTAGAAGATGTGCCATTAAGTGTAAGACAATCAATGTGGTTTCTGCACGATGGTCATATTTGTTACCTCTGTTCGTGGTCTACTGGCCTGCACCACCGCCGGCGTCTGCTCAGTAGCGCATCAGCTGATTTCATTTTCTGTTGGAGCGGTATGATTTCGGGCAGAGACGTACTTAGCCCTTCTCGTCAACTGGAGAGTGAGTACTTTTTCCTTTATTTTTTTTTTTACTTGGTCGCCCTCGTTTCACTACACATTACCTTTGTTATTTCAAGGGTAGTTGTTTCTGAAAAGGAAAACCCCAACTTTGCGGACACCCTGTATATATATATATATATATTTTCTACGTAATAACCCTGCGGCACGTATCTTGAAAAGTGACATTTCGTCGTTTTTTTTTTACATTTGTACACTTGTGAACTCTTTTTGTAGCTGCTAGCCTAAACGTCAGCGAACAGCGATCATAGCGAGCAAACGTGGAATGAACTATTTGCACACTAAAAACTACCTAGTCTGCAAGACGACATTTCGTCGTTTTTTTTACGCTTTTTAGGTTTTTTACATGATACCCTTGCGGGCGTTTCTATCCTCATTTGCCATGAAGTGTATTCAAGCGCGAACGGCTGGTTCCTAATATGTATACTTTAGTTATTCCCCAATGTTTGATAATTTAGCTGTAATAAACAAATTATAAATTTACCAACAGACGTTTATCCAAGTACTATGCGTGATATTTTCGAGTTTCACTTGATGGCAGTCTCTGTATTTTTGTAAAATAATTTTTTGAACTATGATGATTCTATATTCTCATTGTTTCTTTTCCAGAAATGTGGTATTCTCTCCGGACGTTCTCATTCGTCTAGACTACCATGGCAAAAGGGTGGACATGACGCACGGTTCCCTACCAGGTTTGCTCATGGGCCTCGGCCAGCTGAACTGCTCCGAACTAAGACTGAAGAGGATCAACTACAGACATGGACTGCTTGGTATGGACAAACTGATATCGCACTTGCTGCAAGAGTGGTTGAACGACATCAAGAAGAATCAATTGCCTAGCTTGTTGGGTGGTGTGGGACCAATGTACTCGCTGGTACAATTATGTAAGTATTTTTGAAAATATTGACTCTTTAAATTGTTTTGGCCAGTCTGTCTCTTTAAATTGTTTTGGCCAGTCTGTCTCTTTAAATTGTTTTGGCCAATCTGTATGGTTCTGATTTTATTCGCCTTGTCTAACTGTCCTCTCTTGATATATCTTCCCTTTGTTATAAGCATGCGAATTGACGACACGTGTAAACTCACTAAATAATGAAACTTAAAGTGTAATTTAATCTCATTTTTCCCTTCGGGAGCCGACCGGCCAAAGTCCCCGATGGCAGTGCAACATCTATGGATTATTGTACCTTGTTTCTCGCTTCTAGTTTTTGTTTTCCGAAGAGTTGATGTCTTTTGTGATCCAGCGCCTAGCACTCGCATAAGGCCAATTCTGTTCGTTTTCCGCATTGTCTGCAGGTGAGGTCTCCATCATACAGACCTATTTTACGCAGGTGTTCTTTCAGGACATAATATCCTGTTAGAAGGGCTGTAACTACACGGAGTTGGTTTCTACTCATTGAGAGCAGTTCCGTAGTCGTATTCGGATATGGTCCCAGAAGGCATGGTCTTTGAGGGACTTACCTATAAACTATTGTTTGACGCCCATGTTATGACCACATCCAGAGCTCTTTGCATTTTGTCTTTGTGGTGTTGAGTAACGAAGTTATCCTCTTCCGTGTTCACCTTGGTCTAGGTCCGCTATTACGAGGGATGTCTTTTAAGTTTTGCATATGGAAATAAAACAACACGATAGGTAGTTTTAAATGACTTTATTGTTTTTCGAAGTATTCTCCACGAAGATTAATACACATCAGCATGCGCTCGAACCAATTTTCGAAGCACTTATTCCACTCGTTAGATCGGGACTATATGGCAGGATGGTCCAATAATTCCACGTTTTCTTCCGTTAAATACTGCCTTGTTTTTTGGGCTGTATGCGAGCTTGCATTGTCTTGGTGGAGGATGATTCTTCTTTCGGGGTTGATTTTTCGAAGCTCGGTGATGATTTTTGGCAAACAAATGGTGGTATACCAATCCGTAGTAACAGTTCTTTGCTCATTGAGAGGAATTGTTGCAATATGACCCGCTTTTGACACAAATGTCGCGACCATCTTTTCATTCCAGTCCAAGGAGTCCGCGACCTCTTCTGGCTACCCATCGAACAGTACCAGAAGGATGGCCGAATCGTCCGTGGGCTTCAACGTGGTGCCAACAGCTTCACGACCTCCACAGCAATGGCCGCGTTGGAACTGACCTCGCGCATCATCCACTTAATCCAGATCACTGCTGAAACTGCATATGACATTCTGTCGCCAGGCCCTAGCGTCAGGAGGCCGGTGAGGAACAAGGGGGGCAAGGGTTCCAGGAGAAGGAGGTACCACCAGCCGCAGGATATCAGAGAGGGGATGACTAATGCTATTATGTTAGTCAAGGAGGTAAGTTATTGTTTTTGCATGCAAGAATTTGCCATTTTACCTCCCACGAAAACAGCAGCAGTGTCCGACTTCGCTCCCGCTAGGGGAAAAAGACATTTTACCTATTTTCACGCCTCATCATGTGTTGACGACTATTGAAATGAATAGCTCATCAGCAATTCACATCTGATATTTATAACCTCCAACCTAACTAGCGCCATCTACTACTAGTTTTCCAAATGACTTGGCTCTAAAATATAAAATCCTTAATTTGTTCTTAAATATTTTTACATTTAATGTTAATTATATTTTAAGTGGTATAAAATCTAAAACCGTGAAATATGACATAATAAAATCAATATTGTCTTGTCTAGGATTTCATGCTCTGTCCAAAAATTTACTTTCTGCAATAATTTAATAATATTCTCACACACTCATTTAATAACAGTTGGATCCTGCCGTACAAGAAATAAGTAAATATAATCAATAATTGAAAATAATTGAAATGTGTGAGGAAGTATTGTCATCGCCAAAAATTTCGAAAATCAGATATTTTGTTTTTTGATGTTATGAATGTCCGCTAATCCTTGGCCCGTCTATAACGGTTACTACTATGCTAAGGACGAAAAAGCTTTGTAGTTTTTGAAAATTGGTCCAGTGGCGACGGAGTTACAGGCAAAACACGAAAAAAGTAAAAATCGCTCAAACATTGTTGTTTGACATTTCAGAAGCTCCTGATCATTTTTGGAAATTGTTTTGTAGAGGTTTAAAATGGGAGGTAAGGGAGAGTACATCTAATATTTCTAACGGTAGTATATTCATGCGCATGCAACCCCGCTAAAAGGTTAGTTTACACTTCTTTTAAGTAGGTCTTAAATATACAGTAATGGACAAAAGTATATAGACAAATTAATATTGTGCTGTATTTCTTTTTTAACTTGTTTTATTAATACACCAACCTGTATACATAATTCGTTATAGCATAATACTCAGTTATACATGAATAAATTCATTAGACTTCCTTCGATAAAAAATTAATTGAAAAAACTGGAACTATGAAGGACAAAAATATATAGACAAAGCAAAACAATTATAGAAAAAAGAAGCAAAGTTCATGAATTATAGAAAACCAACCATGTTTGTGTTAATATTTTGTAGCATAACCATTATTATCAATCACATCCTGGCATAGATTGTAGAAGTTTCTTGATATAAGATTCATCAACCTGTCTTTTTATCTCGTATTTGCTTATCTAAGTATTCCCATCGATTTTCAATGGGGTTTATATCGGGAGACTGTGAAGGCCATTTGAGAACTGGTATTTTTTCATCCATATTGTCTTCCATATAGGGTAACATGACATGCTTTAGTATGTCTGTGTATAAAAACTTGTCCATAATGTCATCTATTCTAAGTAAAGGTCCCATCCCAAACCCCGAAAAGCACCCCCAAACCATAACAGACCCGCATCCATGTTCGACAGTGGGCAAAGTGTACTTGGTGTTCAATCTTTATCCACTAGGACGTCTAACGTAATGAACACCATCAGATCCAAACATATTGAACTTGGATTCGTCACTGAAACATACCCTCTTCCAGTCACAGATGCTCCAATCAAGATGCAACCGTGCAAATTGTAATCGGTCCTTACGGTTTTTCCTCGAGATTAGCGGCTTCTTACTCGGGCGACATGCAAATAATTACAAATCATTTAATCTTCCACTTATAGTTTTCGTAGAAACACTGAAGATTCCTTTTGTCTCAATTTCGGCTTTTATTTGTCTTGGGGCTTTAAACGGATCTTTGGATGAAATTACTTTTATTAATCTAACTGATCTAGCATTTAGTTTTCTAGGCCGACCACTTCTCTTAGAGGCTTCCAATATACCTTTTAACATATATTTGTTCAATATTGCCCAAACTGCTTTACGCTTCAGCTTCAAATTTTTGGCAATGTCGACTTGACGTTGACCATCTTTGTATAACTCAATGATCTTAGTTTTCACATCGAAAGAAATTTCTGAACCACGCGGCATGGTCTTAAAATCACTCAACTTATTCCACAATACTTGATGAACACAAACTAATCCTCTTCTGACACGAAACTGTACTAAACTAATGTTGAAAAGAATTTGTCTACATATTTTTGTCCCTCATAAAAAAGTGCATGTATTGTGTTCATTGCAGATAATCTAAAAACAAGGAATTTAGTTTTTCTACTAATAACGCATTTGTTTATGGAGCAATGAAGTATGAATTCGTTTTCTAAAGGGATTTAGGTAAATATTCATATTTGTCTATATACTTTTGTCCATTACTGGACAATATATCTATATTATATATATATATATATATATATATATATATACAGGGTGACTTCGAAGTTGAGTCATTTATTTTAACAGTGAGTAGATCTGATCAAAAGAAATGCTTTTTTCCTTTACCATTTTTCTGGTAAAATTAAAGTAACAAAGTTATATCCCTTTGGAAGTTTGAGTATCGCCCTGTCTCAATAACATCATGTGCTCGTGTTTGGCAACAACGGATATAATCCACCTTATCGGTTCATCGCATCGGAAACAAAAAAGCGAAAGAATTTGGAACGATGTTTATTTCATTCAGTTCAGTTATACATACAGTCAGTGTCAGTCGAAGGGTTTATCTCTGGTCAGTCGGTAACGCGTGTGAATAGTGTCTGTTGCGTGGCTCAAACGAAATAAAAAATGGCACATGTTTATGCGGATCGGTTTCCCAATCGAGTGCAACCAACCCCTCGTGCCTTTGTTAATGTAGTACAACGGGCTCGTGAATCAGGTGACTTCAGACCTCACAGGGGACCTCACGATCAAATACAGGTCCGCACTGAAATACTTGTCGGGAGGATACTTTATAAAACAAGGTAAAAATTTTTTTTTATTTTTTTTTATTTTTACACACTTATTTTGGTTTATCTTCCTTCTACAATCATTATCTGAAAATTAATGACTCAACTTCAAAGTCACCCTGTATATATATATGTTCGGATAGGAAAAAATGAATACTATATTTTTTTCAGATCTAAAACGTTAATTTGAAAAAATATTTTTTTATGCAGGCTAAAACGCTGTCCGTTATGTTTGGCTCATATTAATTTGCCCTGACGTCATAACATTTGTATATATAAACATAACTTGCATTAGTTTAAATAAAAAATATATTAACTATCGTTATTGTATCGTCAGATAATGTAAAAACTCATCGATACAGGCTCCAGAAAAGGTGCAGATCAGAGGGCCCAGGGAAATAAATATACGCAACACTGTATTGCTTGTTTGGAACATATTTTATATTTTACTGTGCAGATTTTATCGTCTCGTTTAAGTTGGGCATAACCTACGGTATTATCACCGTACGATTATTTTGCAGATGTGTAAGAATTCTTTTTTGTGTTATAAATGTTCATCGTTAACTTTTTTCTCATAATAATTCTTTATGAGCTGATGACAGTGTTGCGCGGGAAGTGCAGAGTCAACCTACTTGACACCATTTTTTCACCATATGGACAATTTGGATGCATTTCTATCTAAATATCCTACTTGTTGTTACTGATATAGCCCACATGCTCACTGAAACTTAAATTTTGGTCTATTTCATTTTAGGGTTGATCGAAAAACCTTGGATGTTGATGATATTTTGACACAAGGTTACTACTGCTATGTCAAGGTCGAAAATCCTTTCTGGTTTTGAAAATTGATCCAGAGCCAATTGAGCTACGGATAAAAGACGAACAAACAAAAGTCGCACAAACGTGCGTTTTTTGACGTATCACTGACTCCTGTTCAGAAACCTTTTTTTTTTTTGAGGGATTAAAAATTGGGCATTGTAGGAGGTAGGATGATTATTGCATCTTTGGTATCAGTGGAAGGAAGGAAATTAAGGAAATTTTACAAATTCTTGCATATTTGTAGTGCTTGAGTTCAGAGGGGAGAACATAGTCACGACGAAATAATAGGTCACCTAAAAATTCTTCCTGGCCATTTCAATGCTCTGACGAAAGTATCATACGGTTGGTTTTTCAGACATTCTTTATTTTTTGAATAAAAGGAAACAATGAAGACAAAATATAAAAGCCATCTGAATGTAGTAAGAATTATCACAGGAAGAATGTGGTCAGTTTGATTCAAACTCTGCAAAAACATTGTACCATTACAATACCATTGACGCAGGTACAAACTCACTCACTTTTTTTGTTCTAGGGCATAGGCGAAACCGCTGACAACATAGTCCAAGTAGCCTCACATGAAAAGGAACAAAAAGGTTACAGCGGCGCCGTCGGTGGTGTTCTTCGCCAAATCCCTCCTACCATTTTGAAACCGATTATCATCGCTTCGGAGGCCACCAGCAACGTTTTGGGCGGGATGAGAAGCCAGTTGGTGCCCGACGCACGTAGAGAGGCGAATCAAAAATGGAGGAGTGATGAAACTTGAACGAGGGTGTGGTGTTTGTGATATGCAACTGATTGTGATCGGGGAAAGGCATGTGTTCTGATGGTTTTCACGATAGGCTTCAACATGAGGATTATTATTTCTTACTATTAGGAAAGTAAATTGTCTACTGCTCAGTTGTTGCGTTGTTGCATAAGTTTTATTTTTACTAGCATGGTTTAAATTTAAATAATAAATAATTTAAATTTGAGTAGTTTCATCGTGCGTCAGTTTAGTTTTAACGGAACGTTTTCGCCAGGCAGCATTTCCTGACCATGAACATTCGTGCATACACAAGAAAGGGGGCAAATCAATAACATCGAACTCCTGAACATCTTACATGACACCTTTGCTGCATTACAATAAAACAATTTAGAAAAGTTAAGGGAAAAAATGCGGGGTAAATAATCTGGATTCCTTGGATTATTTTGATCTCTGGCCATTTTCTAAATACCGCTTCATTTCGGCCCCTAAAGGACATCGCTGGAAATCGGTTTTCTTAAATAGCTTATGAAACGGCTATAAATATAGGATGTTACTCAATAATAGTCCGTATAATTACAAGGGCGCATTCCTTAACTAGTTTCAAGTAGAAACGTTCATATAAACGTATGTCCTAAGATACAGGGTGTCAAATTTTTATACAAGTTTTAGTTTTTGTTAACATCTCAAAGACACTTGTGCCAAATTTTAGCAGTGTTGCTCATGGCAATAAGATGCCAGCTTAGCACTAACTAGGAGATAGTTATGAATTCCAGTAGCGTCTCAGACGGCAGTCTCTCGAAAATTTTCAAAACATTTACGCTCCATTTTGAAAAAATTAAACTTTTTCGGATTAGTCAGCTCTTTTGTTTCTTCATAGCTCTTCGTATTCGGGGAGGGAATAAAACAGACTTCAATACATGTCAAAAAAATGTTAAAACATGAGAGCAGAAGCCTGTATAGAAGCATGAGTTGGTCATTTTCAACTTTTTTGATTCCCTTGATTTTAATAAAATGACTTTTGAATTCATATTGTGCATCGATCAAGTTTTAACAATTTTTCGACGTGATTGTTATTTTTTGCTCAAAACTAAGCGGGATACGAAGAGGTATCCAGAGACAAAAAAGTCGTTCAGCTGATGAATCAGAAAAAATATATTTTTATTAAAAGTCAGTTGTGTACATTTTCTTCTCAATATCAGTCGAGAGACTGTCTCGCAAGACGCCACTGGAATTGATTATCAGTTAGTGATAACTTCCCGAGCTATGACAGTGAACAACACTGCCAAACTTCAACAAAATCGGTAGAAAAATCTTTAAGATAATATTATTAAAAAACCAAAATCTTCTTTGACACCCTGTATCTTGGAAACCAGACTTTTCCGGACAAATGTTTGCCTGAACTTTTCAACCTAAGTTTGGTTAAGGAATGCGCCCTTGTACTTACGGCCTATCATTAGGTTGAGTTGGGAACAATACTCCTTCCATAGATTTACAGTGCTGCCAAAAACACACATCATATGAATCACGTTTGGAACAGGTTAAATCTACCAAGGATGTCCCGGAGTTCATGGAAAAAATATATTTATATATTTCCTAAACGCTATCGGATCAGGAAATTATTTTTTTATTGCCCGCCACTTTCGCTCAGTTTTGTCAAAAATTTGATATAGCCTAGATCTTAACAATGAATCAGTAAGTACCCTGGGTAATAGTTTTTCAATGGGTACTTTACGAGATTCAGTTCAAAACCGGACCCCTTGTACCAACGTAGTCTGAACACAATTGGCGTTTTGTAATAGCTACTTGGTGTTCCAGTTCGTAATTTTCGCCGAGCTTTGAGAATTTACTTTCAATATTCAATTTTTTTAACTTCTTCCCACCTGATACCGGTTAGCAAATGAGAATTGTTTTGACCACCAAAAAAGACCATTCTAATTTTTTATGCGAATTTTTGTTTCATTACGCAACTTTCATGTTTAATTCTATGTAAATATTTACTTGATTATATGCGTAATCCACTAAAAACTCTGTTTATGGTATTATATAATATCCTTATTATAATTTCAATGTATCTGTACTTGTAAATTGACTCCAGAACTGTAAAGCACATTTCATCTGATAGACATGAAACAATTTTTTTCCCGATTCAATCAATAAGCAGCAACTTTGATCTCTTCCTTAATTTTGTGATATTTGTTTTGTTGCTACACACATTTCATTGGGATACAAATAGTAATTTTTAGAATTCTATCGTGAAAGTCGTATCGTATGTACACGAGTGTTTTCAAGTTTAGCAATCTCAAAGGGTAGATTCGAATAACTGTAAATAAATACTTTAAGTGCCGACAGGATATTTTTTCATCTGTTCAAAATGCAATTCATTGTTATAAACACTTAATTAAAATTTACAAGCATATTTATAACCTTATTACTACTAAAGCAGTGTAGCGTTTGAACTTGCCGTGTATCAAAGCAAATTTCAGAATTTTGTACAAAAGGTGTAATCTTGCTAAATTGCTTAACAGAATTGGGAAGTTAGTGAAGATTCGAAACCACACCTTATAAAACTGAAAGACTTAGAACTACTGCATATTATTTTTTACTTTCATTACAGCTTCATTTAATCCCAAGTATTCACTTTAAAAATTCCCTTAACACGTTGACTGCGGCTACCAATTTCTACCTTCATTTGGTGTGCGGCACATGCCTTTGGAGACCCGTGCCTTATTTTATTTTTTGTGCGTCACATAGTTCAATTATGAGCAGCGTTAAAGCAATTTAAACAAAATCCAGGTTGACCTGGACAATCAGAACAATATGTTATAACCCTTCGAACTTTTTTGTCGATTTCGCGATAATTCAATCCAGATTTTTTCAAAATTTGACGACAACCCTTACAGGGCTTGCGCTTTTTCCTGCCAGGTCCGTCAGGTTTTTGAAAACTATGCACTCTTTTTTTTTGGAACCTTTATCGTTTCTTCAGAGTTTGGAGATTTGACTAGGGAATAAGCTAGCTGACGCCTAAACTCTGTTATGCTCAATTTTTCTTTAGCACATAAGTTATATATTATTAAGGAATTCACCACGGATGTTCCAAGAATCAGCTCAAACATGAATTTCCTAAAAAAAAATCAGAAAATATAGTATGCCATACTTTAAAATAATGTAAAAGAATACTCACCTGTACCACTTCAGGCTTCGACGCAGAACAGTGTGGTATGCAGACATTTGGTCTGAATAATCGACTCCCTTTTTGGCTGCATCACACATTGGGGCTTAACAACATCTTCTCCTTTTTTATTTTTTTATCCAACTGGAATTAAATCTGCCTTATGAGATGGTACACTACTTATCATTAACACCTGCCTCTTGTCCATCCATTTAAAAATCTTGACGTCTCCTTTTTTCTTGGAAATGATTTGTCCCCTTTTTATTTTACTTTTTACAGAAAAAGTTACTGGTAAACCTTTGCTGTTGGCTCGTAATGTGCCACAGTACATCATCTTCTTTTTTAACAGCTGTTTGACAAGGGGGACGCTGGAGTAAAAATTATCTGCAAATAGGATTTTGCCTTCCTTTGGCTCAACATTTTCCAACAATTTTAGTACAATGGACTGGGAATGGCCAAGTTCAGCGTTTGTGTCCCCCTTTCCACTGTATACAATGACGAAAAAGGTATATCCTTCTGGCGAACAGAGCTTGTAAAGTTTAATCTCATATTTGTGGCTTTTGTTTGGGATGTACTGCCGGAACAGGAGTCGTCCTCTAAATGGTATCATAGATTCATCTATTGCTAACGTATTGCCAGGTTTTAGGGCTTCTTGAAAATTTTTAAGTAACTTGGATATTATGTTTTGTATTTTGTAGTCTGTTTGCTTTATCGCAAGTCTCATTGTTTTCAAAATGAAGAAATGATAACAGCAAAAGATAACGATCACGACTAATTGCACTGGAAATGAAGTGGTTATGATATATGTCATCTTTGGCCCAATATAGATTGATATGAGGAACTTGAGTAAGCTCCATAGCCAGCGTGACACCCAAAAAAATTTTAATTTCACCTCGATTTGTTGGAGTCCATTTATTAATTCTGGATTTTCTGGAATGCTGTTCAGCTTGCTTCTGAGTGGCGAAAATATTAGTTTGTTCGACAATTAAATCTAATATTTCATCGGTAATAAGGCAAGTAAAAGCGTCAATGGGTTCCTTAATGCTGTTCTTGTCAATATTTAAAAGTTTACATTTTTGTGGGACAAAATTGTCAGTCACATCGTCATCATCTAAGTCACACCACTCATTGTCACTGGAATCATCAGTTTGCTCATTATTACTTACAATCTGATTAGTCTTAATGGTCACTGGGGATGATTGACGTAATTCGGATGATTGTTCGGAATCAGATGAAGAGGATGAGTTTCTGTCACGCAAGGAATCATCGCTGCTATAAGGATCTTCTACTTCGAGTTCGTCTGTTGAAGATGGATATATTATATTCATGTCGTCATCTCCTTCAACTGTATGCTCCGTTTCTTGATTTTCATCTCCACCAAACGTATCATATTCTCGGAAAACTTTCGACACCACTCTTTTCGAACTACAGTTCTCAGTGTGTAACACAGCACTTTCTTCTTCAATTCTGCGGTCCGTTTCTTGATTATCAGCTCTATTACCACCAAAGGAATCATCTTCTTGAAAAACTTCCGACACCACACTTTTTGAACTACCGTTACCATTTTGCAATATATCACCTGAGTTCTCATCAACTTCTGCATGTCTCATTTGTTTTCTGGCAATTTCTACCATATATTTCGCTCTTTCAGACATCTTTTGTTCAATTTAAACACCCTTGTTGTATTGTACACAAATCACATAACCTCAAAAACAAACAGGTTGCAGTAAAACTACACATGCCTCCGGTGGCATGTGTCGCACACAAAGTAAATTTCATTACTTGTGTGCGGCGCATGCCACCGGAGGCATGTCCTGAAAAAAACATATTTTGTAATTATAGATTAGTTCCTGATCACAGGTATATATACGGAAAAAAATGGGTAAGGAATAAAGTTTTTATGACATCCGCACGTAACGAATATCTGCCCAAATATCATTCAGCCTAGTAGTAAAGAACGAAACATGCCCCTGGAGGCATGTGTCGCAGCCAACGTGTTAAATATGTTTTAAATACATGTAGCGGACAAAATTTTGGAAACAATTGTTAGTAATTTTTAAAAAGTGCGCTAATTTTTTATTCTTTATTATTAAGGACTATTTTTTTTCTCATATAGTTTGCTTATAGTCGAAATCACGAAAGATCACGATTACGTCATCTTTTTAGTCAGTAGTAAAGGCAAACGACAGCGCTTTTTGAATATTTTTTATTAAGTTTCAGATATGCTTTATTGTCTAAACAAACTGTATTGCTAATTTGAATGTATCCGACAAAGATGGACGATGTTTTCATGTTGCACGATCGATCATATTTGAAAGATGAATAGAGGTTATATTAACCCTTTCAAGGCATATTTTTAAATTTTTAAGCTATTTCATTTATAGCTGAAAAAAATGAAGTGATAAGATCTCAAAAGCATTAAAAATAGCCCAGAAAATTTTTCCATTTGGAGAAAAATGAATTAGTAGGTGGTATCACCATGATACCACCAAGCACTAAAATAATACAATGCAGATATTACTGAAACATATATTTAATTAAGATAATGTTATAAAAAGGAGTTTGAAGTAAAAACATACAACTTATTTGATATTTTTCAAAGCAATTTTTTTGGTCAGTGAGACACAAACCGACATTGCAAGTACTGCACGACCATTGCGTACGGTGTTGTTCCGCTTTTGTGCTGCAAAATGCACGTCTTCATCTGACCCATTTTGATCATCCTCCGATTCATTTCCTGAAGGTATGTCCTCAAAAAATATATTCCTGTACTCTTCAGAGGTCATATTTTCCAAATCTTTGTAAAACCACTTTTTCCCTGAAACAAAATCCCCAATCAATTAGTCACTATCCACGTCAGCAGCTAACTTAGTAAAATAATTGAATCAAAAACAAAAGTACACCCACCAATAAACAAACATACCAACAACATACAAGTAGCCCACCAACCAATAGTCTAAATAGTTTTTCCATCGACTTCCATCCCGCCGCAAACTTCACAATTACCGAACTGACGGCAGATCAACTAACCCAGCAAAACAACCAAGTTACTCAAAAACAGAAAAATACGCCCACTAATTACACAAACACACTGCCAAACATACAAGGCAAAAATCCAAAATCACCGAAAATATTAGGCATTGATTGCTATGTGGTATCAATTGACACCACCTTAATTTTATTCAAAGCAACCAATAAAAATATATAAAATCGCGTGTGCCTATGATAATAACATAAAACAATACCTAATACAATAAATTATAGTACTTACCCGCCATTCTGTTCTTATTTTTTGAAATAAACACTCAATTTATGACCACGCACGCCATTGACCTGCACACTGCGAAAACAAATCGATAAATGTCAAATAACAAGCTGTTAGGAATGGCGTCCTATGTAAATAATTTTTTTTCATACTAGTTGGCAATATAGTGCTACTTCTTACACGGTGGTATCGGCAGATAACCACTCCGCAGCGCCGTGATAAATTATTAAAAAGGTGGTTTCATGGTGACACCACAAAGCTTGAAAGGGTTAAAGCAGGTTAGGTTTTCGAACAATACTTTGGTCTTTAATGTTCCTGACTTAAGGTGTATTCTACTCATAACTGTTTTTCCAAAACAAAAACTCCCCGCTAAAATTATTATTGAGGTAACTTTAAACCATGAAATAAAATGAAAATAAAAATAATCAGTGAAATAATCTAACTAACTTCGCAAAATCATAATATAAATTCATTTTCATATTATGTTCCCGACATTGTGATTTTATCATCGACGTACGTCCATTCATTACTTCAGTACAATTAATAGTATGACGTAATAGTCATGTTTTGTGATTTTGATTGTACATTAAAATACCTTCATATGATTTCATGGCCAAAAATGAGACGACAAAAGTATGGAAACATATTTTTTATTACAAAATTAAATATAATAACTCTACAAAAAGATTTACAAAATACTTTTTAGCTAATATTTGGTAGCATAGCCTTTAGCATTCAACACTGCCCGACATCTGCTGCTCATAGAAGACACTAATTTTTTACAGACGTCTGTTGGGATATTTTGCCAAATATTTTTTACATAATCAAATAAATCGTTCCTATTTTTAAACTTTTTTCTTGTCAGTTGTCTTTTAACATACTCCCAGAGATGATCTATAGGTTTAGGTCCGGGGATTGCGAAGGCCATGTAAGAACATTAACATTTTTTAGTGTTAACCAGTCCTTTACGAATTTCGAGGTATGCTTGGTATGCAAGTTAAATTTGCTTTCATTGCTCCATAAAACTATTCCATTGTTGTTCTGTCCAAGTTAGATGAGTTTTAGCAAATTCAGGCCGAGCAATACGATTTTTTTAAATGAGAGGCTTTTGCAATGGACGCCTACCAAAAAGCCCAAAATCCGCCAAGCGCCTCTTGACTGTTCTGACAGAAAGATTCTCGGCACCCTCTTCTACGATTCTTTTGAAAATCTGTGTGGCTGGCATTCGAGGATCTTCATGGGGCAAACGTTTAATGTAGCGATCCAAAACATAATCAGCTGTTTTTGGTCTTCCGCACCTGGGCCGCGTCGCTGTTGATCCGTATTCTTGATATTTATTATTAATTTTCGAAATCGCCCATTTGTTCATTCTTAATCTTTGAGAAATGTCAACATTTCTGACATCACTTCTAAATAATTCAATTACTTTGTCTCTTAAATCTTTTGAAAATTATTTTACTTTTCTCATATTAATATAGTATTTACCGCACGCAATATCAGAGTATCGCAGAGCGAGTAAATACGGCAAAACTGAAATGTTTCCATACTTTTGTCGTTACAAAAACCGTGGTACTTAAAAAAACGCAAAAACTCTTTTTTTTCAGAGAATTTGAATATTGATAAGATAAACCTTGTATTAGTACTGGAGCCAGAGGTAAACTTTATTATCTGTTCCTTCACAATTTTAAACAAGAAGCATCTTGTTTAATCTGCTCAAGGCAAGTAGACCAAATCTACTCTCAGCCAGAATCATTAGCCATCTAGCGGCATGGCTATTAAATTCGACCTGAGATCTTTGACAGTTCCAACTAATAGCAGCGGTGCGCGATCGATTCTGGTGCGATAGATGGCGCTTTGCGCTATCTCATGATCACAATTTTAATTTATGTATATACTGGGGACATTCTTTTGATTCCATTAATTCTTCAAGGTTTAATGGTGATAATATTGATCCTTTGAGGTTGCAATAATCAAGTCTGGGGTTTTAAGTGTATATAGTTCATAATTTTTTTGCAGAGTGAGGCGTGAGGTGATATACAAGTTTAGGCGATTTTATTTTATATTGCTTTTAGTAAAATAGCGTTTTTTAATGGTATATGCAATGTTCATTGTTACTAAGGTATGTAATATACTTTTATTAATTTGACTACCCGTATTCCTTTAAAAAACCATGAACATACCCAATGAAATTTGAGTGATTGGGATGGAGAAGTTCTTCAGTTGAGCATATAAGGCCACTGCACAATTTCCCGGGAACGGAAACGAGAGAAAACTTCAATTGCATAATTATTATCTCTACATACATGTACAACAAACGGGAACGAGCTCGGTAGGTATATTAACATATTCTTGTAAAGTGACACTATGTCAGTTTTCTACCAGATGTTAACTTAGAACTAGATGTTCACTTGATGTGCACTCGTTCTGTAGCTGCACGTGTTGCCTAAACGCCATGACGCTTCAGCTGTCAATATTTGGCTCTGATCTGATGTAACTGCTTCAGAGATGGCATGAAAGAAGAGTTGGCCAAAATTCAACTTTTCCGTTCCGTTGTCTTCTCGGAGCCAATTAGAATGTTTAGAATGTGTACATGCGCATTAAAGCACGCCATAAGTGTTAACCTAAAGTCCTAAGGCCCGTATCATCAGTTGTCCCTACAATTGTAGGGCGCCTTTATTGCCTCCTTGATTGTCATAGTTTTCTACTTCTCCGTGTCAGAATTCTATTTTGAGGTTATGTCACAAACATCTATTGGCATTAAATTGTGCTTGCTTTTGAGTTATATCATGTTTTATCAGCCTGAAATTTCCTACAATTTAAAAGGAAAACATATCTTCACAATAGGAGAGCGCTGACGCTGACACGGGACAAGTGTAATCTAGAAATTTTTGAAGGACAAAAAGGAGTATGACAATCAAGAAGGCCATAAACGCGCCCTACAATTGTAGGGACGACTGACGATACGGGCCTAAATGGGGCAATGGAGGCAATAAGAAACTGTTCCTCAAAATTATTTTTTTATTTTATCGGATAAATAGTCCAAAAATGAAAAAACAGGTACTGTTCCACAAGAAGTACGAGAAATACAGAATGTATCCGTAAAAATGTTTCGAGTATACCAGAATGAGTATCGACAATCAATATTCAAACAGAACTGGAAAAAAAGTCAATGCAGATAGAATTTTAAGTGCCAGTGAAAAATTGGTTTTGACATTAATGTATGTACCTATCTATATAAAGAATGAAATTTAACTAGCTGCGCATATTTTGGGGAATGATCAATATGAACAACTTTTCCCAAAAAGACATGCACATATGGTCTAAATGGAATTTTTTCATAGCTAAATTTTTTTGGAACTATCATTGCCCAAAATATGGTTATCTAATAACATGTCAACCTGTATATTAATATTTCATGGAATTAAAATACTTCACAATAATTATGTTATTTATATAACTTTAATTCTTTGTAAAACTGAAATAAGATAATTTCTTAACTTTCTAATCAGCCTTTTAGGTTCACTTAAAACATTATGAATTATAATCAGACAGTCTTTTCGATGTTAATTGTGTAGGTACTCTATTCCTTATTAAAAGTATTGCTTATAAGGTTCACCATATATTGTGATACTTATTTCGTCTAAAAGAGCCTAGTTAATTTTATTTCTTAACCTGATTTTTGTATAGTAGGTAGTTTTTCCATTTCAGGCAAAATACTCATTAAAAAATGGTAGTCATCTGATTTTTTTTCATTATCAATTTGTGTATTTTTAGAGATATCGTTTTTTTAAATTTTCAGTTTTTTTCTCTTAATCTCTAAATACTGTGCTCGAATATGTTGTACATTTTGTCGCTTTTTTTTAAATTTTGAGTACTAGATGTAGAGGGTTCAATCGGTGAAGGTGGTGACCTTACTTCATTTAAAATTACAGATATATCATCATTGTCTCCATTATTGATTATTTCACTGTCTCCTTCATCTAAGTTTGATTCAGCAGTTAAATGCATGAACTGATCTTTCAAAAATCCTAATAGCGTGAAGTATTTCCAGGATGGTTCATGATTCGAAGATGAATCACCCGACCGGGATTCAGACATTTTCCTTAACTCCTTACTATATGTGTCTCTCAGGTTCTTCCATTTCTTTTTGAGATCATCGACTGAAAAAATTGTTTAGTTTAACTATGCACTTGAGAGAAAAAATAAAGATGGTACATGTGTAGGTACATAAAGAGAAAATGTTTTATGTTTCAGATTTCTCGATGGGATGATTTTTAAATCTCTGGCTCAGTCATACTCTCTAGGCCGAAGCACCGTCGCCAAAACGGTATATCAAACTTTAAAGGCAATTTGGAAAAAGTTGGTTATTCAGCATATGTCACCAAAACTAACAACTGAAGATTTAAGTGAAATTTCAGACGTTTTTTCTATATGGCAATTCTCCAATTACATAGGAGCCATAGATGGTAGCCAATATAATATAAAATTATTTTTCATTGGTCCTACAAGCAGTTTCGGATGCAGATTATAATTTTCTATAAGTGAGATTGGTGGAAAAGGAAGATACAGTTTTTGAAAATTTAATAAATTACTTACTAACAATTGATTTAATATGCCACTGCCTAGAACATGACCTGGGTCAAACATTTTACTGCCACACATCCTAGTTGGCGACGAAGCCTATCCACTGAAAACATATCTTGTGCAACCCTTTCCATCCAGTACTTACTTTAGATAATTCGAAAGAAACTTTAATAAAAGATTGTCAAGAGCTCGACTGACAATTTGAATGTGCATATGGTATTATGACTAACAAGTGGCGAGTTTTCCTCAAAGCAATGGAGACGGACACTAAACATGCAAAATTAATTATTAAATTACTACACAAAGGTACAGATACACATGCTCAAATCTAGCACAAAAGCATGCTATTAATGAGCAATTGCTACTTAGTAGCATGTGTGTACATACATTTCTAGAAATAAGCATGCTTTTTTGAGCATGCTTAAAAATCGACCGTCCTGCGATTCTCGAGCATGCGCGGGTGGAAGGGGGATGTGTTTTTAGTGCGTGTGAACAGGTCTGTTTATTATGGTACTGACAGACGTGCTCAAAAAAGCATGGGTCTCAGTGTAGTGTGTCGTTTGAGACATACCATGGAGCGTTGCAAATTGTTCGCAAAGTTCTACTTTGCAGTACTTGAAGACTTTGCATATGTGGCTTGGCAAGAAAACACCAAGCCGCACATGCATAAGTAATGGCTGGTCTAATAATCATTTTATATACGCGAACTTTGTCTATCAAACTCAATTTGGAGGATCTACATAACAAAGGATAATGGAATTTTGTTTTCAAGGCTGTTGTATGTTTCTGCCAGGTCATGCCTTTATCAAGGGTGATACCGAGGTACTTGGCAGAATTTGTCCATGGTACACGATTGCCGTCTACAGATACCTCTGCTGCTGGGGGGTCGCGACGTTTTTTGGTACAATAAATAGCCTGCGTTTTCGAATTATTAATTTTAATCAGCCACCGTTCCGCCCACTCTAGTACTTCTTCCACCGCACTCTGCAACCCATCGTGAACCGGATCACCAGTACACGACTGGGCGACAAGTGTAGTGTCGTCAGCAAAGGGGTAGACTTTACAGTTGCTGGGGCAAGGGACGTCATGGATAAAAAGCGAATAAAGGATTGGTCCTAGGACCGAACCCTAATGATGACCTCAGCAGTCTTCCACCCATCAGGGAAGTACTGGATTCTGAGCGTCGCATTGATTATTGTCACCAAATATGTCAGGGCTTTCGGCGAGAGCAGCTTCAATGCTTTGTTGGTGATTCGATCCTCCCCAGGAGCCCCGCTTCTGTGCTATGTGGAGCCTCAGGCGAATCTTCTGAAGAAGAGTCATCTGAAGAGGATTCAGTGCATCCGCTAACGCCGTTGGCGCTAAAATATCTCCTGACGGATCGTACGATGTGCTGTTCCTCGTCGAGGTCCTTATCAAGATCATAGTTGGGAGAGAACTGTTTTTCCATGGCATCAGCGAAAACCTCGACCTTATCCTCCGTTCTGAAGACTATGCCTTGAGGACCGTGGATGTGCGGGAGTTGTTCTCGCTTTCTGTTTCTGAGTGACTTTGCGACCCTCCAGAGAGGAATACTTAAATCAAGCATTCCCACCAGAAAGTCGCTCCATTGCTCGTTGCGGAGTTCGTGCAGTGCGTTTCTCACTTCATGGACAAGATTTGTAGCCCTACGAATGTCATCAGGATGACAAGACCTTTTTGCCTGCTTAAAAGCGGCTCTTTTATCAGAGATTTTCTGACGAATGTCCGCAGGCAAAAAAGGTCTGCCGTGTCGTTAGACAGGAAGTACAGCTGCGCGCTGTAGAGCTGCTTGAATGAAACTTGTCCACTCCGCTTGAGCGGCATCTATTCCAGACTCATCATCCATAATCGGGATATTGGGAAAGTCTCTAAGGAGCAACTTGTATAGCTCCCAATCAATGCGTTTCCTTGGAGAAGCCCACGTCCAAGACAATAGGTAGATGGTCACTAGAGATATCATAAAAGATTCGAGAACAAATACTGTATTTACAGTTTTTAGATATCGCGAAGTCGATGACATCTGGTGCCTGAAGATGGTTGAACGGATGAGGTGTCGGCTCTTCAGTGCTATGTATAAGGTACCCATTTCGCATCACATGGTTGTACAATCGAATCCCACTAGTGGAATTCAACCTAGAATTCCATGCTCGATGTTTGCAGTTGAAGTCCCCTGCCACAATAAGCGAACCCGAGTAGTCCAAAAGGACCTCCAGATCCGCCTCTTGTAGCCTGGCACCACACCTGACATACACCGATGTGATCTTCAACGAGACACCTCCCGCCATATTGATCACCACAGAAGCTGCTTCGATGCTATGCATCTCCGCATTACGAGGGATGTCTTTTAAGTTTCGCATATGGAAATAAAACAACACAGAAGGTAGTTTTACATGACTTTATTGTTTTTCAAAGTATTCTTCACGAAGATTAATACACATCTGCATGCGCTCGAACCAATTATTCCACTCGTTTGCTGGCAGATCCAAAACGGCATTTTTGAATGCGTCAACTGCTTCTTCTGGTGACTGGAACCTTTGACCACGCAGTCTGTTTTTAATTTTCGGGAAAGTAAAGAAATCGTTAGGACTTAGATCGGGACTATATGGAGGATGATCCAATAATTCCACGTTTTCTTCCGTTAAATGCTGTTTTTTGGGCTGTGTGCGAGCTTGCATTGTCTTGGTGGAGGATGATTCTTCTTTCGGGGTTGATTTTTCGAAGCTCGGTGATGACTTTTGCCAAACAAATGGTGGTATACCAATCCGCAGTAATAGTTCTTTGCTCATTAAGAGGAATTGTTGCAATATGACCTGCTTTTGACACAAATGTCGCAACCATCTTTTTCGAAACACTTCGAGAACGGATGACTTTTGTTGGCTTTTCTTCACCTTGGAACACCCAAACAGCCGACTGTTGTTTATTTTCTGGTTCATAACAGTAAATCCACGAGTCATCACCACTAACGGTGCTATACACATTTTTTGAGGTTCCGGCATTGAAACGATCAAGCGTTTTTTGACACCAATTAACCCTGGCTGCTTTCTGCTCTTCAGTCAACAGGTGGGGTATCCAACGAGAAACTAATTTTCTTACTCCTAATTCTTCATGTAAAATTTTTTGAATCTATGTCTTTGAGATCTTCAAGGACGCCTCAAACTCGCGATATGTCACATGTCTATCTTCAATGATGAGTTTGCGCACAGCATCGACGTTTTCCTGGATAAATTATGGCGCGAAAATGTTCTCGGTTGAGTTCCATTTTTCTAATGACTTGGTGGCACTTAAAAATTCACTGTAGTGAGAACACTGCACGTATTGTTGTGAAACTTTGAATTTAAGTTTACTAAAGAGCAAGGTTAAGATTCGGTACTGACTTTCGATCCGCGTGGCCTACTATGTTTCTATATGCAAAACTTAAAAGACATCCCTCGTAGTGCTTCTATAATAGCCTATACCGCGCTTAATCAACACTGCTAAACCGCCACCTCGACCGTTCAATCTGTCACCTCGGATAACATCGTAATTCGGGAGAGCTAAACGATCTCTCGGATTAAGTAACGTTTCCTGCAGCAAGGCCACATCTATACCTTCATCCAAAAGAGCTTGATGAAATTCCCGTTTTTTGGGAATATCCCTCATGCCCAAACAATTCCAAAAAATAATTTTAGTGAATGCAGACTGTCTACTATTGTACCTAGACATTTGCAGGAAATATCGCCTGCAACGCTTGAGTAGCGCTAATCAGTGGGCCTATTATTTGATGTAGCGACCTTAGCACGGTTGCCAGGTCCACATTTTGTGTGTTCAAGGGAGGTTGGGCAGACGGGGGCAGGCAAGGTTGCATCCTTAGCTGCGTCCGCGTATGATGTGAGGGTCATGTGGTCCTTTGCACATTTTAAGCATTTGGGCGGTGCAGTGCAATATGACTGCGCATGCCCGTACTTTTGGCAGCGGTGACACTACCCAATGAGTCTGGAGTTCTTCTGAACCTTCAATCGAATGACGTGGAGAGGGCTATATCCCCTGTGCTCAAGTTCTCTCTTAATCTCAGTATCCGAAAAGTTGACGGGAACTCCTCGAACCACCGCGTGGATGTTCCGTTTCGAAGGGAGAGGAAAAGTGTGATGAGGCACTTCTTCCTCACGGAACAGTCGAACGATCTTACGATAGTCTTCCTCAGATTTAGGAATAATCCTTATTCCCGCATCGAAGCAACCGCGCGATCTATTTTAATGCCTAGGGAAATGAATTTGTAGTTTAACGTACGTAACCTCGCCCCATCACGCAGAACAATAGGCGTGACGCGCCTTTGGCGTGGAGGTTGGCTTGATGCCACGTCAGCTGAGCGAGATGGCTGAGAGCTGAGAGTGAGAAGTGACATTGGCCGACGGGGTGACCTTAGATGTAGATAATGTTGTCCCTCCGCCAACCGATGACAAAGGTTTGGTAATAGACATAGTGTGGCTGGTATTTTGTTTTGATGAAGTGGGGGAGGTGCGTAAGAGAGTGGATTCTGTATTTGGAAGAGGTGGAAACTCTTCGGCTCTTCGGTCAGTCTTGTTGCTTCTCCTCCTAGATTTTGCGTTTATAAGTCCGTCGGTGTGTGTATCATCGTCTGTGGAGGTATATTGATCGTCGGTCATGGTCCGTAGCGGTCTCTTTAGGCTGTTGGTCCGTTCTTTGGCGGATTCTTTCGAACTTATTAAAAGAGTTACCTGGGCGGTCAGGCTGTCAATTTTAGCGGTCTGGTCCTTGATTGTCTGCATAAGTTCTCGGATTTGCCTCGCATGGTCGTCTATAATCATCATCAGTTTCTCATTGGTTCGATGACATCTGCGTCAATGGGCCCATGTTTTCAGTTTTTGAACGTGATTCGCCGCCGCTCAGCTTCTTCCCCATTATCAGTGGTACTGCTTCCTCTTTGAACCCTCCTGGGTCAACCTCCATGTTAAAATAGCTTTTCTTTCCAACAAACTCGTAAAAACCTTTATGCTCGCAAATGTGACAACGTTGTCAAAACCCTTCCTACAGGGCGTTTTGCCCATAAATTTGATATCAAAGATCGTGAAGTCAACTGTAATTGACTCAGCATTAGAATGCCATCGACTTTGGAATCAAAAGTCGTTGATCCTGAGATTGAAAATTAATGGCACTGAATTCAATAATCATTAACTGTATACCGAAGACGCCGAGTTGAAATGTGTGGTTGACCTTGCACCTCTATTAGGAAAATGGGAATTTCTAGGTCTCCTGCCGATCTTGGTGAACAACTGGCTCAAGAATATTTTAACTATCTTCACTAGTGTGCCTTTAAACATTTGAGAGTATCTACATACTTTCGGTACATCAAATCAAACGATAAAAATGTATCGTACAAACTGGATAGCCCCCTTTTTTCACCACCTCCAGGGCAAGAGTTTTTCCACTCCCTTATACCTACGGCAATGACATTAACAGATGAATCATTTTTCGTATCAACCATAAATATGATAAATATTCATGACACATTCACATCTCGGGCCTAACTCGTTGGATAATGAAAAAACGTTGAAACGACCGTGACCTCCAGCATTATTTCTAAAAATAGACTTGCGCTTGATAACTCAAACGATCTAAAGCGTAATTTGTATTGGTGAAACACACATATAACTAAGTAATTTTCAATTGCGGCATGCTTAAACCAAAATACGAATTAATATAACTTTAAGAAGAGCATTAGGAATCGGAGGAATGGTTTCCGGTGGTCTTGAGCCCGACAATTTCGATTCCGAATCCGGTGGTTTTGATTCCGATGGTCTTGGTTCCGGTGTTTTCGGTTCCATCCGGGTCGTATCAGATTTGGAGAAACTGTTTGAAAGCCACTATACTGCTCGGACCCGAATACCGCTGGTGCTGCTACCGCAATAAAAATAGTCGCACTAACGCTTTTGATTCCAGTGGCTCTAAATTATTAACGATCTAAATGATCATTTGGAATGCAGTAATGAACGACGACGATTGTTGAGTTTATGATTAGATGCCATTTAATGTTTTCAATATTATATTTTTAATGAGGAAATTTTCCGTGCATACACTTTTTAAATAAATGCAACATTTTCTAATATGTTTTTCTTTATTTTGCAATACAATATATCATGAACACTTTTGTTTCTCTCTTTCGAAAATGGTAGAAAGCAAGTAACTCGTAATTGCCAAATCTGTTGTATTCTGCTATTGGTAACGTTGCACTAAATAATTCTTATTACCCAGAAACACATCCAAATCTGTACAGAACAGCAACAAATTTAAGATGAACATTCATAAAAGCCATGGGAAACTTTTTTATAAATGACGGTAGGGTCGATACCCGATGGTATATATGAACATACCGTCCTACATCCTACATCGATGTTCTAAATAAGGCAACCTTGCACGTGCCTCGAAGCTTCAGACTGCAGACCGAGACCAGCCAGTGTCGCGACGGTTTCGTTCCGTTGCATTCCATACAAATTACAGTGAATGGGAATCAAAAACTATCGGAATCGTGAACAAATGGAAGGAATCGGTTACGAGGCTGCAATAGGAATCGTGAACGAATCTATTTCGAGGCCCGGAATCGAATCACCGATAGAAACGATTTTGTATTGTCAATATTAAAAAATATGTCCATTGTTTGTAGCTGTTCGACAGAAGTTTAAATTTGTGGGAATGCGTGGGCAACATTACAACTATCGGCAGTTGTTTGATTTCGATGGTTATTTCAAGTCATGCAAGAAAAACTTGAGCGAACTAGTAAAAGCATGACGGAATACAGTTAGAAATAATGTTTTCTCCAATTTTCAACATCTACAGAGTCGTTTTTCAACAAATGTATCTTACCTACCTCAAACTGGGTCCTTACCCCGCCACTGCACATGTATTAAAATACCATCGAGAGATTTGCGGTTGGCAACATGGCAACTCAGATATCCGAGATAGGTGGTTCCCACAAAGCAAATCGCATGATAACTATAAATGTCCTTAAATACCTCGCTTCCGCTTAGTCACAGTGTGCCGTTGGAAATATAAGGTGGCTAGAGTCAATATGAATAAAGTGTACTTGTATTCTTGGCTTTGTGCAATTATTCCAGTGATATGTTCCTGGGAAAAAGGAGATGGTTATATATCGTGAGTTTCATATTTTTTATTGTATATTTTGAGAACCCCAGTTTGTATAATTGCAACTAAGAAACAAGATAAGGCTCCACTGATTACATCTCACTACTTCTGCAAAACACAAATCAAATAAATATTTATTTAAACAGCATTTATCAAATTCATATTTCCTGCCAGTTCACATTTAATACTTTAACTTTCTTCTTTTATCTTGGAATTTCGTATGAGGGAACCTTAATTTCCACTATAATTTTGTGAGTGGTATCTCTGAGGCCTACGATTAGTGTTCATATAAAATTTTCGAAGTCATCTAAGTTGAGAAAGAGCGCATGCTGTTCACAAGGTTGCCTTGAGCAAACAGTTTTTTTAATAGCTGAAAGGTAGTGATATTTAACATGACATAGTTTGGTGTTTAAAATGAATTTGAATTAATTAAAGACTTGCACACGGTTGCTGAAAAAGTCAATGTTGTATACTTTATTTTCAGAATCGATCTCATACGACAAAAAACGCCCCGGATGCAATACTTGGAAAATCCACATTTAGCAGATAAAATGGGTTTTGGAGAATGGTTTCATAAGCCAAAACCTAAGCCTAAACCTGGTAATGACTCCATTGCACTTTACAGATTCCTTGATGTAAGTATTGCGATTTCAACTAGTAGAACATTGTTTTGTCTTTACTTTACACATCATTGTAGGAAAATTTTAAATTTGAGATATGTTCTTTGGATGCTGTAAATAACATATATTTTGACAAATCGTGAGAGGTACAAAGTTTTATTATGGAAAAACATGATTTCTACTATAATTCAGAAAGTACCACTCAGATGCTGATGAAACTGGATGAAGAATCAATCCAATGGCGGTGGTGTAATTATTACACTGTATATAAATGAGAAACAAGTACATTAAAATGGGATTATACCCAGTGTCATTTGCACTATCAAGACAAATCTAGATACCCATCGTACGTCAAAATTCATCACAACATTTAATGAAATTTTAATCATGAAATTTTTGGATTTCGATTTTATACAATTTTAATGTAGCCAGTCATTCTGTTAAAATGAATCTAACCAGACCTCATATCTCAAAGTCCATTAAGCCTTTTGAACTGTAGCCAGAGAAATAGAATTGGTTGTCCATATACCCACGCGCGAAAAACTTAACCTTCCTTCACACATTGAGTGCTAGCCTAATAAACTCAAGAAATATTTATTTTGGTGCATTCCGCGGCCGGCAAACCTAATATAATTTACACAGAACTAATTACTGGTAGCGCTAAAGGTTAAAAGTAGTGATACATGACACTACGCTATGTGTTAAAGGCGATCAAGTAGGTAAATATCCGAATTCTGTGAAATATTGACACTAAAAAGGAAGAAGAGAATCTCATTGGACAGACCTAAACATTGTTGGAATATGATGGTTGACAAACTTTGGTGAGGTAACTTGTGCAAATTTACTTACCTACTTGCAGCGACGTCCCGTGAATATTTTTGTAGCATAAAGGTCTATTCACACTCAGCCGTGACATGACACCGGTCATTATTTTTCTCCGTGCTCTGACAGTGCAGTTGTGTTCACGTGAGGTCAAGATGGCAAAATTTTCAGAGGATGAACTTGCAATTATTGCATTAATTTTGGATTTTTTTATACTTCAACTACCACGAAGGCGTAAGGCCTAAACACCCATGGGGTACCGTGGTACTATAGGAGGAAACACAGGAGAAAGGGGCGACGCCACACGGACTCTGGCGCGGGAACACATTCTGGCCCCGCCTACGAGATCCGCCGGAAGGTACCTCCGCGTTCGACACTCAGAGACCGTCTATCACCTACGAAAGATGAAGAAGAAACGAGAAGAAAACGGAAGTCCGTGTATTTTGAATTTGACTGGCTCTACAGCACGGGATGCACGCGTACAAATTCAATTAGTTTTGCATGATTCATGTTTTTTACCAATTACCAAAAAGGCCTATTCATACTCAGCCGTGACGTGTCAGTGCTGTGAGTTTCGCCGGCACGTGATCCGCCCGGCGAAACTAAAAGATTCTTCCTGGAATTTGGATGAACTGATTTACACTAGACCGGCACGTGGAAATGGCCGTGTTCTCAGTGCCCTCGACGACGCCGTACCGTGACTATCGCATTGTTTTGGAACGATATTTTTCGGTTTTCACGGCAATGTTGTTATGTAGTGTCGTGAGTATTTTGATATAATTGGTCAACTAATTGAATTTGTACGCGTACATCCCGTGCTGTAGAACCAGTCAAATTCGAAATACGTTTCTTCTTCTTTATCTTTCGTAGGTGGTAGACGGTCTCTGATGACTGTCGAACGCGGAGGTACCACCCGGCGGATCTCCTAGGCGGGGCCCGAATGTGTGCATATTGCATGTACGAGTACACGTGTTCCCTCGCCAGAGTCCGTGTGGCGTCCCCCCTTTCGCCTGTGTTTCCCCCTATAGCACCACGATACCCATGGGTGTTTAGGCATTAGGCCTTCGTGATAGTCGGAGTATAAAGAAAACATCCAGAATTAATGCAATAATCCTCTGAAAATTTTGCCATCTCGACCTCACGTGAACACAACTGCACTGTCAGAGCACGGAGAAAAATATTGACCAGTGTGAATTGAAAATACTGTGAGCTCACGTCAGTGAGAATCACTGGCACGTCACTGCACTGCCACATCACGGCTGAGTGTGAATAGACGTAAACAATGCGATGATCATGGTACGGCGTCGTCGAGGGCTCTTCCACGTGCCGGCCTAGTGGGAATCAGTTCATCCAAATTCCAGGAAGAATGTTTTTAGTTTCGCCGGGCGGATCTCGTGCCGTTCACAGCACTGTCACGTCACGGCTGAGTATGAATAGGCCGTATTTTCAAATAAAGACGACTATTATTATTATTAATATTATTGTATATTTGGTCAAAAACATGAATGATGAAAAACTAATTGAATTTGTGCGCGCACATCCCGTGCTGTACAACCAGTCAAATTCAAAATTCTAGACTTCCGTTTCAACCTCGTTTCTACTTCTTCTTCGTCCAGAAGCTATGCAATAATTGCAAGTTCATCCTCTGAAAATTTCGACCTCACGTGAACACAACTGCACTGTCAGAGCACGGAGAAAAATACTGACCGGTGTGAATTGAAAACACTGTGAGCTCATCTCAGCGAGAACCACTGGCACGTCACGGCACTGTCACGTCACGGCTGAGTATGAATAGGCCTTAATACTCGTATCTCTTAGGGAAAAGTCCTGGGAAATCCTGATCCCAAAATTAATGAACATTAAATTAAAAATATGAATTTAACTTAAATTTAAAACTCCCGTTCTCGTTCGGGTTCTGTATCATATTTGCCGGGGGCACTACTTAATAGTTTGTTGAAGACTGATTGATAGCCAAGAATATTTTTTATCATAATAATACTATAAGTGAAATATTATGCAGTCTACATATGCCAAAAAGCTTGATTTTAACACAAACACCTAATGTCTCGGAAGTATCGAAAATCCCGGGAGTCCCAGGAAGAGCACTCGTTCTTCATTTTTACTTCCTATGCCAAAACTGGCGAGAAAGTCGCAAAAAATATAATCGCTTAAACATTGTTTATGGAGGTTTCTGCGGCTCCTGATCATTTTCAAGAATTTTTTTGAAAGGGGTTGAAACTCAGGGGTTGTAGTTGTAAATGTATTAGTCAAAGACGTTTTATCATTAAGGAGCTTCTGGTCCTGGTAACAACAGGAAAATTAAATTATAGAAGTCTGATGTATAATGTGCTCTTAATTTGAAATAACTTGTCAATCGTTGGCGTTGTGTGCACGGCACGATGCTGAATCGCCGTGAAGGCCGCTGCCGACTGTCCAATTGGTAATAAACTCCAACTGGTCTGCGGTGGTGGCATCACTGACACACCGCTACAGGAGAAATAGTCACATATTTTAGCAATATTTGGATATTATGAGTACGTACCACTTTGTTCTCTAAATATTTCGTAAAGTATACTGAGGGACAAAAAAAGGTCAACACCTACGTAATATTTATTAAAATTCATATCATTCATATATCGATTTACCTTGCCACAAACAACAAGTGATAAAATGGTCAGGTCTTTCTGTTAGGTTTTTGTGGTGGCTGCGTGTATTGTTTGGTGATAAAGAAAATTTAATTTACTAGTAAGGGACACTGAAGATATATTAAAAATTATTATTAAAATCGGATAAACACCTTTTTTTGTCACTCAGCATAGATTGGCTCAGTACGTATGACGCATTGATATACAACAGACACAGACTCACAAAGCGACATAAATGATTAACATTGTCTTGTTTTGATTATTATCGCGAGTTCGATACTTCTATCGTTTAGGTAGTCGTAGATTTTGAAAATTGATTCAGATGCGGCGGAAATAAAATTGCGGGAACATAGTGTTACAACGTTTCTCATATTCCTGCTCATTTTCAGACATTGTTTGGAGGGGATGAAAATTGTAGGTTGAAAGCTGTATGCGGTAAATGGTTATAAATTGTTGCATATTTGGTACCAAGTGAAATACCTTCTATTTAAAAAGTTTCTAATCTCAGCAATACTATGCACTTGTTAGATATGTCACACATGTTTCCGCAGTTCTGCAATGGAAACAAAAATATGATAGATTAGCTTTATATAGTTGCATAGGTCGAAGATTCGTGGTACCAAGTGAACCTACATATTCACGATTTGATTTCGTCTTTTGAAACGATTTGACTCGTTTTTTTCTTTTAAACCACCTACGAACGGGTAGGAAGTATATAGTCAATCTACTTGACGCCATTTTTTGATACCAAAGTAGTCGCGTAGTCAGAAGCCTAAATATCGGGACACCGCGGGTGCTACAGGGAGCTTGAACACACCTTATTAATCCGCGTTCTGAACAGCCTAAGGTTAGTAGAACTAGGAGAAGCCTCCTCAGACAGATTGTGCCACACCCTGGACACCCTAGGAACAAAAGACCGGACGTACCTTTCAGTTTTGCGTGTACGAAGTTCGACACGGTTAGGATGGGAGACCAAACTCGGGCGGGTCTGTTTGGCAGGCTCATCGCGTGGTGGCATTGTGGAGGAGAGCTTTGAGGAGCAAAGACCATCGACATAACGGTAGAAGATCGCCGACAGCTCGTCGGTGCGAAAGGGTCCCGAGACTGCCCGTTAGAAAAGACTCATCAATTAGCAGGGCAGCCCTTCTCTGATAAGCATCGAGCATGAATAATGTAGTCGGGCGGCAGCACCACAAACATAATTTCATAATATAAGTTTTTCCATATCTGTCAATTTGCCTAGTAGTCTAATCATATTAGCAAATTTTCCGGAGATAATTGTAAAGTCTGGTTTTATTGGTGAATGTTGTTCAAGGGGGTATTTAAAACATGGACGCATAAAATGAGTACACCAATTTTTGTGGGAAAACTTTTTATTTGACAACAAAGAATGAGAAAACGGGTTTTTTGGGTTTCAATCGAAAGTGCTGACAGGGACGAAAAAACGTTTCATATTAGATTTTTAGGTATTTATGAGACCTACAAAATGACACCTCACGTAAAAAGATCCGACTAATAGCAAAAAAGTTATAGTCGAAAAACGAGGCAAAATGCAGGTTTTGGCACTTGTAGCTAATGAGACGATAATTTCACCCAACGAATTGAAATTATTCAAATCCATAGGATTCATACTTCTAAATATCAACAACAAAATTGGAGTATATTGGTCAAGTAGTTTTTGAGAATTTCTAATTGTTTATCCCAAAACATCTGTTTTCCGGCCACCACTACTAGTTTATACAGGGTGTTCCATAATTATTGCGACAAAATGATAGAGGTTGTAGAGGACATAAAAATATGCAATTTTGCCTTATAAATCCCTGTTCGTAAATATGCCGTTTGAGCACTACCGCTAATTTTACCTTAAGAGCTCATAGGAGAAACAAAAAATTCACCAGCTGCAAAATGTTCGTCTAGCACATTTCATGGTCTCGCCGGTTTGTAAAAAAGCCTGCTGTGTTTACATTTTTGTTATCGTAAATTCTCCACACCGATTCATTTAATTTATCTGAGTGGTGCGTCAAACTAGATAGTAAATAACAGTACCTTACTGTTAAAATGCAGCGTTATTCGTATGCGAAACTTGCGGATATGCATTTAATTTACGGAGAAGCTGGTGGTAACGGATGACGAGCCTCGCGAATCTACGCCCAACGGTTTCCAGAACGTCCTCATCCGCATCACGCCATTTTTGCAAGGATTCATGGACGTCTTCATATCAGTGGCAGCATCAGACACCTCGCGGGAGCAGGGAGGCCCTTCACGAGGCGCACAGTAGAATTTGAGGAAGCGATTCTGCATCATGTAGAGGCCAATCCGCGTACAAGCGTACGTGCTATTGCATATGATATAGGAGCGTCTCAAACTACTGTTTGGCGGGTTCTCCTTGACCAGCAACTACACCCATACCACCTTTTAAAAGTCCAATCCATGGGTCCAGAAGACTATCTGCCGCGTCGACGTTTTTGTCGTTGGTGGCTGCAGCAGGAGTTGAGGCAACCAAACTTTGGTCGCTACGTTTTGTTCACTGACGAGTCTTGTTTTACAAAGGACGGTTATTTTAATAGCCGTAACAGTCACATTTGGGATGAAGAAAACCCTCATGCTATAGCCATCCATAGAGACCAACATCAGTTTTCAATTAACATCTGGTGCGGCATTGTGGACGAGCATATCATCGGGCCATATTTGCTTCCACCACGTTTGGATGGGCATGCTTATGGTCGATTCTTACAGCATGTGCTACCGGAACTATTATAAAATGTGCCACTGAACATAAGAGCCAACATGTGGTTTCAACACGATGGCGCTCCAGCCCACTTTTCTTTACAAGTGCGGCTGTATTTGGACGACAAATTTCCAAATAGGTGGATAGGCCGAGGTGGCCCTGTGCCTTGACCTGCGCGGTCACCCGACCTGACCCCACTGGATTATTTTCTCTGGAGCCATCTGAAAGCTTTAGTGTACGAAACTCCTGTTCACAACCAACAAGAGCTACTGGGAAGAGTGATGGCCGCGTCCGCACATGTTCAGGACATACCGGGGGTATGCCACAGAGTTCGCCGATTATTGAATAATCGTGCACAGCTGTGTATTGAGCAAGGTGGAGGACACTGAGCAATTACTGTAGGTAAGCTGTTTCAAGAAACTTATCTTTTTTTTACTGCAGCAAAAACGGCATATTTCCGAACAGGGGTTTATAAGGCAAAATTGTTCATTTTGATGCCCTCTACAACCCCTATCATTTTGTCGCAATAATTATGGAACACCCTGTATATAGGGTTCGTTCAAAGAGCACTTAATAGCAAGATACACGTGTTTACCTTGCCGATATGAATCACAAACCATTCCGAAAGATAAATGTTAGTTTCATGCGAAAAACAAAGGTTACGTTTTTTTCTTCTAAACAAATTCAAACATTTCGTATTTGTGAGTAATTGAACAAATGCGCTACAAATGTGTCTACAATCTTTTGTTGCGAATTACTCACATATACGAAATGTTTGAATTTGTTTAGATGACAAAACGTAACCCATCCTTTTTTGCATAAAAATAACATTTATCTTCCGGAATGGTTTGCGATTCATATCGGCAAGGTAAACTAGTGTATTTTGCTATAAAATGCCCTTTGAATTAACTCTGTATATTGCTCAATAAATTAGTAGTGATGGGATGAACAATTGGAAATTCTCAAAAACTACTTGACCAATTTACTCCAATTTTGTTGTGGTTATTTAGAAGTGCGAATTCTACGAATTTGAAGAATCTGAAATATCTGCGAAAAAGCGTCGTCGCATTACCAACAAACCAACTAGTGCCAAAACCTGCAGTTTGCCTCGGTTTTCGGCCGTAAGTTTTTTTGCTATTAGTCGGATCTTATATGAAGAGTTTTTTCGTTCCTGCCTGCACTTTCGATTGAATCCCAAAAAACACGTTTTCACATTCTTTGTTGTCGAACAAAAGGTTTTCCCACAAAAATTGGTGTACCCATTTTATGCTTCCATGTTTGAATACCCCCCTGAACAACTTGCAGCAATAAAACCGGACTTGACAATTATTTCGCAAACCAGGGGTATTTTTATCTAATATGAATATATCGAAAAAACAGGAAAATTCCTTTAATTAATAATTGATCATTATTTTTACGCCAGAAATAAAAATCACTAATCCGATCATATACATCATATATTTACAGTTTAAGCTGTATGTATACTACTCATCCAATAAAACAGTAACATACAAACAAACAGTAATAGCAATTCTCAACTGCTTATCACTTCTCCTTAATATTAAAGTGGAATGTAAGCATTCCATGATTGGAATAACTGGACAAAATACTATTCGGAAACATAATACACCTCTTTGACAGCTCTTCTTCAGACACATCGCTCAGACAGTAGTCGGTTCTGATGAATTTCTTCTCAGGTCTTCTCATGTCCATGAGGGTGACTCCGTAGACGTATGTCTTCATGTCAATGTTGCTGCCATATACCTCGGCGGCCCAAAGGCAGTGGTCTGCATTTTTTTTGCAAGACAGTCTGAAAATTTGGTTGAAGGCGATCACACATTTGCGATCAAAGACTTTGTTGCAGCACGATGTGTTATCCAGGCGGAATGAATCAGTGTAACCTGCAAATGAAAAATATATTACATTATTTTCTAAAAAAATATGCGCATCATATCAATAAAAATATCGATGGTGAAGAATGGAATACTTTGTATGTGAGTAACAAGATGTTACCAAAAAAAAGGTCAAAAATTTAAGTGACGATTTTTTGGACTATTTTAAGACGACGTTCCTTTGACAATTTACATAAAACTGCTTCATTTCGAACATACAGGGCGGATAAAATTTAAAAAAATTCAGCAAAAATGGTATGAGAAGTACATAGCCATACATACGTCAAACGGTTAACGCCAGAGAATAGAGATAATATTCCCCACAACTGATTCTGAGGACAAGGTGTGACAATGGTAACTTTCCTTTTGCAGTTGAGTGACTCACCGTACAAGTGAGGAAAGTGATTCTTCTTAGATGTCAAAAGGAACGGTCAAATGAGAATTCCATCTCACAAGCGCGGAACATGTACCTGGAAGTCAGATGTCAGTGTTCTATGAAAATGTTTTATTAGTGTCGGTGCATTTCTAAACTGCAACTAAAAGTTTGTAAGATATTGAACCAAATCCCCAGAAAATGTATAAGCTTAACCAACAAATAATCCCCTCCACTTATCCAATCAAGTGAGTCAAAAATATCATATCATATCATCAAGGCATGTACCGCACATGCTCCAGGGGCGAGGGAGAATTGAGGAAACTCGCCTCACTTTTACAAATGGAACGCACTGACATGTGAGACGCCTTGTGTGAGAATGAAATGAGATTATCTGATGACGTGGCCAAAAGAAAAGCTACTATTACATACCTAGTCTGATGTGGTTTACTAACTCTAGCAGCTTTTCTTTTGGTAGCTTTGTCAGATACGAGGTCTGTAAATTAAGTGATGAAACTGATTTTTTTTATTCAAACATAATTATAATTTTATAACACAGCGCTGGAGACGGTTCTTCCCACTCCTCATAGCAGTGCTGGAACTCTGATACTGGAATAGGCTTCAGCTGGTCAGCAGCCGTTTGAATGTTTTCGAATGTTTCCTGGAGGTGATTTTTCATTCGGGAAGAGAAAAAAGTCACAAGGACTCAAGTCAAGCGAATAAGGAGGCTGAAGAGCCACAGGAATCTTTTTGCTGGTCAAAAACTCGTTTATTGACATGGAGGATTATCGTGATGTAACACACAGTGGTTCTTGATCTGATAAACGGTGATGCGAGCCAAAATTTAACTCTTGCTCGATCATTCTCAAAAGAGTCAGGCGAGTTCAAACTTGTACTGTACTACAAGTTCCCCTGTTTCCCCTCCAAGCCCGGCACCTCCAGTGTTGTCAGACCGTAATCTCATTTCACTTCAAGTTACCTCTCATATATCAATGCGTTCCATTTGCCAAAGTGAGATATGAGCTTTGTCACTTCCCCCTCGCCTCTCGATCATATGCTTATCGGTACATGCTTTAGAGATTTCTGCTAACTTGATTGGTTGGTGGGGATGATTATTTGTTGGTTATACATTTATATATGTTCTGACGATTGGTGAATTTTGGTTAAAGATTTTGCAAACCTTTTTTTTAGATCTGCAACGACAATACGCGAACAATCTCCTGAAATTTAACGTTCTAAATAAACGTTCCTCGCTTGTGAGGTGGAAAGCTCACTTGACCGTTCCTTTTGACATTTAGAAATATCACTCTACTCACTTGTGTGGTACAAAAGAAGAGTTACTTATGCCACAAAATATTTGATTTTATACCACGTTTCCAATTCTTTTATAAGTACTTTAAAATATCTGGTTGGTATCAACTAAAATTAGTGACTGCAACTGGAAGCCGATTCGGTTGAGGAAAAAATGAAGAAACTCAATACATTTTTGGATGCAGAACATTGATATTCCATTAAAATTAAAATTCAAAATATTTATTTCGTCACGAGTAAACATTACAATCAATACAAAATAATATGTTTAGAAAATACACTATTATCAGATTTTCCGATAAAGTTTCAAAATAACTTCTTTTCGATAAAACATTTTTATGGATACCGCCAAAAGACTAGAATATGGAGAGGAGGTATTTTTACAGAATACCGGCAATTTCGGAACTAACTGTTAAAGGGACCGAAAGGCCCGCAATGTTCGCGAGTTTCGTGACTTTGGGGCCAAATTTAGTTTTGGTGTTAAAATCAAGTTAAAATTGACCGTTGTGGGGGTTTATTCCAATTCCGCATAAAATGTTCGGCCTAGTTTGTTTTAGGTGAAAAAATCATTTCACTTGAATTATTTATTATAAAAAACAATATTATGAATCAGTCCTGAACAAACTAGTAAGTAGTGATATTCACTAGTTATAAATAATCAATACTTCTTCCGCCACCGGTGCGGAAATATTGTGAGATAGACAATTTTTGAAAATGAGATACGTTTTTTGGGTTTACCGCTCGGATATTGATGTAATTTTCACACATGGTTACTACTACGCCAAGGACAAAAAACTTTGTAGATTACGTTCCGAGGACTACTTCATAGTCCATACCACCTTTTGAATCTTCCCTCCCTATTTTTGAAATACTCTGTATGATAAAGAAACAGTATTAAGTGCATACCTGTAGCTCCATTGTATATAACAGATTCTGAATGAAATGCGATCAGATGATTGATCATTGTATGATAATTCCCAGTAGAGGTACAGTTGGTAAATGGACAGCTGTATGGCTTAAACTGACACTCCCTCTCATGTCTGCTGATAACATTCGCAATAGCAGTTTCTGGACATCCCAGGTCGTGGTACAAACAAGGGTACTGCACGCCTGAAGTGAGGCCCTCCAGGGAGTAGTTCCTGGTACTGCCGAAGATGGCGCGACAAGTCGGACATTTTTCTAGTCGGGGTCGGCAACTGTTGCAAATGCTGTGACCCGATTGACATTGGTAGATGGGCGGTTTCATGTAGTTCTTGCAGACGGGGCATTCGAAGAAGTGTAATATCTGGAATGCAAATTGCGAAGATGCTAGAGTTATTATGACAAACAGAAAAAGTAATGATCAATTTCGGCTCTTGTTGGTGAATTCGTGTCTAAGAGTGCGAGCGTGTTAATTAAACTGGAAAAGTTATACCAACGAACTATACCAGTCGAATCTAGTTTCACTGTAAAGTGAAAATACGAAATTTTAATCCGTTTTTCGAGCAATTTCAAAGTTTTTCTTTGAAACTGAAAGTAAATAGTGAGTAAACAAGATTCCATTTAAAAGGATTTGGGTGATTCCAGTGGTGTACGACATTATTTTAAATGCGACATCAACGAGAAATTAATACATAACAAGGAGGAATCTCTTGGGTCATTTAAATGCTATAAAATGAAAGATTTAACATGCCTAGTACGTATATACTGCTTCAAGGTATTCCACGGAAGCTGCGTGGAAAGGATAGACGTCATCATTAATGAAAAACAAAATATTGTACAGCAAAGACTGTGAAGGCAGCTATGAAGCTGATATAGTAAAGCAGCTCAAGGAGAAAATTACCGAATTAAATGTTGAAATTGAGCAAAAAGATGAATTTATTAATAGACAAAAGAAATCACCAGCTATAGATGAAGATGCAATTGAATGGGAAAATCAGGGAAATTGAAGGCAAGGATAGATCAATACAACAAAGGAGCTACTAAAGCAAATTGAGAATTTAGAAAAAAATAAGTATAAGAAAGAACACAAACTGCTATCCAAACAAGCTATACTGTCAATTCCAGATGTAACAGCTAGTAGTGAAATCAGTCAAGTATACTGTTACTTCATTATCAAGCTGGTACAGTCGGAGTTTCAGGCATGTGTTTAAAAGTTTGCCACAAATTACATTTTCTAAGTAGGATATCTCCAGGTACCAGTAGCGAAGCAACTATATGCATCCAGCTCGTACCCAATGAAGCCATCAAGCAGAAATACGTATTGTTCAGCTTAACTATCCTCCTTTTTCTGCACGATTCCACTTTTCTTATTTTTGCGTAATTGCCCATTATTTTTTTCTATTGGTTATATATTTTTCTCGGCATGATCCTTTCTCTTTTTTTTGCTAGAACTATTTCTATTAGTGGGGTGTTTATACATCGGAATCTGGAGAAGCTCAACAGACTTGGAATTTTCAGTGAAATGTAATTATTTATTAATAATGTGCGCTTTTTGATTTTCAATAAATGTTAATCTTTAAAATTTTGTTCATTTCTGTATATGGTTATTTAGGTTTATAATACACCAGCTGATAGAACTCAAATACACAAACAAGATCATTACAAATTATGTATTGCAGCTTCCATGCTTCCAAATATTCCTAGATTGTTTTAGTTTTATAAACAAGATTATAACTCGCAGATTTGGATCCGTATGAAGTAAAATATATTCCAGGATTTGTAAATATGCCTCAATTAAATATGTGGGTTTTATTGTTAATGCCGTTTCCTGATGAATAAACCTAGGTCGATACAGTCATATTTCCACATTTCTATTTAATTCTGGGAGTTTCATTATTTAGCAATCAAACTCTTAAATTACTTACAGGAAGAAATATTCTTTTGTCTGAAAGTCACTTGACTACAGTAATAAAGAATCTAGTGGCGTACTTAGTCAAACTCCGAAATATCCTGTTAAAATTAGACAGCGCCGCACCTGGAATAATTGAGTCGGAGTGCTTTAATGGCTACCGTCGATTCACTTGAATAACTCAAGTAATTTGAGATTAGTTAAAAATATACAAATTAAAATAAATGAATCTATCTCACTATCGGCGTCGTAAGTTTACGTTCTTTTCTTGTTCATTTTAAAGAGATCTACCAGCTGGTAAATTATAAACCTGATTTATCGTTTACATAAAAAGCGATATTAAAAAACTGTTTCAATGGCAACATCTCTAACAGAACACTGTCGCCATCGCATCCGCGAGTTTAACGCCCTTATAACAAAAAGCGCTGTGCTCTCCTTTTTTGCGCCGCGCTTTTGGTTTCTGCACAACATTTCACCAAGAAAAATAATTTTTGGTGATTGATTCTATATATCTCTGCATCTGGCAGATTTTTTATCTCGAAATCTACAAAAACACTGGATACAGCAGCATTAACGTAGCTCGAAAATTAAACAAAGCTGGAAAATGTTCAAACTAGTAGCACTAATTTGGATGCTCAGTGTAAAATTACCGAACTAAGATCTGCTTATTGTATAAGCAAACCTTTGAAATACCACCATTTTTAAAATACCGTCGTTAATTATGACAAGATCCCAAAATTGCGTAATAATTCGTCGTGGAACACTATTCATATTCTCCCAAACCCTCAAACATTTTTACTTACTTTTTTCACAAATTCATTGGATACAATTGTGTATGCAGAAGAATATGAATACCACAATTAAACTAACCTTTTCATCCAGATGTTCTGCTCTAGATTCCTCAGCCTTGATTTTGAAAATATTGGTGATGGTATCAGAAATCTGGGAAATCTGTTTTAAGGCTTCCAAATCCACTTGCACGGCAATATTCTCATCAAACTCGTTGTAAATATTGTAAGAAGACAGAATCTTAGACTTTGTCTTTATGTAGTTATCACTACTCCCCTTATGTTTTACTGAGTACTCGCAGAATGAACTGTGTTCATCTTTGACATTACAAATCATATAGAAAAGCTTCTTTTTCGTAGGATTTGTCTGCATTCTCAAAATGTAGACTTTCTTGTTCATAATGAGCAGCTTCACCAAGTTCAAATCTCGCAACGAGGTTTCGAGGAAGAAAATGTTGTTTTCAAAGTTGATCACATGGTCTCCATGGCATTCTTTGAAATGCGTAGCAAAATCGCTTCTGTTCCCCTCCCAGTCGCACCCAGTGAATCTGAATAGGGCGCATAATTTGGTGCGATATCGGCAGGAATTCTGATGTGTCAAAAGGTCTTCATAAGACAAAGTTTCTTCACAGCCTTTTTGTTTATATCTGCAAAATGTTGGGGATTTTTGGTTGAAAATGTGTAACGCTTCTAAAAAAGAAAACGGAAAGAAACATTTTAACAATTTCGTTTCCCATGCCAATATTCGAAAGAATTGTTGCAATCGCGAAAACATTTCGAAACTAGGATGTTTTTTTGTCTCTCTGTTGAAGCAATAAACAAATAATTCTTGAGATATTTTCAAAAACCGCTATTTATTGGAAATGTGAACTAAAACTCATCTCCTGGGTGAATCGGATGCGCAGATTTCAAATTCAACGTAAGTTTAATGGCAATGCCCATGAGGGGCGGGGTGCCAAAAAGTTTAGCTCCGCAAAGCTCCACGATTTTTCGACAATCATATTCGGCTAGAAAATACCTTGGCATACCAAGTTTTGTTAGCTTGTAACAAGGGAGGCAAAAATGGAAATCTTGAGGTTTCCTATAATATTTTCAAAAATCCTTTATTGAGGTCTCTACACCTATCTCTGGCTTCTAACTATTATGTAGGCAGTTTACATCCACAACAGTCTTGCAAACATTTGAATACATCTTCAACTAGGTATTCTCTTACATTATAAGCAGATTGTGAATATGTTGGACAGCATAATTGACATTGACTCCAATTCAAAAAATAGAGTAATGGTAAGGATAAATAATCAAAATTTTTACTTTGATAATGTTGAAGAGCACAATTACCAACAATTGATGAAGCTTGGGTAGATGTCTGCTTAGACACAGATCCATAGAAAATTTTATGGAAAAGAACAAGGATCATTTCTATATACAGATTGTATTTTTGGTTATTATTTTATAACTGGTTAGATTCATTTTTTGCTGATAATACCTGTGATGTAGACAAAAGCTTGTCTCCTGGGTAAATCCTTAGCATACAGTCCCAAATGACTTATTTTCTACCTCAAAGTCAGCACCACAATACTTCAAAATGTATAAGTCATAGTTGAATTCAGTGCCCCATATTATTTAAGTGTATCAAATTTATTTAGTTGTGATAAAACTGATAATAGGATAAGAAAATGGAAAGTTTGACCCACGTGGGAAAGATACTGATCTTTCTTATAGAAGAAATTTCAAAAATCCTCTGATCAGAACAAAAACTCATCCTCTGGGTAAATCGTTGTGTAGATTCCAATTCAGATGCAATTTGACTCTAAGATACCAGGGGGTGGCAGGCAACCCACCATCTACCTTACATTTGGTGTTACAACATATCAAGATTTTTCAACACTATAAGATACCAGAAAGGACCAAGTTTCAATCACTTGTAACAACAGGGGATAAAAATGGAGAATTTCCACAATAAAGTCTTAAATATTCCAAGAATCCCTGATTTGGACAAAAGCTAAAGCCCTGGGTTATGAATTGGGTGCATAAATACCACAACAGATATCAATTTTCTATCTCAAATACAGCCCCATGATGCTTCATGGTTTTTTGAGGATAATACTAGAGTCTCCAGGTGTACCATGTTTCATATGCTTGGAATAACAGGAAATAAAAATGCTCTTCAGAGGTCTCTTTCTAGCTGTAGGTAGAAAAAAAAGAAACACAGCCCACAAGCATTTTCACACAATTGTTAGGGTCTACCATTGATAAGTTAATTCTCTTTGTTATTAATGCTCCTTAAGATGTTGTTAGGGGAAAGATATGATTCTGACTACCCCTCCTATAGACAATTGTGGGTTATACACTCGACAAATGTTATTTGATTATTGGAGATGATACAAATAAATACGTGAAAGCAACTTACCTGCAAGGGAGCTTCATCAACTTCAATATCTTCTCCATTGGTTCATTTGGCAGACTCGTCATCTGAGAAAGCTCACACTTCTCCTCATAGCAAGTCGAACAAACATTCCCAAGGTTTTGTGTTAACATTATCGGAGGCCTCAACACTTCTTTGCAAATCACGCAAGACAGGCAATTCATCTCCAAAATCTCGTCGACAAAAGATGACATTGATTGCTCTGCCATTTTTGACTGAAAATCGATATTTTATGCGAATGTACTGCACACAACAGCACAAGACATGAAAATGATGCTCTTTTGTCGCGCTAGATTAAGACGGATTTCGAAATGTATCTTGATAACAGCTTAATTGCATCATTATATTCAATTGCTAAGTTGTTGAGTATATGTTTACTTCAACAATCGTATGAACTTGTATAAAAGGTCAATGAAGCTTGGAGTATCAACACAATTTTCATTTTATTGTTTGTGCTTCTGAATGCATATTAACTGCAACATAAGTTTTAAATAGTACTTTAACATTTAATTCGTGTCCTTACCTTCCTTTCAAAATTGAAGGGAAATTTTAATTTTTTCTCTTTAAAATTATAACCTAACATCTATTCACCTTTTGACATAACTATAATCCGTGACATAACCCTTTACAACCACATTGACAACTATCACAGAACAAAAGTAATTTCACACAGAACATAAAACGACACAGAATCAAAACTAGCTTGGACTACCGCCTGCTAGATACTGGTTACTATTTTCAATTCAAATACCAGGGGTATACGAAAAATACATACAACCATCCAAAAGAGCTAAAAATATGAGCTGTGGACTCTCAATAATACTCTGATAAGTCATTACGTATTTTATAAATATAGAAGAATCAGATATTTTAGTAAATTTCTTACAGTATGAATTTTATGCAAAAATCGTAATTGGACACCCAGGTCAAACTATGAATGTCGCACTTGATACTGGATGGACTCTTTCTTGGGTACTTTCGGCGAAATGCCAAGTTTTGACAACACCAGGATGCTGTAAGTAATAGCTATTTGTGTATTATAAGAGACCAAACAGCTACTTTGCCGCTCGAGATTATTATTAGGGATGCAACCAAGTACCCGGTTTTGCTGAGAATTAAATTCTTTTCATATGAACTAGTACTCAGTATTCGAATCTGACCGAGTAAGCGGTAGTTGGCCATTTGAAAATAAAGTGGTACTCGGTACATCCCTAATTATGATTATATTTATTATTTCGAGAGCGGGGCAAGTAGTTTTCATTCGAATTGCAGACAAAGCTTTTTTACAACTGCAGCTATTTACCTTTTGTTATACTATCATGTCTTGCCGTGATAGCGTGTTGCATGTTGGAAATATGTAAGAGATACATCGCCACCTGTAGCAACCTTCTTTGCTACTTTGTCACTCTTGAGCGTCAAACTTCTGTCATATACAATCGGTGATCAGAAATCAATAACACTGCGTGCTAGACTGCAGCTAAAACAATAGACATAAAAAATAAATTAATGAGAAACATGGACGGATCCATTTGTCAGGGGAAGGTCACAGGATTCATGTTCAGGAAGATATTCGTTTCCAAGATCCCAATCGCATAACTAAAAATATATTTACTATTCAGCTCTCAGAAACTGCTTTCTTCACAAATCTAAGAGATAACATTTTAACAAAGGTAAACATAAAAAATAAAATGACATTGTTGCCACAGCATGCTTTAAGTATAGTCATTATGTTACAAAAAAAAACAAGTTGAAGAAATTATTTTTTCTGGGTGTAATATTTCTAATGTCACTAGTATAATAAGCAATGTATAAAAGACTAAGTAATATAGCCGCCGTATGTGCAACATAATAAATCAATTGAGTGGTATCTGCAACATGCCTAACTTGCTTTTGAGGTAAAATATTACCAGCCAACATATTGAAACTATAAAGTGGCATCTGATATTACTATTGAAGACATAAAAATTGTATGTACACGTTACTAGGCGGAACAGTCGTATCGACTAATTGTCAGCTATTCCTGTGTAAAAGCAAAAATGTGTCAACTGTTACAATTACTCAGACATAAAAAAGTATCTACACGGTCGTATTTACAGTAACATTGTCATTAGTAATATAGCTTTGTTCGCCGGATCACAGACGGCCAACCATGGACAGCTATTTCGTGCTATTTGATAACTCCTGAGCATGGTGTAGGCTTGATCTCGGTGGACAACGAACGAAACTGAACAACTTTACTCTATTCAGAGGATAAGGTTTATCGAAATAATACAGCACAAAGTGCCATCTATTGCCAGAATCGACCACTGCGAAAGTGAAAGCTGACAATACGAACTGAGATATAGTTTCAGCAGTCAGCTTGCTGTTTTCACTTTCGCAGTGGTCGATTCTGATAATAAATTGCACTTTGTGCTGTCTTGTTTCGATTCTCATTTACAATTCATACTAATATTCGTCACTGTTCGTCAGAGCGGTGAGGTGGACCTTTGCTCTTAGTTACAAGTCTCGTCGGTCGGTTAGTCTGCCAGGTCTGGCTGCCCAGATACCAATCATGTTTAAGGGGAAAAGGGAAAGAAGTAAAGAAATGAAGGAAGAAATAGAGCAAAGAAAAGAAGTAAATCATTTGAAATAGCTTAAGCATTATTGCTTTCACTACTCGAATAATTTTGTAACTCCAAGATATACTTTTGATCGGTTTTGTATACTGTAATAATTTTGGCTGGTCTGAATCCTCAATTTAATTTTGATAGCAGTGCGAGGCGCGGCCTGGAATGTTTGCTAACTTGCTTGACTGTGTAGTCTACTGAATCACGCAACAGAGGGTTGCTGTGCGATTCGGCTTGATTATAACGCCGCTGTGCCTGTTGTTTTACATAATCCCTTAGATATGGTACATCAAGATCTCTGTGAATACTTCTTCCACCGCACTCTGCAGCCTGTCGAGAACCAGGTTACCAGAACAAGACTGGGCTAGCAGTGCAGTGTCGTCAGCATAAAGATAGACTTCACAGTTGCTGGGACAAGGGATGTCATGTATATAAAGTGAATAAAGGATTGGTCCTAAGACCGAACCCTGAGGAACACCGGCTCTTGTTGACAACACATTGTTAATTTTGATCCGAAACTTCCTTCCTTCTAGAAAAGATTTCAATAGTTTTAGTAGGCAAAATGGAAAACACTTTTGGATAAGCTTATACAAGAGGCCCATGTGCCACACCTTGTCAAATGTCCTTGATACATCTAAAAGCAACATATCAGTACTTTTGTTCAGGGTGAACCCCGTTGTTACATGCTCCACCTGTCCAACTGCCTGTAGCTACGTACTATGCTCAGACCGAAAGCCGAATTGCACGTCAGGAATCACATGGTGATCTGACGAGAAATTCTCAAGGTGACGATAAATCACATTTTCAGCGAGCTTAGAAGGAACTGACAGCAGACTAATGGGACGGTAATCCTGGGGGAATATCGAACCTTCCTACTTTGGGATAATGATGACTTCAGCGATCTTCCACGCCTTAGGAAAGTAATGAGTTCTGAGCATTGCATTGATTATTGCCAACAGATAAGTCAAAGCCTTGAGCGAAAGCAACTTCAGTGCTTTGTTGGTGATTTGATCCTCTCCAGGTGCTTTACGCACCTTTAAGTCCTTAATGTGGCCTTGGAGCTCAGCTGGTGTGCAAAACGGAATCTCAGAGGATTCCGTTGCTGTGCTATGCTGAGATTCATCTGTAGTCTTCCGTAGAAGAATCTTCTGAAAAGGAGTCACCGATGTTAGCACTGACGGTGTTGTCGCCATTCGCTCTGTAATATCTCCTGACGGATCTTACAATTTGTCGTTCCTCGTCAAGGTCATTGTCCAGATCATAATTGGGAGAACTGCCTTTCCATGACGTCAGCAAAAACCTAAACTTTATCCTCAGTCCTGTAAACTATGCCTCCAGGATCATGAATATGCGGTAGTTGTTCTTGCCTTCCGGTTCTGAGCGATTTTGCCATTTTACAGAGAGGAATACTTGATTCAAGCAACCCGCCAGAAAGTCGCTCGACTGCTCATTACGGAATTCATGGAGTGCATTTCTCACTTCATGGACGAGATTCGTCGCTCTACGAATGTCATCAGGATGACAAGACCATTTTGCTTGGTTAATCGCAGCCCTCTTTTCAGAAATTTTCCGACGGATGTCAGCAGGGAGAAAAGGTCTGCCGTGTCGCTGCACTGGAAGCACAGCAGCACGCTGTAGAGTTTGGTGAACGAAACTTGCCCACTCCGATTGAGCAGCATTAATTGCATTCTTATAATGTATGACCGGGACGCTGGGAAACTCTTTGAGAAATGTAGTTCGCAATCAACTCTTTTCCTTGAAGGAGTTTCCTCCTCCACGAAATGCCCATTACATACTTCCAGAACAACAGGTAGATGGTCACTAGAGATGTCATACAAGATCCTAGAAACAATACTGAACCTACAGTTTTTAGATATTGCAAAGTCTATAACATCCGGTGCCTGAAGATGATTGAATGGTGTGCCGGTTCTTCGGTGCTGTGAATAAGATACCAGTTTCGAATCACATGGTTGTAAAGCCGAACCCCACAAGTAGAGTTAAGCCTGGAATGCCATGATCGGTGTTTGCAGTTGTAGTCCCCTGCCGCAATAAGAGGTCCCGAACAGTCCAGAAGGACTTCCAAGTCCTCCGCTCGCAGCCTGGCACCGCACCTAACATACACCGAGGTGATCTTCAACTGAATGCATCCCGTCATATTGACCACCACGGACGCCGCTTCAATGCTTTGCATCTCGGCGTTCGTGCTTCGGTGATAGTCAATACCACGTTCAACGAGCACAGCCAAGCCACCACCCCTACCATCCAATCTGTCAGCGCGTATAACATGATAATTCGAGAAAGCAATCTCCCGGATGTTTCCTGCAGGTTTTGAGGGGACTGACTTGAATTTGGATTTTGCTTTTGGAAGAGGTGGGAAGTCATCCGTCTTGTCGGTTTTCTTCGTTTTGTCGCTGTGTCTTTTCCTAGACTTGGCCTGGATGAATCCGTCATTCTGTATTTCATCGTCGGTCGATGTCACGTCAGTCAAATTTTCCATAGGTCTTTTCAAATTGACCGTCTTGTCAAATTTAGAACTAAAATTTGGATTATTGATTAACTGAGTTACCTGGGTGGTCAGGTCATGCTTTGGTCTCTAACTGTCTCAGTCAGTTCCTTTATTTGCTGGGCCGGGCTTTCGATGATCAGGGTCAGTCGTTGGATGGTTCTGTCCTTTTCGTCTGCTACAGCTGGTGTCGTCTATTCCTTTGATTTCATGGTAATTTCTGTTCTCTCCTTCTGTCTGGCTCCATGCATCATCAGGGACGCTGGGGGATCCTTACTTTGACCTCCAGAGTCTCTCCATCTCCATGTTTTTAAATCGGATTTTCTAACCAAAAACTTTCACAAGCAAAACTATGACGTATTGTCAATTATCCCTTATACAGGTCGATTTTTACAATTCATATACCTTAGTAAAACATGACATTTGTGCACGTCAAAACGTCAAATAAGAATGTAGGATTTTAAAAAAACTTTTACTTTTTGCCTGAAAATGACGAATGAGTAGAGAAAATGCCTAGGTGTCCAAAATCGCATATGCATGAAAATTGCAGATACCACCCTGTGCTCGGCAGTATTGCTATATTGTAAATTCGAAAATGTAAATTTTTAGGGTTCCATAATATGTACGACCATACCAGATCCTCTAAATATAAGAAAGATGGGACACCATACGTGGGGAATGAAGGAAAATACAATTTAACTGGATTTTACTCGTACGAAACTATTTCTGTATGTATATTATCACTTTTATATAAGAGGTTCTAAAAATTTGTTCCTAAGACATTTTGATTACGAAGTTTCCTGAATAACGTCATATTAGCGCTTTGATTTGAGCTCTTGCATTGTCGGGAAAAAGGATGGTTTTCAAAGTGAAATCGGAAACATGGTTAACTAAACCATGTTTTCATTTTTGGAGAGTTTGGTTTCATGGTTTATTTTTTTTCTAGGTGGCACATTCTAACGTAACAAATTTCAGATTCGTTGAAATGGATAACGTCCCTTGGACATATCTTTTCAGTAAAGTTGATGGTTTGCTAGGTTTGGGCATCAGAGGACCTAAAGATGATGAACCATTTTTCTATGCCCTTCATAGGGAGAATAATATTACGAATTTTCTCTTTTCTGTATATATGAACAGGTACGAATTATTTTCCAAATGAAGCTATTTCATACAATAATAACAGTCTACTTTTAGGGATCGACAATCAACTCATGGTGGAAATGTCATCTTGGGATTTATTCAAGACAAACATATACACCAAACACAGTTCAAAAATGGAACAAAAATTCATGACAAAATTAAATTTTTACCGGTAGAGCCAGGTCAATATTGGAAGTTTTCTGTAGATAAGTAAGTTTTTATAATATGGCATTATGATTTTCAAATCAATCTTGGGCATGTTTGTAATGAAGAACATGAGTTTGATAATCTGAGTGACGTAGGTCATGAAAGGGAAATAACAATATAAACGAGATTGTTGTTGAATCAACAACAATCTCGTTAGTACTACAAGCCCTCCCTTTGGTTACAGTGGTCCTTTTAAACTACTATGAGCAGTTGGATGGCAAATCTCCGGTAAATTTCACCCACAGTTTTTCCCAAAAGATCGGTGCGTGGGTTTAAAAAAAGAAAAACGAATTCGCGGTCCTGATTGAGTCAACTTTAGTGGTAAAAAGCTAAAGTGAGCATCTCTTGACCAAATACGGATGGATGGCAAGAGCGTGCCCAGGTCAAAAATTTGTTTGTGGTTCCAAATCATATCTACATATCCAGTTCGTTGCAAGAGTTAATTGGTTACTGCTAAAAATCGATCTTTTTTGCCGAAAAGTGCATGAGAGTAAATATGAAATAGTAGCCGAAAGTTAAAGCCTTTCTAGTGATTAACATCGAAAAAAATCTTCAAAAATCTTGAAGGTATCTTGCGACGAAAGTCTGCTACAACAAATTAGATATGCATGTTGAGTTTTTAGTACTCAATTGGACAACATCTCCATTACTATAAAACATAACCAAAAATGTTATTTACAAAAATTGTCGACTATACGGTTCTTAGTTCCTACTATTCGCCCTGTATAAGGGATAATTGACAATACTCGTACGTCATATTTTTGCTCGTGAAAGTTTTCAAGTTTTTCAATAGAAAATCCGATTTAAAAACATGGAGATAGACTCTGGAGGTCAAAGTAATGATCCCCCAGCGTCCCCGATGATGAATAGACCCAGCCAGAAGGAGAGAACAGAAATTACCATGCAATCAAAGGAATTGATGACACCAGCTGTAGCAGACGAAAAGGACAGAACCATCCAGCGCCAGACCCTGATCATCGAAAGCCAGGCCCAGCAAATAAAGGAGCTGAGACCATGAAATCAAAGAAATTGATGACACCAGCTGTAGCAGACGAAAAGGACAGAACCATCCAGCGCCAGACCCTAATCATCGGAAGCCAGTTCCAGCAAATAAAGGAGCTGACTGAGACCATGAAATCAAAGGAATTGATGACACCAGCTGTAGCAGACGAAAAGGACAGAACCATCCAGCGCCAGACCCTGATCATCGAAAGCCAGGGCCAGCAAATAAAAGATCTGACTGAGACAGTTAGGGACCAAAACAGTAAAATAGACTGCCTGACCACCCAGGTAACACAGTTAATCAATAATGCAAATTTTAATTCTAAATCTGACAAGGCTGTCAATTTAAAAAGACCCCTTGAAAATTTAACTGACGTGACATCGACCGACGATGAAATATAGAATGACGGATTTATCCAGGCCAAGTCTAGGAAAAGACGCATCGACAAAACGAACAAAACCGACAAGACGGATGACTTCCCACCTCTTCCAAAGGCAAAATCAAAATTCAAGTTAACAGTCCCCTCAAAACCTTCTGTTTCATTAAACGGATCAACCTCTTCTCCCACTTGTCCTATGACGGTCGATGCAGCGACCACATTTTCTCAATCTTTGGCCACTGCATCGACTGACGGTGCATTATCTCAACAATCTCACGTTGCTAGTGAGTTGACCAGAACAGCACCCCGCCAGGGGCGAATCACGCCAATTGTTTTGCGTGATGCGACCAAGTGGCGACATCTAAACTACACCTTTATAAGCTTAGGCATTAAGATAGAACGCGCAGTTGCTGTTGATGCGGGAATAAGGATTTTGCCGAAAACTGACTACATAAGAATCGTTCGCCTGTTCAGGGAGGAGGACGTGCCCCATCATATGTTCCCTCTTCCTTCAGAATGAAATATTCACGCGATAGTCAGAGGCATACCCGCAATGTTTTCGGAACAGGGGGTCAAAGGGGAATTAGAACAGAGGGGATATACTCCTCTCCACATTATCCGACTCAAACGCAGTGGCGGCGCCCCCATGCCTTTGGTGGTCGTGATACTGCCCAAGATTGAAAAGTCCCAGCAGCTGTTCAATGAACATGAGCTTCTGGGTCTAGCAATCAGAGTTGAAGTTCAACAGAACTCCAGACTATTGGTGTCACCGCTGCCAAAGATATGGTCGCGGTGTGTGAACTGTGGAGGGGCGCATCCCGCTAACAGTCCCACTTGCAGATTCACTCCCAGGCGAAATCTGGAAGCTATAGTGCAAAGTCGCAGCAAGTCATACGCGGAAGCAGCCGTCTCAACATCTTCGGCTGCCTCCTGTATTCAACCCACTTTGAACACGCTGAATGTGGACCTAGCAACTGCGCTTAGGTCCCTTCAACAAATAATAAGTCCTCTAATTAGCGCCACTCAGGCATTGCAGGCGAACTTTTCGCAGCCATTGAATGGCAAAGTACAATAGACAACCTGCATTTATCAAAATTCTTTCTTGGAATTGTCTGGGTCTAAGGGATATTCCCAAAAAACGGGAATTTCATCAAACTCCATCGGACATTACTTAAACCGGGAGATCGCTTAGTTTTCTCGAATTATGATGTTATACGAGCCGACAGATATGGTAGGGGTGGTGGCTTGTCAGTGCTCGTTAAACGTGGTATTGACTATCACAGAAGCACAAACGCCGAGATGCAAAGCATTGAAGCGGCGTCCGTGGTAGTCAATATGGCGGGATGCATTCCGTTGAAGATCACCTCGGTGCATGTCAGGTGCGGTGCCAGGCTGCGAGAGGAGGACTTGGAAGTCCTTCTGGACTGTTCGGGCCCTCATATTGTGGCAGGGGACGACAACTGCAAACACCGATCATGGTACTCAAGGCTTAACTCTACTTGTGGGGTTCGGCTTTACAACCATGTGATGCGAAACGGGTATCTTATTCACAGCACCGAAGAGCCGACACACCATCCTTTCAATCACCTTCAGGCACCGGATGTTATAGACTTTGCAATATCTAGAAACTGTAGGTTCAGTATTGCTTCTAGGATCTTGTATGACATCTCTAGTGACCAACTACCTATTGTTCTGGAGGTAGGTAATGGGCATTTCGTGGAGGAGGAAACTCCTCCAAGGAAAAGAGTTGATTGGGAACTATACAAGTCATTTCTCAAAGAGTTTTCCAGCGTCCCGGTCATACATGATGAGAACGGAATTGATGCTGCTCAATCGGAGTGGACAAGTTTCGTTCACCAAACTCTGCTGTGCTACCGGTGCACCGACACGGCAGACCTTTTCTCTCTGCTGACATTCGTCGGAAAATTTCTGAAAAGAGGGCTGCGATTAAGCAAGCAAAAAGGTCTTGTCATCCTGATGACATTCGTAGAGCGACGAATCTCGTCCATGAAGTGAGAAATGCAGTCCATGAATTCCGCAATGAGCAGTGGAGCGACTTTCTGGCGGGGATGCTTGAATCAAGTATTCCTCTTTGGAAAGTGGAAAAATCGCTCAGAAACGGAAGGCAAGAACAACTACCACATATTCATGGTCCTGGAGTCATAGTTTTCAGGACTGCGGATAAAGTGGAGGTTCTTGCTGGCGTCATGGAAAGGCAGGTCTCTCCCAATTATGATCTGGACAATGACCTTGACGAGGAACGACAAATTGTAAGATCTGTCAGGAGATACTTCAGAGCGAATGGCGATACCAACATCGGTGCTAGCATCGGTGACTCCTTTTCAGAAGATTCTTCTACGGAAGACTCTTCAGATGAATCTCAGTATAGCACATCATCGGAATCCTCTGCGATTCCGTTTTGCACACCAGCAGAGCTCCAAGGCCACATTAAGGACCTAAAGGTGCGTAAAGCACCTGGAGAGGATCAAATCACAACAAAGCACTGAAGTTGCTTTCACTCAACGCTTTGACTTATCTGGTGGCAATAATCAATGCAATGCTCAGAACTCATTACTTTCCTAAGGCGTGGAAGGTCGCTGAAGTCATCATGATCCCAAAGAAGGCAGGTTCGATATTCCCCCAGAATTATCGTCCCATTAGTCTGCTGTCAGCTCCTTCTAAGCTCGCTGAAAATGTGATTTATCGTCACCTTGAGAATTTCTCGTCAGATCACCATGTGATTCCTGACGTTCAATTCGGCTTTCGGTCTGAGCATAGTACGGAGCTACAGGCAGTTAGACTGGTGGAGCATGTAACCAGGGGGTTTACCCTGAACAAAAGTACTGGTATCTTGCTTTTAGATGTATCAAAGGCATTTGACAAGGTGTGGCACATGGGCCTCTTGTATAAGCTCATCCAAAAGGGTTTTCCATTTTGGCTACTAAAACTGTTGAAATCTTTTCTAGAAGGAAGGTAGTTTCGGATCAAAATTAACAGTGTTGTCAACAACACGGCCCGTAAGAGCCGGTGTTCCTCAGGGTTCGGTCTTAGGACCAATCCTTTATTCACTTTATGTTCATAAAGTCCCTTGTCCCAGCAACTGTGAAGTCTATCTCTATGCTGACGACACTGCATTGCTAGCCCAGTATTGTTCTGGTAACCTGATTCACGACAGGCTGCAGAGTGCGGTGGAGGAAGTATTGGAATGGGCGGATCGGTGGTTGATTGAAATTAATACTTCGAAAACGCAGGCAATCTATTGTACTAAAAAACGTCGCGGTGCCCCCTCAGAGATATCAGTGAAAGGAACCATGGGAGCAATCTGTCAGGTATCTTGTAGTCATCATTGACAACGGGTAGACCTGGCAGAAACATACTGATATTTTGAAAACAAAATTCCAAATTACCTTTCGGCAGCTTTATCCTTTGTTGTGCAGAAATTCAAAATTAAGTTTGATCAACAAGATTTGGTTGTATAAAATGGACATAAGACCCGCAATCACCTACACATGCGCGGCTTAGTGTTTTCTTGCCAAGACGCACATGCAGAGACTGCAAGTCCTGCTAAACAGAACCCTACGCATAATTACTAACGCCCCTTGGTACGTGTCAAATGAGACTATTCACAGAGATCTTAATATCCGATATCTAAGGGATTACGTAAAACAACAGGCGCAGCGGCGTTATAATCAAGCGGAATCGCACAGCAACCCTCTGTTGCGTGATTCAGTAGACTACATAGTCGAGCAAGTTCGCAAACATTCCAGGCCGCGCCTCGCACTGTGATCAAAATTAAATTGTAAATTCAGACCAGCCAAAATTATTTCAGTACACAAAACCAATCAAAATTATTTTTTGGAGTTACAAAATAATTCGAGTAGTCAAAGCAATAATGCTTAAGCTATTTCAAATGATTTAATCCTTTTCTTTGCTCTATTTCTTCCTTCCTTTCTTTCCTTCTTTCCCTTTTCCCCTTAAACATGTTTGGTATCTGGGTAGCCAGACCTGACAGACTAACAGACCGACGAGACCAAGAGCAAAGGTCCACCGGACCGCTCTGACAAATAATGACTAATAGTAGTACGGTTCTTACTTGGAATATACTGCGCCCTACAGGGTGATTCATTCCGACATGACAACAAATCGTTTTTTTAAATAGAACATCGTATATCTTTTGGTTTATTCTAATATACCACTTCAAAAGGAGAAGTTTTGATATAGCCGGGGATACAGCATATTATACTAATTCCGGAAATAATTTTTCTTTATCGATATTTATTCGTGGTTTTTCTACTCGTACAATTACTGCGAGATTTTTTCATATAGGCAAAATTAGTTGCACAGAATATGTATAAGGATATGTACTTAGTTTACTCTAGAATGATTTGAGAAACAAATTTATTATATTTCACCACAGAGATACAAGGAGAAGGGAATTAATTATGAATTTCCCATAATCGTTTCTATTTTTCCTGAATCTATTTGAGGATTTCAATATAAACTGCATACGGTATTGACATTGTCACTTTTTCTCAACTTTGATTTCAAATATCATACAATATTATAAAAGAAATTGAGTAAGGATTGAAATGATCATATAGTCATTTATTTAATAGGATATCAAAAATGATAACATTAATGAGGAGCAACATAATGTAACTCATTTATATTATTTGAGGGTAATTATGAAGACATCAAAAAGGGTATGATTTTAAAAAACTGAGAGCTGAAGCGTCAGATCGAAATTCTAATCAAGTTACCGTGTAGAAGAGAAAAAATTGCAATGATATTGTGTAATGTGTTTGAAATTTGTAGATAATGGTTATGTTTGACAAAGTTTTGTTTCGGACTAAAGACAGGAAAAAATAAAAACGACTTAGAGTAAATTCGTTCCATTTTTTATTTACCAACGCCCATAAGGTAATCCGCGTCGTATAGTTATCATGAGGTTGATGTGATATTTATTAACCGTGTGGCCTGGACATCATAATTATTAATGCATAATGTTACTGAAATCCACTGATGGTACGGACCACCATAAATTCTGATCGTGTGACACTAGCTTTACCGTTTCCGAGATCCCAAAGGCAAGGTTCGAATTTGAAACACACGTAACATAATATATAGCGGTTTTAGCAAAATTATTCATATCTTATATAGATTTCAACTAATCCTAGTAATTTCTTATCTAATAGATATTGATTCAGCTTTTGGAGTACGATGAATTGAAAAAACAAATGAATTTTCAAGACTATCGCTTGAGCTGTTTATTACAAAATTACATTTTTATGCAAATCGTCAAGGTCTAAGTTGCCATCCGTCAAGGGCGTACCCAGGACATGAATAATTTAATTTTAGTAAACATGATCATTTGATTTTTGCCAATGTAGCGAAGTTTGGGATAGCTGTCCCTCCTTGCGCGCCCCTGGGTGCGCCCTTGACGGATGGCAAGTTAGACCTTGACGATTTGCATAAAAATGGAATTTTGTAATAAACAGCTCAAGGATAGTCTTTAAAATTTACTTGTTTTTTCAATTCATGAGGCACTGTTTCGCCGATAGCGAACATCATATGTTTCTCCGTTGTCATTTACCCGTTTTAAGAATGAGGGCTATAAAAACTGTAACTTATAATATATATTTGTCATATTCTTAGGATAACAGTAAAATCAGACACAAATGATACAGATATAACGACATTATGCCCTAATGGTTGTAAAGCTATATCTGATACTAGCTCGTCGACAATTACTGGGCCAGAAGATGAAGTTGATAAAATACATGAGCTGATTAAAGCTCAGAAGTTTCCATTTGGCGGAATTTGGACGGTAAGAAATATAATAAAATTAAGTGATGAGACTGTTTTTTTAATTTCTTTACAGACCTCGTATGTGGTGTTGCAAAGATAACTGATATAAATATTCCTACTTAATTCGCTATGTGTACTGCATGATAGATTTTCAAACAGCAAGTTGATTTAGCTTAACTGTATAAACCTATTTTCATAAAACCCTATCTTTTAAATGACTAATGTACATACTCTTATTACGCCTCGTATAATAAGCGCTTCAAAATCATCTTACGTTACACATAACATCGTTGAGCATACGCAACATTCAATTAAATGTATACTAAGTGACATATAAATCCGAACACCCAGTTTAAATGGTTTTATTTTAATAAAAGTTGGTGAATGTATTTATCTTACTGTAAATAAGAAGTGAAAAAATTTTCAGCCTTATCAGTTGGACATTCCGGTTTTTATACTGCTTTTTTTTAATTCACTAACGCTCTAAAAATGAATATTTCAGCCGCAGTAAAGAATCAACGTTGGCGGATTTTGGTTCTTGACATCCTTTACGATCGGTTACGATGCCTAGAGTACGGAGACCTGTACGATTTCGTCAACTTAGTGAGTTTGATAGGGGCCGTATAGTGGGACTTCGGGAAGCTGGACTTCCTTTTCGGGCAATTGCAGTTAGAGTGCAAAGAAGTGTACACACTGTGGTTAGGTGTTGTCAGGCATGGCTTCGGGAAGGCCGTACGCAGAGAGCAAGGGGCACTGGACGCCGCCGTAGAACAACAGACTGTGAAGATCGCCGCCTAAGATTATTGGCCTTAAGGGACCGTTTCTCCACTACCAGGTCCATTGCAAATGAATGGTTTGCAGAACACGGAAGACCTATTGGCATGCGAAGTGTTTACCGACGAATGAGAAGTTTTGGCTTGTTTTCATACCGACCACACTGGGTCCTCCCTTTAACTCGGGAACACCGACGTAATCGCCTTGAGTGGTGCAGACAACGGTCACTCTGGGATCAGGAATGGAACAGTATTGTCTTTAGTGACGAGTCTCGATTTTGTTTAGGCATGCACGATGGTCGTGCCAGGGTTAGAAGGCGACGTGGTGAAAGGAGGAATCCACAGTTTTTTGTTGAAAGACATGTTCATCACACTGTTGGAGTTATGGTTTGGGGTGCTATAGCTGATGGTTCCAGGTCACCTTTAATCTTCATCAGAGGTAACATGAACGCGCAGCGTTATATCCACGAAGTTCTAGAACCCCATCTTTTACCCTATCTTGACACCCTGGCAGATCCAACTTTCCAACAAGATAATGCCCGACCACATGTTGCAAGAGTCACAATAGACTTCTTTCAACATAATGATGTCACATTGTTACCATGGCCACCAAGATCTCCCGACTTATCCCCAATTGAGCACGTGTGGGATATGATGGGTAGGAGATTGCTCAATTTGCAACGTCCTCCTCAGACTCTAGAAGCACTTCGAGAGGAGTTGGTGGTTCCTGGAATGAGATACCACAGGAGGACATTGACCACCTGATCAGAAGCATGCCTAGGCGCGTTGGAGAATGCGTAGCACATCAGGGTGCATCCACACATTATTAAAGGTCAAAGGGCTTTAAATCAGTGCAATCATTTTGAAATTTTTATCATTTACTTATTAAGTACTATAAAGTACTATACTATACTATACTTGTATAAGTACTATATTAAGTACTTATACAAAATTTTATTAAAATAAAACCATTTAAACTGGGTGTTCGGATTTATATGTCACTTAGTATATTTGAAATTATAATCTAGAACTGGGACCAGATATTTATACAACAATAAGCAGGTATTTGAAAATGCTGAATTAGGGAACCAGATTCCGTTCTATGACGTCACTTGCTTCAAAATTATATGTTATTTTCTACATTATAGGTGAGTTGTACGTCGGTGAATAAACTGCCCGAAATATCGTTCGTACTTGGAGGTCAATCGTTCAAGCTCAAAGGACCAAATTATATAATAAGGGTAAGAATTCCTCTAATAAGAACTTTATATTTTTTTATTTACAGTTGGTTACTTGCCAACCGAGTACTATCCATTCAAAATGTATTGAAAAATACAACATACAGTCATGCATTGCACTGACCCTAAACATGTATAAAATAAGTATAGGAACTTGTTTAATTAACTGATATCTCATAAAGCAGCAGCAACAGTATGTTTAAATCTATTTAATATGCAAAAACAATATGATAGCTCCATTTTTCTTCTTTTTGAGTTGAGTACTTTTCCACACTATATCCGTTAAGGCTAAAAACATTTAGTTTATGTGTTCTTAAACTTTGATTTTATATAAGAATTAGATTTTCGTGCTTTCCTGTAACCTACATTGTCTGACCACATGTATCAAGTGTTGTACATCTGAATGCCAATTACTAAAAACTTCACTTTGAAGTTATCTAGTTTTTGTAGTAACGACCCGAGGATATATACTATTGTTTAATATGAAAATACTAATACATTTACTCTGTACTTTGTAAAGTATAACTGCTAAAGCAGGCAGGTCATCATGGCAGTAGTGCATTGTAGTTGCGCTCCCAATTTTCGGGGTCCTGACGTGATAATTTCTGTTATATAATAATTATGGTTATCCAGAAACGTCGAAAGTATGCGTCTTATGCATCAAATAATATTTTTTGATGCAATACTACACTTCTTTAGCCTAATTCCTGAAACTAACAGCATGAAAAATATCGTATCCAGGTAGCGTAAAGGTTAGTAAAGTATATTTTAGACAGTTGTGGTTTTAATTTATTCGTCAAGGAAACATTGATGAACAATTTTTTAGTTGTTTGAATCACTATATCTTTTCTTTTACAGGCCTCCTTCATGTCGATTGAGATATGCATGTCAGCCTTCATTCCCAATCCTTCACCATCTGCTGCAAACTTTTGGGTATTAGGAGGAGCATTTTTGTCTCAATACTACAGCATTTATGACCTCGACAACAAAATCATTGGATTCGTCAGAGCAGCTTGAAGACGACAAAAGGAAAACGACTTCATTGCTTAGTTTAGGGAACGAAAGCGAGCTTCTGCCAATTTTTCTTGGTTTCGTCATATGTCTTTTCGCTAATGTGTCCTAACAATGTTAAATACATAACCTACCTATGAATATGCCACCTCAGAGTTTCAAATTATCTTTTGTAAGTTTGTAATTATAAGGCTTTCTAGAATGTACTTTCTAGTTCAACGTGCCTCTTTATGTCAAGTATTTAATCACACCGTAATAAAGTTCTTAGAATTTGAGAATGGTGCTTTTATATTTATAAATAATGTTCATGAGCTCTCGTACATTGCTAATTGGGGGAAAGGTTAGTTTCTATGAAAAAGGCATATTTTCAAGATTTTTGTTTGTTGATACTAGTAATGCAGATTTAAATACCATAAAATTTTCCGTTTCAACAATTAGTATTCAGAAAATAAGTATTCAAAAGTTTACCCGAAAACACCGTACTGTTCGTCATTGTTCGTCAGAGCGGTCCGGTGGACCTTTGCTCTTAGTTAAAAGTCTCATCGGTCTGTTAGCCTGTCAGGTCTGGCTACCCAGATACTAAACATGTTTAAGGGAAAAAGGGAAAGAAGGAAAGAAAGGAAGGGAGAAATAGAGCAAAGAAAAGAAGTAAATCATTTGAAATAGCTTAAGCATTATTGCTGTGACTACCCGAATAATTTTGTAACTCCAAAAAATTATTTTGATCGGTTTTGTATACTGAAATAGTTTTGGCTGGTCTGAATTCACAATTTAATTTTGATCACAGTGCGAGGCGCGGCCTGGAATGTTTGCCAAATTGCTCGGCTGTGTAGTCTACTGAATCACACTACACAGGGTTGCTGTGCGATTCGGCTTGATTATAACGCCCTCTGTGCCTGTTGCTTTACATAATCCCTTAGATATGGGATATCAAGATCTCTGTGAATGGTCTTATTTGACATGTACCAAAAGGCGATAGTGATTGTGCGTAGGATTCTGTTTTGCAGGACTTGCAGTCTCTGCATGTGCGTCTTGGCAAAAAAACACCAAGCTGCGCATGCGTAGGTGATTGCGGGTCTTATAACCATTTTATACAGGGTGACTTTGAAGTTGAGTCATTAATTTTCAGATAATGATTGTAGAAGGAAGATAAACCAGAATATGTGTGTAAAATTAAAAAAAAAATAAAAAAAATGTTACCTTGTTTTATAAAGTATCCTCCCGACAAGTATTTCAGTGCGGACCTGTATTTGATCGTGAGGTCCCCTGTGAGGTCTTAAGTCACCTGATTCACGAGCCCGTTGTACTACATTAACAAAGGCACGAGGGGTTGGTTGCACTCGATTGGGAAACCGATCCGCATAAACATGTGCCATTTTTTATTTCGTTTGAGCCACGCAACAGACACTATTCATACGCTAACCGACTGACACTGACTGTATGTATAACTGAACTGAATAAAATAATTTATTGTAAAAACATCGTTCCAAATTCTTTCGCTTTTTTGTTTCCGATGCGATGAACCGGTAAGGCGGATTATATCCGTTGTTGCCAAACACGAGCACATGACATTATTATTGAGACAGGGCGATACTCAAACTTCCAAAGGGCTATAACTTTGTTACTTTAATTTTACCAGAAAAATGGTAAAGGAAAAAAACATTTCTTTTGATCAGATCTACTCACTGTTAAAATAAATGACTCAACTTCGAAGTCACCCTGTATAACCGAATCTTGTTGATCAAACTTAATTTTGAATTTCTGCACAACAAAGGATAAAGCTGCCGAAAGGTAATTTGGAATTTTGTTTTCAAAATATCAGTATGTCTCTGCCAGGTCAACCGCTTGTCAGTGATGAGTCCAAGGTACCTGGCAGATTGTTTCTATGATATACGAGTTCCATTCACTGATATCTCTGAGGGGCCATCGCGACGTTTTTTAGTACAGTAGATTGCCTGGGTTTTCGAAGTACTAATTTTGATCAACCACCGATCCGCCCACTCCAATACTTCCTCCACCGCATTCTGCAACCTGTCGTGAACCAGGTTACCAGAACAAGACTGAGCTACCGGTGCAGTGTCATCATCATAGAGATAGACTTCACAGTTGCTGGGGCAAGGGACGTCATGTATATAAAGTGAATAAAGGATTGGTCCTAAGACCGAACCCTGAGGAACACCGGCTCTTACGGGCTGTGTTGTTGACAACACATTGTTAATTTTGATCCACAACTTCCTTCCTTTTAGATAAGATTTCACCTTTTCAGCGAACTTATAAGAAGCTGACAGCAGGCTAATGGGACGGTAATCCTGGGGGAATATCGAACCTGCCTACCTTGGGATCATGATGAATTCAGCGCTCTTCCACGCCTTAGGAAAGTAATAAGAGCATTGCATTGATTATTGCCAACAGATAAGTCAAAGCCTTGAGCGAAAGCAACTTCAGTGCTTTGTTGGTGATTTGATCCTCTCCAGGTGCTTTACGCACTTTTAGGTCCTTAATGTGGCCTTGGAGCTCTGCGGGTGTGCAAAACGGAATCTCAGAGGATTCCGTTGATGTGCTATGCTGAGTTTCATCTGGAGGGTCTTCCGTAGAACGATCTTCTGAAAAGGAGTCACCGATGTTAGCACTGACGTTGTTATCGCCATTCGCTCTGAAATATCTCCTGACATATCTTACAATTTGTCGTTACTCGTCAAGGTCATTGTCCAGATCATAATTGGGAGAGAACTGCCTTTCCATGACGTTAGCAAAAACCTCCACTTTATCCTTAGTGCTGAAATCTATGCCTCCAGGACCATGAATATGTGGTAGTTGTTCTTGACTTCCGTTTCTGAGCGATTTTGCCACTTTCCAGAGAATTCATGTAGTGCATTTCGCACTTCATGGACGAGATTCGTCGCTCTACGAATGTCATCAGGATGACAAGACCTTTTTGCTTGGTTAATCGCAGCCCTCTTTTCAGAAATTTTCCGACGGATGTCAGCAGGGAGAAAAGGTCTACCGTGTCGCTGCACTGGAAGCACAGCAGCACGCTGTAGAGTTTGGTGAACGAAACTTGCCCACTTCGATTGGGAAAATCTTTGAGAAATGACTTATATAGTTCCCAATCAACTCTTTTCCTTGGAGGAATTTGCCCATTACGTACCTCCAGAACAACAGGTAGATGGTCACATTCAAGATCCTAGAAGCAATACTGAACCTACAGTTTTTAGATATTGCAAAGTCTATAACATCCGGTGCCTGACGATGATTGAAAGGATGGTGTGTCGGCTCTTCGGTGGTGTGAATAAGATACCCGTTTCGCATCACATGGTTGTGAAGCCGAACCCCAGAGTTAAGCCTTGAGTGCCATGATCGGTGTTTGCAGTTGTCGTCTCCTGTCACAATATGAGAGCCCGAACAGTCCAGAAGGACTTCCAAGTCCTCTCGCAGCCTGGCACCGCACCTGACATACACCGAGGTGATCTTCAACGGAATGCATCCCGCCATATTGACTACCACGGACGCCGCTTCAATGCTTTGCATCTCGGCGTTTGTGCTTCTGTGATAGTCAATACCACGTTTAACGAGCACTGACAAGCCACCACCCCTACCATTCAATCTGTCAGCGCGTATAACATCATAATTCGAGAAAGCTAAGCAGTCTCCCGAGTTAAGTAATGTTTCCTGCAGCAGAGCTACTATACGTCTATAGTCTCATCCAATAGAGTTTGATGAAAATCCCGTTTTTTGGGAATATCACTTAGGCCCAGACAATTCCAAAAGATTTTTGATAAATGCAGGTTGCCTATTGTACTTAGGTTGCTGTGAACCTTTTTTTTTGAGATATACCATTTCGTAAAGTCGAATTTTGTTGATCAATCTTATTCATTTTGAGATTCTCTATATGATAAGGCTGGAGTTCGCATGATCTAAATCAGCGAGAAGTGGCAGTGGAGTGGACATTGAAGATGCATTTAATAGAACTTTTAAAATTAATGCATAAAGTCTATATAAACATGGGTCGAAAAATGCGTGGCTTCCGTTTTTTTTAAATATTTCGAACAATATTTGATGTATAACAGTGAAAATTGGTATACAAGGATTTTTTGGTACGACAAAACGAACCATGGGCATAGTTTTACTGTAGCCGCTAGAGGGCGCTCTCTACTGTACCTGTAGTGTATTAAAATGACCGAAAATTTTTTCTTAGTACAATTTTTTGCTTTTTGAATAAAAAAACTGATTCTTCGTACTTTTCAACATAAAAAAGCTCTCTCGTGAATTTTCGTTATAGATAGCCGTTTTTGAGATACTTCGATTTTTAAGGTTCGATGCATTTTTAATTATTTATGATAAAATAACGTTAAAAAGTCAGCATCTCGATAATTTTTAGAAGTAGGCTGTGCCTGCAAATATTTTTGAAATTGATGGCAGAATAAGGTTAAACGTCAATTAGTTGACAGTTAGTTTTGTTGTCTGTTGAAACCTGAAACGTTTTTTTGCAATTGTGAATGCACGAAATTTAGTTTCTTTTACCGGTTTTTTTTCTCCGATCAAGAGTATGCGGATATTCATTTTGTGTTTGGCTTTGTACATGGAAACGCAGCAGAAGCAGCCAGAGAATACGCACGAAGATTTCCAAACAGACGACATCCAACTCGCTCAGTATTTGTAAGAGTGCATCGCCAAATAATTGAAAATGGTTTTGGAAATCTCCAAAGGGATCAAAACATAAATGTTCGTCAGCGAAGATTTACCCAAATGATTCTGCGTGAGTTTGATAGAGATCCGACCACAAGTGTTAGGAGAGTTTCTGGTGCATTGGGAATTTCAGCAAGCCATGTTCACCGTGTTCTTAGAAATGACCATAGACGTCCTTACCATTTGCAACCTGCGCAAGGACTACAGCCAGGGGACGGAGAACGAAGAATCACATTTTGTCAGTGGATTCTTGATAGAACTGATAATAATAGGGAGTTTTTAAGTAACGTTTTATGGACCGATGAGCCATGCTTCACTAGATTCGTCGCTCTACGAATGTCATCAGGATGACAAGGCCTTTTTGCTTGGTTAATCGCAGCCCTCTTTTCAGAAATTTTCCGACGGATGTCAGCAGGGAGAAAAGGTCTGCCGTGTCGCTGCACTGGAAGCACAGCAGCACGCTGTAGAGTTTGGTGAACGAAACTTGCCCACTCCGATTGAGAAAATCTTTGAGAAATGACTTATATAGTTCCCAATCAACTCTTTTCCTTGGAGGAATTTGCCCATTACGTACCTCCAGAACAACAGGTAGATGGTCACATTCAAGATCCTAGAAGCAATACTGAACCTACAGTTTTTAGATATTGCAAAGTCTATAACATCCGGTGCCTGACGATGATTGAAAGGATGGTGTGTCGGTTCTTCGGTGGTGTGAATAAGATACCCGTTTCGCATCACATGGTTGTAAAGCCGAACCCAAGTAGAGCCTTGAGTGCCATGATCGGTGTTTGTAGTTGTAGTAACCTGCCGCAATAAGAGGGGCCGAACAGTCCTGAAGGACTTCCAAGTCCTCCTCTCGCAGCCTGGCACCGCACCTGACATACACCGAGGTGATCTTCAACGGAATGCATCCCGCCATATCGACTACCACGGACGCCGCTTCAATGCTTTGCATCTCGGCGTTTGTGCTTCTGTGATAGTCAATACCACGTTTAACGAGCACTGACAAGCCACCACCCCTACCATTCAATCTGTCAGCGCGTATAACATCATAATTCGAGAAAGCTAAGCAGTCTCCCGAGTTAAGTAATGTTTCCTGCAGCAGAGCTACTATACGTCTATAGTCTCATCCAATAGAGTTTGATGAAAATCCCGTTTTTTGGGAATATCACTTAGGCCCAGACAATTCCAAAAGATTTTTGATAAATGCAGGTTGCCTATTGTACTTAGCCATTCAATGTCTGCGGAAAGATCGCCTGCAATGCCTGAGTCTCGCTAATCAGGGGACTTATTATTTGTTGAAGGACCCTAATCGCAGTTGCTAGGTCCACATTCTGCGAGTGCAAAGTGGGTTGAACACAGGAGGCAGCCGAAGATGTTGAGACGGCTGCTTCCGCGTATGACTTGCTGCCTTTGCGCTATGGCTTCCAGATTTCGCCTGGGGGTGAATCTGCAAGCGGGACTGTTAGCGGGATGCGCCCGTCCACAGTTCGCACACTGCGACCATACCGTTGGCAGGGGTGACACCAATAGTCTAGAGTTCTGTTGAACTTCAACTCTGATTGCTAGACCCAGAAGCTCATGTTCATTGAACAGCTGCTGGGACTTTTCAATCTTGGGCAGTATCACGACCACCAAAGGCATGGGTGCGCCGCCACTGAGTTTGTGGAGAGGAGTATATCCCCTCTTTTCTAATTGCCCTTTGATCTCCTGTTCCGAAAACATTGCGGGTATGCCCCTGACTACCGCGTGAATATTTCATTCTGAAGGAAGAGGGACCGTATGATGGGGCACGTCCTCCTCCCTGAACAGTCGAACGATCCTGCGGTAGTCGTCCTCAGTTATCGGCAAAATCCTGATTCCCGCATCAACGGCAACTGCGCGTTCTGTCTTAATGCCTAAGCGTATAAAGGTATAGTTTAGATTTCGCCACTTGGACGCATCACGCAAAACAATGGGCGTGATTAGTCCCTGGCGGGGTGCTGAGCTAGTCAACTCACCAGCAACGTAAGATTGTTGAGATAATGCACCGTCAGTCGATGCAATCGCCAAAGATTGAGAAGCTGTGGTCGCTGCATCGACTGTCATATGATAAGTGGCAGAAGAAGTTGATACGTTTAATGAAGCAGACGGTTTTGACGGGACTTTCAACAATTTGATACTTGGGTGGTCAGGCAGTCTATTTTACTGTCTCAGTCAGTTCCTTTAATTGCTGGGCCTGGCTTTCGATGATCAGGGTCAGGCGCTGGATGGTTCTGTCCTTTTTGTCTGCTATAGGTGGTGTCATCAATTCCTTTGATTTCATGGTAATTTCTGTTCTCTCCTTCTGGCTGGGTCCATGCATCATCAAGGCCGCTAGGGTATCATTACTTTGACCTCCAGAGTCTATCTCCATGTTTTTAAATCGGATTTTCTATTGAAAAACTTGAAAACTTTCTCGAGCAAAAATATGACGTATTGTCGATTATCCCTTATACAGGGCGATTTCCAAAAACACCGTAATTATAACAAACAACCGAGGAAATTTTCACAAGCAACAGCCATTGCGAGAAGATCTTGAGATAGGCATAACTAGAGAGCTCTTGATATACATATTCCTATTACAGAAATACACAAAAAGTCGAGAATTAGTCTCGACACACAGGAAAAGTTGCGACTAAGGAATCAGCTGCAAAAACTGTACCGATCTACCAGGGACCCGGCTATTTTACATGAACTATGCGATTTAAAACAAAAAATCAAGGATTAAATACACTAAAAGAGGAAGCATATTTTTTGAAAATCTTGCAGGATGAAACTAATCATAACAAAAAGCTCTGGAGAAATCAGAAACCTTTAGGAAATAAACCACCCTAATAACAATCCTTGGGAGTGGAAACCAGGTCTAAGTACTGGACAAATTTGTTAATGCCACTTTAGTTTTTTTTTCCTTTCCGGGAGAGGTCCAATCAAACCAGACCAAACCACTGCGACCGCGTTGTGTGTAATTACTGTTAGCATGTACCCAAGACTTGTAATTCGACAATGTACAGTGAATATAATAATATGTGGCAGTATGTAAGTATAAAATATAAGATTCCACATAAAGTTAATTACTTCACCGACCAGATATTTTCTTTTCTTATCTCTCTCATTTTCGAAATCCAGCAAATTTGCATATGTAATTTCCAGAATAAATAAGAAATAGTGGATGCGCAACTAATTTCTAGCTTTGAATACATCTCAAGTAAGTGTATTTGAGACAAGAAACCAACGGAATTATCATCAATATTATTAGCAGACAAATCCTCACTGTGCACATACATAGGGAGAGGTAGTGAAGATCATTGGACAGTTAACACGTTCTAAAAAGTGATCTGGTATTTCTCAAATTTCATGGGTCTAACACCAGCGATTAATTTATTTCTTTTTACAAGTCTCCCTTGGTGGTGCAAGGAGGAGTGAAGTTTTTCGAAAGTATTTGTTATATGTGCATTTATATGCAAGAAATTGCAGCAATTTGAATGTAATATACGCCACCTCGTTTATAAAAAAGTATACCAGGCTACAAAAAGTGCTGTGGATGAAAGAGTTATTTGTGGCATTTTATTTAGAAGCCTGTGTTATAGTCCGGTCGATTTGGATTTAATATGACAAAAGGCAAGTTCAAGACCTGTGAATGTGGTAAATGTAGAAATAATATAACTAAGACACAATATAGTTTGAAATGTGCTGGGAAGTGCGGTAGATGGTAATATAGGACATGTACTGTGTAAGTGGTTGTGTGGCAGATGTGGTAGAAACAGGCATTCTTCGTCATCAGATCAGTCAGACGCGTCTGATCCAGTACTAATCGATAATCCCAGTAACAAAGACATAATGAAAACTATACAACAGAAGTTTTAAGAAATAGAAAAGGCCCTTAATTTTAATGGCGAAGTGATGGAGGAGTTACAAAGAACAATAAAAGCTATAACGGATGAGAATCGTGAGTTGCGAAAAACACAAGAGCATCTTAAGAATCGTGTTGCTGGACTGGAGAAGGAGGTAGTAACTTTGAAGAAAAAGGTTTCTAAGGATGAAGATGAAGCTAGGAAGAAAAGGATGATTATTATAGGAATTAAAGGAAATCAGAATATTGATGAAAACGTCAAAAAAGTCTTTTCGAAATTGGATATGGGGGAAGCCAGCTATAAGGTGTTTGTTCTTTCTAAGGCTGAGGTGGATCCTACTGTGGTGGCTGTGCAATTTGATTCAGTGGAACGTAATGCGGTTATAGAAAAGAGAAAAAGGCTATCACTGAGCAATCAAAACTGCAGTATATGTGATTCACAAGCTAGAATATTTATTAATGAAGATCTTCCAAAGGAAACTAGAGAAATTTATAAAGAAGCAAGAAAATTGAAGATTTCTGAGTTTAAATACGTTTGGTGCAGACATGGCCAGATCTATGCTAGGAAGGCTGATGGAGAAGTTGCATTGAGGATCAAATCATTAGCAGACATAGAAAATTAAAAAAAAAAAATGAGTGTTCAATTCTATTTGTTAGTGTTTTTTTATTGAATCCATTACCTTTCTATGAAAGATTTATCATTTGCTTTTATTAATGTAAGATCGCTTACAAATAATTTCTTTGAATTTAAACAGTTTATGTTAGAAAAGAAATTTGATATAGTTGGTGTTTGTGAGACGTGTTGCATAATGGGATTCCCAATTCTAGTACATATTCACATTAATGGTTATAGGTTTTTCAGGTTAGATAGAGCGAGTAGAGGCGGTGGTGTAGGAATTTACATAGCAGAATATATGAAATGTAAAACAATAAACATTCTCCATAGCGAAGCAGTATAATTTTGTATAAATAAAGAGTGTTATTTATTGTTGCCTAATAGAAAATACTTTTCCAGACTGTTGGAAAGTTGAAAAATGCATCCCCTGCCAAAGAAAGGCACTATATGTAGCTTGTCGGATCTTCGTCCAATTTCAATATTACCAGTGCTGTCTACAGTTCTGGAAAAAATTATAAAATTAATCCTTCATATAGATGAATATGATTTGCTGCCTTCATTTCAGTCAGGATTTCGAAAGGGTTTTAGTTGCACGACAGCGCTTAAAGATGTTATGGAAGAAATTATCAGGGATATTGATAACGGCAATACAACGGCTCTTGTATTGCTTGATTACACAAATGCATTTGACACAATTAATCACCAGTTAATGTTTTCTATTTTAAAATACATGGGATGTTCGGTTAATGGTATTAAACTATTCAAAAGTTATTTCTCGAAGAGGACGCAGTTTGTCATAACCTCTTCCGGGGTGTCTGTTTCCAAGCCTGTTCTGTGTGGGGTACCTCAAGACTCTATCGTGGGTCCATTACTTTTTTCAGTATACTCTGCAAATATTACTAGTAGTTTGATATATTCAAAGCCTTATTTATATGCTGATGATACCCAGATACAATTTGCGTTTTCAAATACAGATACAACAACTGCAGTTACATTATTAAATGAAGTTCTTAATAATTTGACAAATGAAAGCATAGCACATCAGTTATCCGAAAAACCAACCAAGTCAAATGTTTTATTGTTCGGGAAACACAAAAAGAGTGTGGCAGATTCATTCCATATTTCAATTAATAATAATATTAGTCCGCATACATCCGCTATTAGGAATATAGGCTTGATTATGGATAGTGACCTGAGGTTTTCAAAGCATGTTGATAAGTACATTGGCCGTGCTTATGGTCGGCTTGAAATATTATTTCCACATCGTCATATCTTTTCCACCGAACTTAAGGCTTTGCTTTGTGACTCGCTTGTTCTGTCATTATTCAATTACTGAGACTCAGTTTATGGGCCTTGTATAACAAGGTATCGTGTTGATCGTATACAGCGTGTCCAAAACTCTTGTCTCAGGTTTATTTTGGAGAAAAAAAATTTGAACATATTTCTTATAAGTTACCTGTAATGGAATGGCTAAATATGGAAGCTAGGAGAAATCTGCACTCTGCAGTTTTGTTTCATAAAATTATTCTATATAAAACTCCGCTTTATTTATACAGGGTGCGGCAGAGAGGATGGACGGTTTTAAAAAAATCATAAAATAGTTAATTTTTACTCGAAAACAAATTTATTGATGGAATCAGGTTCACAAGGAAATAGCATTTGAGACAGTCAAGTGTGGAAAATCACATCAGGTATGTGGTGGCCGAAATCGTTGATGCAGTGCTGGAGGCGTTCTTGGAAGTTCGCGTAGACTCTCTCCAACGTCGCTCTCTCAACTTGGGCGACTTCCACGCGAATTTCGCCCTCCAATTCGTCCAGAGTTCGGAGCTTGTTCGCCATAAGAAAAAATCGCATATGGATAAATATGGGGACCGAGGAGGCCAATGAATATCGCCAAACCCGGAAATAAGGCGACCAGGGAATAACGTCCATGGATGCTCGGGCTGTGTGGGCGGAAGAAAATTTCCATTAGATGAATTGTACTACTTTATATAATATATATTATAAATGTTTTTTTTTGTTAAATCTACCTAAAATGATTTGACATTTATCGATAAATTATATTTTTATAATTTCTTCATATACATATATTTTTTTTGACGTTTGTAGTTATTATTTATTAATTATTAATATTAGCTTATATAATTTGGTTAAGAACTCCTCTGTTGTAATTTTGTTTGTTGGGCTAGTACTTTGATCAGCTCGTCTGTTTACTAGTCCCTTTTGCAGGGAATTCATGTTGTTTCATAATGTTTAATTTTTTCACTTTGTATTTTTTTTGCTCTGCAAATAAATGCTATTTTTATATGCCCTGCCGTTTCGTTTCAGCCTCAGTATACAACTTGCAGCTTAAACCTTCAATAACAAAACGAGTTCACAACAAGTGTACAATAGCTAGTGCTAAGTAGAAAAACCTACGTTTTGTCACAAAAAACCTAGGGAATATCAAAAAACAAGGACGTGTTACTTTTCAAGATACCTAATACCCGTGCTTCTGGTCAAGGGTTATGTCCGGGTGGGGTCTGTCAATGACCGCAAACTGGTCCAAAGCTGCCTCACTCTAGAACTCGGCAGGCCTTTTGTACTGCCTTGGTCTTTTAGTGATTTTTTTGGTGACCTACGCTTACCTTCTGGCGCAGCTTCCTTTGGGACTGTTTGTGCCCCAGGAAGTTTGGCCAGAGGTCCCATGATCCCCTTGGCTTTGTTCTTTTAATGGCGAGAGTTCTTCTTGTACTTCCTCCATTGGGCTTCTGAATGTTTCTGCCATTCTTCCTTCTGTAGTATCATCCCACTGACGCCTACAGAAATAGATGCAGCGTGTTCCGCCAGATCGTG